CATACCGCTTTAACCCAATTTCCCATAGTTCACATCTTCCTACATACAGGGCTGCTATATGTGATGCTCTTGGAATTCTGGGGTTTTCTTTTGGTTTATGAAATTACCTTTATCTGAAAAGTCTGTAATTTATCATATCCATAAATTTCTCTCAAGTGGAAATCTTTATGTAAAGCCAATTTGTATTCTATCCTTTCCTATTTACTCATTTCTTACTTTTTTATTATTTTTTTCTTATGTTACATATTGATCCCAGTTCCCTCTCCTTCCCATCCTCCCATGGCCCCTGAATCCCCTCCTATACCATTCCCTACCCACTCCACAGGGAGAGTGGTGTTTTTTAGAAGAGAACATCAAAATCTGTCATTTCCTGTAGGGCCTAGGGCCTCTCTCCTGTGTCTAGGTTAAGGGAGTATACCTCTATGGGGAATGTGCTTCTGAAGTCTTTATCTGCACCGGTTATACATCCTGGTTCCACAGTCAGAGGTCCAATAGACTTCCCAGGACTTTTAAATGAGACTCATGTTCAGGGGGTCTGGCTCAGTCCTATGTTGACTTCCCAGCTATTAGTCTGGAGTCCATAAGCTCCCCTTTGTTCAGGTCAGCTGTCTCTGTGGGTTTCTGTAGCCCGGTCTTGAGCCACTTGCTCATCACTCCTCACTCTCTGCAACCAGATTCAAGGAGTTTGGCTCAGTGTTTAGTCATGGGTGTCTGCTTCTGTTTCCATCAGCTACTAGATGAGGGCTCTAAGATGACATATAAATTAGTTATCAATTAAATAATCAGGGAAGGTCACTTAAGGTAGCCTCTCCACTATTGCTCAGATTGTTAGATGAGGTCATCCTTGTAGGTCTCTGGACATTTTTCTAGTGTCAAATTTCTTTTCAAAGCTATAATGGCTCCCTTTATAATGGTATCTCTATTCTTGCTCTCCTCTATTCATCCCCCAACTCAAACTTTCTGGTCCCTTATGTTCTCTAGTTCCCTTTTCTGTTTTCCTAACTCCATCTCCACTCCTTGTTTCACACTGCTCCAAATATGCTCAGGAAATTTTGTCCTTTTCCCCTTCTGTGGGGGAACTTATATGACTCCCTTAGGGTCCTCCTTATATCCAGCTTCTCTGGTGGTGTCAATTGTAGGCAGGTGATCTATGTCTAAAATACATGTATGAGTGAATACAGACCATGTTCCTCTTTTTGTGGCTGGGTTACCTCATTCAGGATGGTTTCTTCTAGTTCCATCCATTTGCCTGCAATTCTGCTATTTTCAAGATTCCATCGTTTGTTTGTTTTGTTTCTTTTGTTGTTTTTTTTTTCTTCCACTGAGTAGTATTCCATTGTGCAAATGTGCCACATATTCTTTAGGGGTGGAGAATCTAGGTTGTTTTCAGGTTTTAACTATTACACATAATGCTGCTATGAACATAACTGAACAGATGTCTTTGTTGCATAGATGTGCATCTTTTGGGTATATGTCTTAGAATGGAATTGCCTGAACCTGTGATAGACTAATTCCCATGTTCCTGAGGAAGTGCCACACTAGTCTCCAAAATAGCTTTACAAGTTTACACTCCCACCAGCAGTGGAGGAGTGTTCCCCTTTCTCCACATCCACTCAAGCATAAACTGCCTTTGGAGTTGTTTATTTTAGCCATTGTGTTAGGAGTAAGATTTGCATTTCCCTGATGGCTTAGGATGTGGAGCATTTTCTTAAGGGTCTTTCAGCCATTTTGGATTACTCTATTGAGTCTTCTCTATTCAGTTCTGTACCCTACTTTTTAATTGGATTATTTAGAGTTTTGGTGACTAGATACTTGAGTTCTTTGTATAGTTTGGTAATCAGTCCTCTGTCAGAATAGGGTTGGGGAAGATCTTTTCCCACTCAGTGGGCTACCTTTTTGTCTTGTTGACTGTGTCCTTTGCCTTACAGATGCTTCTCAGTTTCAGGAGGTCCCATTTATTAATTGTCAATCTCAGTATCTGTGCTGCTGGTGTTAGGTTGATGAAGCAGTCTCCTGTACCAATTTGTTCAAATGTACCTCCCGCTTTCTCTTCTAATAGGTTCGGTGTGCCTGAAATCATGCTGAGGTCTTTGATACATTTGAACTTAAGTTTTGTGCATGGTAATAGACATGGGTCTATCTGCAGTCTTCTACACACCAGCATCCAGTTATGCCAGCACCATTTGTTGAAGATGCTTTCCTCCTCCCATTGTATACTTTTAGCTATTTTGTAAAACATCAGGTGTTTTTAGATAGTTGGACTAACATCAGGATTTTTGATTTGATTCCATTGGTCTACCTGTCTATTTTTTGTGCCAATACCAAGCTGTTTTCAGGATTATAGCTCTATTGTAGAGGTTGAAGTAAAGGATAGTGATGCCTCTTGAAGTTCCTTTATTTTACTAGGTTATTTTGGCTACCCTGGGTCCTTTGTTTTCCCATATAAACTTGAGTATTATACTTTTGTGCTGGGATTTTGATGGGGTTGTATTGAATCTGCTTTTTTCAAGGTAGCTATTTTTTACTACATTGATCCTACCTATCCAAGAGAATGGGAAATCTTTCCATTTTCTGGTATCTCCTTTAATTTCTTTCTTTAAAGACACAAAGTTCTTGTCATATAGGTCTTTCACTTGTTTTGTCAGCATTACCCCAAGATACTTTATCTTGTTTATGGCTATTCTAAAAGGATATGATTCTCTGATTTTTTTTCTCAGCCCCTTTATCACCTGAATATAATGGAGCAGCTGATTTTTTTTTTTTAAACTTAGTCTTGTATCCTGCCACTTTGTTGAAGGTTTTCATCAGCTGTAGGTGTTCCCAGGTAGAGATTTTCATTTGTAAACTATCATATCATCTGAAAATGGTGAAAGTTGAACTTCTTCCTTTCCAATTTATATCTCCTTGATCGCCTTTTGTTGTCTTATTGCTCTAGCTAGAACTTCAAGTAAAATATTGAAGGGAAATGGAGAGTGGACAGCCTTGTCTTGTTCCTGATTTTAGAGGAATTGCACTAAGTTTCTCTCCATTTTGTTTTATGTTGGCTGTTGGTTTACTGTATATTGCTTTCATTATGTTTAGGTGTGTTCCTGCTATCTCTGATCTCCCCAAGTCCTTTATCATGAAGGACTGTTGGATTTTGTCAAAGTCTTTTTCAGCATCTAGTGAGATGATCATATGATTTTTCTTTTTCAGTTTGTTCATATGGTTTATTACATTGATAGGTTTTAGTATGTTGAACCATCCCTGAATCCCTGGGAACAAGCCTACTTGAACATGGATGATGATTTCTCTGATTTGTTCTTGGATTCTTCTTGCCAGTATTTTAGCATCAATGTTCGTGAGGGATATTGGTCTGTAGTTCTTTTTCTTAGTTATGGCTTAGTGTTGCTTGGGTACAAAGGTAAGTGTAGCATTGAAAAAAGAGTTTGGCAATGATCCTTCTGCAACTATTGTGTGGAACACTTTGAAGAGTATTGATATTAGCTCTTCTTTGAATTTCTGCACTGAAGCTATCTGGCCCTGGGATTGTTTTTTCTTTTTTTTGGTTGGGAGGCTTGTGATGACTGCTTCTATTTCATTAGGGGTTATAGGTCTATTTAAATTGCTTATCTGTTCTCAATTTAATTTGTTAAGTGATAGTTATCCTGAAATTTGTTCATTTCCTTTGAATATTTGAATTTTGTGAAGTACAGGTTTTCAAAGTATGACCTGAAGAGTCTCTGTATTTCCTCAGTGTCTGTTGTATGTCTCCCTTTTCATTTCTGATTTTATTAATTTGCATGTTCTCTCTCTGCCTTTTGGCTAGTTTGGATAAAAGTTATTCTATCTTGTTGATTTTCTCAAATAACCAACTCTTAGTTACATTGATTCTTTGAATTGTTTTCCTAGTTTCTACTTTATTGTTTTCAACTCTCAAATTGATTTTTTCCTGGCATCTACTCCTCTGGGGTAAGTTTGCTTCCTTTTGTTCTAGGGCTTTCAGTTGTGCTGTGAATTCTCTAACGCGACTATTCTCCAATTTCTTCATGTGGGCACTTAGTGCTATGAACTTTCCTCTTAGTACTGCTTTCAAAGTGTTCCATAAAGCAGAGTATGTTGTCTTCATTCTCATTGAATTCTAGGAAGTCTTTAATTTCTTTCTTTATTTCTTCCTTGACCCAAGAATAATGCAATTGCACATTGTTCCATCTCCATGAATTTGTAGGGTTTCTGTAATTTGTATTGTTGAATTCTAACTTTAGATCATGATGGTCTGGTAAGATACAGGGGGTTATTCTTTTTTTTTTTTTTTTTTTTTTTTTTTTTTTTTTGTACCTATTGAGGTTTCCTATGTTGCTGAGTATGTGGTCGATTTTAGAGAAGGTTCTCTTCCAGTGAGTGCAAACAGTTCCAATACTCTCATGGCTCTCCTTTTCCAGTGGGTGAAAATCGGATTAGGGCACTGGCAGACTGAGGATGGGCTGGTAGACTGGGATGGGTTACCCTGTGCACAGTTCCCAGACCTCAGGAGTCTCTGAGCAGGGCACAGGAAATCAGGCTCCCTCCTTGTGCTGAGGCAGAACCAGGATGCTGGCAGACTCTTGGCAGGCCAGTTTGCCTGGCCCCATGCCTCAGGAGGCTCCAAGCAGGACCCTGGATAGCAGGCCAGAAACAGGCCCTAGCTTATCTCCTACCATAGGTTGAGGTGGAACCAGGAAGCTGGCAGACTCTGGGAAGGCCCCTCTGTATACAGTTGCCAGTCCTCAGGAAGCTCCAAGCAGGGCCCTTGCGTATTAGAATTTTATCAGCACAGGGTCTGATGTGATTAGTTTCTGTACCATAGGGTACTAACCCCCACAGAGAAATCCTACACATGCTTAATACAGGACAGTTGATGCTGGATTTATTCCCTTCCCTGGGAAAGCTGTGGTCCAATAGAAAGAGTATCGTGCTGAAAGGTACCCAAGTTCACAGCAGATGCTTCAGCTCTGTATGTCTTTCTCCCACCCCCACTCTAGTGCCAGTCTCACCTCTGGTGCACTTCACAGTCAACTTCACCATCACTAACCTCAAGTACGAAGAGGGCATGCATCGCCCTGGATCTTGGAAGTTTAATGCCACTGAGAGAATCCTACAAAGATTGGTAAGAGCTCTGTCCAATATGTGCAGAATTTCCCACACATTAAACCATGCCTATCAGCTAGACCACACACTGCAAGAAGGACACACCATCCTTAACCTTGTTCCACAAATTCCATCTTTGCTCACAGATGCTAGCTCCACACATCTCAAAAAAAGTTTGCATCCCCTCAGTTCTTATATTCACAGCCTTCTACCCTTTCCCCACAGCTCTGGCCTTTGTTCAATAAAACAAAAATCAGCCTCCTGTATTCTGGCTGCAGACTGATCTCACTCAGGTGAGTCCTGGGGGGGGGGGAAGCCAGAGATCCTGAATGTGTTACAAACCCAAAGTGTGGTTGGCTTTCTTCCTTTCCTCCTGTCTGTACATTGCCCGTGTGGACTTTAGAAAGCACTAGACACAACTTCCAAGGTGTCCCCTAATCCAACAACTGCCACTTGAATCATCCCCACAGCCTACAGACCTTTAGTAGGTTGATGGCCTTTTCCTGTTCCTCTGTTCTGAATCCCCACTTTCATTTACTCAGTGCTGAACAAAAGCAGCTTTAAATTCTATCCCCAGAATTTCTCTTAAGATTCTGTTCTAGTTTCATTTCTGTCACTGTGACAAAACACCTTAACCAAAAGAAACTTAGAGGAGAAGTGGTTTACTTCAGCTCAAACATTCAATTAATAGTCCATAATTGAAAGTCACAGCAGCTGATGATTGAGACAGTCACACCACAATCAAGAACAGAGAGAAATAAAAACAGAGATTCTCTTTCGCCTATACTCACCTTGACTTCTCCATTCTTATACAGTTCAGGATCCACTGCTTAGGGAATGGTGCTGATCACAATGGGCTAGTTATTCCCACATTAATTAGCTTCATTAATACCAACCCCTACAAACATGACCACAGGTCAACCCAATGGAGATAATCACCCACTTAAACTCTCTTCCAGGTTATCCAGGTTGATAGCTAAAGCTAACCAGCACATACATCAAAGCCTTTTCCCTTTGCATTAATTCCCAAACCCATATCTGTCTTAAATATGAGCTCCCTGTTCTTCACACTATGACAATGTAGATTAGTGTCTAACATTCAATAGATCTTTACTCCATGTCTGCTCATTCAAAGGCTACTGGAAGTCAGTACATTCAGAAATTCTAAGCTTGATATATCATCTCTATACCAGTCATCTCATCTCCCTATGGCTCCTTCTCATTCTGTCCCCATCATCTCAAGATGCTTACTAGGCAATCTCTGTATCATCATTCTTCTCATCTATCCTTGTCAGGCCTGAGAAAGATGAAGCAGCCACAGGAGTAGATGCCATCTGTAGTCACCATCCAGACCCCACTGGATCTGAGCTGGACAATGAGCAGGTGTACTGGGAATTGCGCAAGCTCACCAATGATGTCACCCAGCTGGGCCCTTACACCTTAGACCAGAACAGTCTTTACATCAATGGTGAGCAGAGACCACATGTGTTGTATTGCACAGCATAATCCTCCCCTTTCAGCCTCCACTTCCTCACCCCACCCCCATTCTCTCTTTTATATTATTGCCTCAGGTTATACATACCAGATCCTTCCCAACACATCCATGAGTGAGTATTATGAGACTCTGTAAGTATCTCCTATGCCATAAGTCACAAACCCCTGAAATAAAAACAAAAGCCCTACATTTCATCCCTGTTGCCCCTCTCCAGCTTTGAAAGTACAGAAACATGCCCTTTTCCTAAGTTAGGGTTAGACAGTAAAGTGCTTTCATCAGGTCTGAAGTTTGACCCCTAGCACCCATGGAAAAAACCTGGTATATTGGTGCACTTCTGTAATCCTAGTTGTAAGAGTAAATAGGAGCATATATGGGGTTTACTGGTCAGCCAGCCTAATTGAATTGGGGATTCACAGGTGTGTAGCCTGGTCTGGACAATGAGTGGTGTACTGGGAACTGAGAAAGCTGACCAATGATATTATTCAGCGAGGCCCTTACACCTTGGGCTCAAAACACAAAGTAGAGAGCGCTTGAGGGAGAACAATACCTGTGGGGTTGGAGAGATAACTCAGCAGTTAACAGTGTTGGCTGTTCTTCCAGAGGTCCTGGCTTCTATTCCACATACCCATGGGATGGCTCTCAACCATCTAACTCCAGTTCTAGAGAATTAGATGTCCTTTTCTGGTCTCCCTGAGCACCAGGCATGCATATGTTGCATAAACACGATGTAGCACAACACCACTACACATAAATTAAAATAAAATAATTTATATAAAGAATGACGTGAGATGTTGTCCTCTGGCCTCCATGTGCACATGCATATCGGCACATTATATCAAAGACTCTGGCATGTGCGCTATCTTCTGGTTTCTTGAACAAAAGGATTTTCACTCTAAACAGCTGGTATTTTTTTTTAATTCCCAGCTTCTGTGGTGACCACCATTTCTAGCAGGATGACAACTCCTGTCTCCAGTCCCACAGGTAGGAATTTTCTCTCTGAAGATGTTCCTATAATTGCAGCAGGCAGAAGGAGGGATGGAGCTGGTGACACATCTCAGTTCCCTGACAGTTCCTTAAATACCAGACCCAATGTCCCAAGACATCTTCTAAAACTTCATTTATGAAACCCTTATTCAGTCTATAGTTTTCAATCCTTTCCCAGTCCTTTGAAGAGCCCAAGCCAGGTGAGAACTGCTAGGTGAAAACTGAAGTATATAGTGGTCACTGTGCCAAACACCAACTCAGCAGTAGAGGAGTAACTCTTGGCTTGTAACCAGAACCTCAGTTTCATTCCTTAAACCCATGTAAAATGGCCATATATAGTTGTAAGACTTGAAATTTCAAAACATAGAGGCAAAATAAAGCAAATCCCTGGACCTCATTGGACAGATGGTGAGCTTCAGGCCAATGAGGTCACCATTGAAAGGGAAGTAGGTTTTCCTGAGGGTGACACCCAAGGTTGTTCCTCTGGCCTTCACACACATGCACGTGTATATGAGCATGCACTGTCATATATGGCTACATTCACATTAATAAGAAAATAATATCTAATGTAAGAGCACAACCTCACATAGGCCGAGTGCTTAGAAAACATAATGACTGCAATGTATTTCCTTCCACTTACAGATTGTGTGTCTTGGAAACAAAGCCTTCATAATTTGATGGAGTTTTTACATTTGTCTTCCATTTTCATGCTGACTTCATTGCATTACAAGACTTTGTCCAGGGCAAACAATCAGTCTAATATAAGCAAAGAACTTCAAACATGATCTGACATACTACATATGAACAGTTGGCTAAGATGACTTAGGGAGTAAAGGTGTTTGCTGCCAAATATGATGGACTGATTTTTATTCCGGGGACTACATGGTGAAAGGAGGGAATCAGTTTCTAAAAGATTTCCTCTGATCTTCACATCCATGCTTTGGCACGCACACACACACACACACACACACACACACACACACACACACAGAGTCATCACTAAACAAACAAACATATAAATAAATTCTGGCACAGTCTTCATTGAAGAATTAAGTTAGTAAATATGGAGACTTCAGAAAAGAATTGGCTTTAAAGAGGAACTCCAGGACAAGACCAGGCTACAGAAACACCTAGAGACACCTGACCTGAACAAGGAGGAGCTAATGGGCCCCAGACTTACAGCTGGGAAACCAGCATGGGACTGACTCAGATCCCCTGAACTTGGGTCTCAGTTAGAAGGCCTGGGCAGTCTAAGGGACCTCAGACAGTGGAACCAGGATGTATCCCTGGTGCACAAAAGGTCTTTGGGAACACATTCCCCATGGAGGGATAACTGCCTTAACCTAGAGACAGGAGAGAAGGCCTAGTCCCTACTCCAAATAACTTGATAGATTTAGATGACCCCTCCTGGAAGACATCACCCTACATGTGGAGTGGGGGTGGGGTGGGAGGGGAAGATGGAGGGGGAGATGGGAGGGTGGGAGACAGGGTAAGAGGAAGGGAGGGAGAGGGAACTGGGATTGATATGTAAAATAAAAAACAATTAAGAAAAAAAAGAGGAACTCCAGGAAAGGACGAAACCTATAGAGATTTTGCCAACTTGAGAGACACATATATTTCCTTTCCTCTTCATTACGAAGTCACCCACACACAGAATTCCTTTTTAATTTAGTTGAAGCTGGTGTGAGGTCTCCATTCCAAGCAAACTGTTTCCTAGAGGAAGAATCTCCTCACTGCAAGATTATGCATGCAGGTGATGCATCAAGCTCAAGTTCAGAGAGAAACAGTAACTTAGTGTGTGTCTTTCTCCCACCCCTCTGCAGCAGCAAGCCCTGTCCTGGTGCATTTTACTATCAACTTCACCATCACTAACTTAGCATTTGAAGAGGACATGAGTCGTCCTGGGTCGACAAAGTTCAATATCACTGAGAGTATCCTGCAGAACCTGGTGAGAATCCTGCTTACTGTACCTGGCCCTGCAAACAGGTATAAGCCATGCCTATATGTCACAGAAGCCCCAGGAAGAGTCTACCTGTGACCCAAAAGATGAAATCTCAGCCTGGCTGCAAGAATGAAATGCCCCAGTGCCTTGCCATCTTCACTTCTGCCCCACCTCTATCTGCTCACCTCTCATTCCCATTCCTCTAACCTTCTTCCACAGCTGAGGTCCTTGCTCCAAAACTCCAGTGTTGGTCCCCTGTATTCTGGCTGCACACTGACCTCACTCAGGTGGGTTTTAGGTTATAGACAAGGGGTGTCAGACCTCGAAACTTAGTGAGTTTCCTTCTTACTGTCCTGCATAGCTTCAATTCGGGTGAAATGAGGAAGTTCTGATACTGGGTATCTCCCAATCCTACCACCTCCTTGCAGCAATCTACATACCCAGGAGACTGTTCCCACAATTGTAACTATTCCTGATTATCATGCCTGAATTCCTGATCCCAATTTCTGCCTTTGGAATAAATTCAAATTATGTCCTTTGATTACTGTGAAGACAAAAATTGCCATTTCCACTTTCTATCAATCCTAAATCCAGGACTCATTTGTCTTAAATACATGATCTCCTCAGATCCCAGAACATGAGAGTGGAGATTTGAGTCTTATATTTGATAAAAATTCATGACTCCTTGACTTCTCATTGTCTCATTCTAGTAGAAATCAATATGCTCAGACTCTAACTCTTGTTTCTGATCCTTTCCAATTTTATTTTTTCCCTTTTAAAAATTGTTCAATATGCATGTGTTAGTGCATGCATGCATTTGTGCAAGTGGGTGTGTGTATACACAACAGTACCATGGAATCCGTGTGGAAACCAGAGCATAATTTAATTTATTGGTACCACCATGTGGGTCCCAGGTATGGAACCCAAGTTATCAGAACTGGTAGAAAATTCCTCACATGTTGATCCAACTCTCTGGCCCTCTATAAACCTTTTCATTTACTCTGGCTACTATAACATCAAAAATAAATGACCCAGAGACAGATATCCGGGTTCAAGCTGAAGATCAAGAAAGCAAAGCAGCCAGACAATAGCACTCAGCTCTAGCTCAAGTTGAAAGGGCTGATCCATACATGAGCTCTTCACCAAGTCTCAAACTGTTGCCTTTCCTCTGTGTGGCTGGGGAATGAATACCCCATATTGAATCTGTCCTTATCTTAAATACCTCTCATGAGTCCTTGGATTAAAGGTATGAGCTCCATTACTCTTTTAGACTGATTAAATCTTGTATAAACCTGTGTGGCTATGAACTCAGATCTAGATCCATCTGCCTTTGGCCCTCTGGTTCTGTGATTAAAGGTATATGCCACCACTGTCTGACCTCTATAGCTTGTGGCTGACTTTGCTTTTCTGAATCCTTAGTCAAACTTTAACAAATCATAAATAATATATTGCTACAGGCTACTCCCTGCCCTATCCTAGCATTTTAGGATGCCTTCTTAAGGAAGCCATTTATTATTCATTCTCTCCCTGGTCCTTCTCAGATCTGAAAATGATGGTGCAGGCACAGGAGTGGATGCTGTCTGCACTCACCACCCTGACCCCACTGGCCTGGGACTGGACAGAAAGATGGTTTATTCGGAGCTCAGAAGGCTGACCTATGATGTCACCAGGCTGGGCCCTTACACTCTGGACCAGAACAGTCTCTATGTTGCTGGTGAGCAGTGGCCACCTTCACTTTGGTTTAGTGAAGAGCCCATATTCTCCTCTCTCTTACTTCTATATCAGTACCCCCTCTATTTCCACTTGTTCTTTCATTCTTTTGCAGGTTACACACATCAAGTTCTGGGGACCACCACCAAGCGTGAGTATTCTCACTTTTTATAAATATCTACCACACCTATGTTTCTCAAGACTTTGGAATGAAAGAAGTGAAAGGATTAATCTTCACTTCACAAACTGTGGTGTTAGACATTTCCCAGAGAGATGTGACACACATACATCTGCTCATCCCAGAGAGGGAACTGATTAATATAAATTCCACTACCATCCAACTTGGGTAACCAGTGAGTTTGTTAGGGTTACTCACAAGAGCAAGGATGACTCCAAAAGACTGCTTCATCGTCAACAGCCACTCTAGCATGTTGAAAACCTCACAAAATCTGGAATCCTGAAGCTCTCCACTTGACTTGTAGGCAGCTCAGAGAGTATCTTCTAGACAGCTCAGATGGTCAGAGTCCTCTCCCTTAAATGTTTTTCACTGTTTCTATAATCATGGGCTCTCAAGAATCTCCTAGCTAAGCTTTAACAGACTTTAAGTTTACTTTTTTTTAAGTCTCATGAGCTTTCCCTCTCCTTTTTGAAATGAATATTTCATTTCAGAGGAAATTTCTAAATGATACAAGCCTAACTTATCTCTATCCTGTGATGGACATGGACTTAACCACAAAATTAAACCCAACTTCTGCATTCTCTCCCTGATATCTCTAAACTAATAGAGTTTCTACTCTAATCATCTGAGAATTTATCTCCACAGCTTCAATGAGGACCACTGCTTCTACAGTGATTACTACCAACCCTCCCAGGTCTACAGGTAGGAATGCTCCACTATGAAGATGCTTCCAGTAGTTCTAAAATCTTCAGAGTCAGAAGAAGGAGTAGAGAAGTGACATGTTCCACAGAATCCTAAGGTTGCCTCTTGATGACTCTTACAGGTTCTTCTCAGGCTACCAAGATTAATCCTATCTATTCCCTGGTCCTTAGAATCTCTGGTAATTGTTTCTGATGCTTATTGGTGGCCAAGGATTTCTAAATCCTTCTGCAGTCCTTAGAAGGATGCATACAAGTAGTATTGTTGGCTGAGACTAAATATCTACAAACTGGGGTGCTATCAAGTCTCTCAGCAAAATATCAAATCCTTAGTTTATCAACTAAGCAAGTAACATACAGCTTGCTTAAAGGACTTCTGTGACAGATAAGTGATTATTCTGGAGAATTCACCATGAATATATTACTTAATATAAATGTTTATCAGGTTCTATACTATGTGTAAAAATTATAATCATTCTTTCACCAGACTTTTAAAGAAAATTTGATTTGTCTAAAATTGATGAACCATGACAAACCATTCCTATATTTTCAGGATTTTGCTCTTCATTTATTTCTATACCATCTGCAATATTTTCATTGTGAGAACTATAAAAAATATCAGGAGTGTAATAGTTCAGTGGGTAAAAGCTGCAAATCTGAGTTCAGTCCCTGGGACCCACAAGGTAGAAGGAGAAAACCATTTCCCCAATGTTGCCCTTTGACCTCTATGCACATGCCCATAAAGATGTGCATTTACCCTCCACAAAACAGAATTATTAAAAGTTAAAGGTAAAAAACACCAAAAACAATCTCAAAACATGGCAAAGAAAACCCTTTAGAATTTAATCAGTTAGCAACTTCTTCTATTTTATTCTAGTATGCAGAGAGTTGTATTATCTGGAGATGTAAGTGCTTCCCCAAATTACACTGCTATGATAAATTATCATAAATCAAAATTCAAAGACTTGACTATTAATATAGCTCAACTGATTAAGTGCTGACCTAACATTCACAAAACCCCAGGTGCTACCACCAGTATCACTTAAACTGGGTATGCTGGTAGAGGCCTGTAAAATGGAGGCAGAAAAATAATTTTTCAATCTTTACTGTGTAGCTAGATGGAGACTGGAATGGGAAATACCAACTTGTCAGAAAGAATTATAGGATTTCGGTTGAAAATTAGTTTTGAGAAGCTGGAGGGATGGCTCAGTGGTTAAGAGGACTGGTTGCTCTTCCAGAGGACCTAGGTTCAATTCCCCAGACCCACATGGCAGCTCACACCTGTCTTTAAGTACAGTTCCAGGGCTTCTGCTGCACATTATGATACAAGCACACTTGCAGACAAAATACCAATGAAGGTGAAATAAAAGTATATTATTAAAAAAATAAGAGTTGAAATACAGCATTTGAAAAATGTCAATTATATAAAGGCAATCAGAATTTTATGCAATAGCACTACTTGATGTGTGTTAAATGAATAATCAATATACAAACACTACAATAATATAACATATATTAAAGTTGGATTCTGTGATCTGGGAAAATTGTTTTAATTTCCCATTGGCTTAGGATTATTTATTTGAATTTACTGGTTGCTTAATTTGTGTGTGTGTGTGTGTGTGTGTGTGTGTGTGTGTGTGTGTGTGTGTGCATGTCTATGCACAAGTGCAAGTCAGAAGACCATTTGAGACTGTTCTGTTTTTCCACTATGTGGGTTTCTTGGATATAACTTAAGTCATCAGGCTTAGCAGAAAGCAGTTTAAACCACTAAGCCATTTTCCATTCCTCATAACCTCAGAAACGGACATCACAATAGCTACTTGGTCCACAATAACAAATCCATTGTGTGTGAACTAAATAAATAATACCTCTCAGACCAATGACCAACATACATTACTTGAATAAGAAGTGGAATAAAAATAAGAAAAGAATAAGAATACATCCTGCTGAGATATATGAGTTTCAAAGAACTTTCTTTGCAAGCCTGAGGATCAGAATTCAAGTCCCCGTGTGTGTTACAGGAAGAGGAACAGAGGAGAGAAAGAAGAAAGAATAAGAAGAGAAAGGGAAAAGAAGGGAAGGAAGAAAAGGAAAGAAGGAATGAAATTACATGGTGTCATGTACTTATAATCCTAGTTCTTGGGAGATAGAGCCTTGAGGATCACTGGGACTCAATGGACTGCCAGTCAAAACTACTAGACCAGTAATTAGCCAATTGAAGACCTTGTCTCAAAAAGTGCAAGATGCACAGTTCCTGAAGGAAAACCATCTAGGCTGTCTTCTGTCATCCACATATGTGCATTCCCACAAGCACAACGACCACAACACATGTACACACACATACATACACACATACACACACACACACACACACACACACACACACAGTGCACACATACTCAATTATAGGTATAGCTAAACCCAGAAATGTAGTCAAAGAGTAGTCAGATATCAAGAACACCTTACAAAAATTCAAAAGGAAAATGCTTATGCAACTTTCATTCTCCTGATAGTCACTTACTATTTCTTTCTGGTTGATAGCATATTTGCCAGTCTAGAGTAATCCTATTCATCCAAGATAACTATTAGGTAAGCCTGAGGTTTGTGTCTTCTCTATGAGAAAACTGCCCACTCTGGAAAAAAAAACCCTTCTGAATGATAAAAGATGCACATTGGTGATGCCTCAACTCAAGTTCAGAGACAGAAAATAAGACAAAGTTCAGATAATGTGTTTCTCACATCCTGTCCCTCTCCTGTAGTGGCAGCCTCCATTCCAGTGACTTTTACCATCAACTTCACTGTCATTAATCTGGAGTATGTGGAAGAGATGGGTCACCCAGGATCCAGGAAGTTCAATGCCACTGAGAGAATCCTGAAGAGACTGGTGAGATACCCACCAGAGTGTACAAAGGTCCACTCACAGAAGGAAGCTGCACTCAGAAAACAATATCATGACCATGAAGAAGGCCCATAAATCCTCAGCATAGTTCTCACACGCTCTTCCGTTTCTCCGCAGCTCAGGACATTGTTCAGTAAAACCAGCCTTGGCCCCCAGTACGAAGGATGCAGACTGACATTGCTCAGGTAAGACCTTATAATGTCAGGCTAGGGGCTGAGGAGATATTTCAATCATAAACTACTTGTGGACCAAGCATGAGGACATTGAGTTTGATCCCAAACATCCACCTAAAAAGCCAGGCATGATGTCATGTGTTTGTCAACCCAGCACTGAACAGTAGATACTGTAGGATCCCTGGGATTGACTGGTCTGTCAACCTAGCCAAATCTGTGAACACTGGTTCTCAGATTGAGACCTATCTAGAAAAAATTAGAAAACAAAACAACAGGATAGATGGCTCCCAAGGAAGAATAAACTCTCTTGTTATTCTCTAACCTCCATATGCATACATAAGCACTAACACAAAACTATACACCACCATGCTCTCCCATTAAAATATTTTACACACACACACACACACACACACACACGCACCACCACCACCACCACCACCACCACCACCAACACCACCACCAACACCACCAACACCATCAACACCACCAATTTTACCTCAGGTATTCCTAAGCCAGTTTAGTCTGTTTGCCTTCTGTCTTTATGTCCTCAGCACTGGAAAGTTAATGACACATAACCTCCAGTTATGGTCCAGATTATTTTCTGTTCCTACCATTAGTCCTCAGCTATCCCCATAGACTATACCCTCCACAGGATCCTAATTCTCAGCTATTTTTCATTTTTTCCCTTTTTCTCTGGCTTTGGAATAAAAAAAACATTGCAAGGGATAGTTTTAAGTTAATAGTGTAATACTTCTCTTTAGGTAAGGTAATTTTCCACTCCCTTTTCCAGTGTTCATCTATTGTAAATATGAGCCCTTTAGGCACTGTGACATGAGGATGTAGCTTTGAGTCTTGCATTATATTTAATAGTTTCATTCCATGTCTGCTCATGCCACAAGGTAACTACTAGAAGTCAGTACATTCAGAGAGTGTATGCTTGTCTTTTCATCAATATACCAGATTGCTTCATTTCTTCCGGCTCTACCCAGGTTTGTTGCAAAAACATCTGGATCCCTCCCTAGGCAATCAAATTATTTAATGTCAATCACCTTCCTTGCCTGCCCTTCCCAGGCCTGAGGACAGTGGAGCAGCCACAGGAGTAGATGCCATCTGTATCTACCACCCCAACACTTCTAATCAAGAACTGGACAGAGAGCATGTGTACTGGGAGCTGAAAAGACTGAACGATGGAAGCATGCAGCTAGGGCCCTACACCCTGGACCACAACAGTCTCTATGTCAATGGTGAGCTATATTTCAGAGTCATACTCCTCTCCTCACATGTCTCTACTTTCTCCATCCCACCCCATTTTCACGTTTTTTTTTTCACTGTCTATGTAGGTTACACACAGCAGATTCTGGCCACCACCCACAGGAGTGAGTATCTTGATTTTTAAGTAAGCCCATGAGTCTGAATCTCTATTCGATGCCTATAACTCACCTTCATGTAGGGATAAACAGAAAGGCGTTATTCTCCTTTATCTCCTATTACATGGGGTCTCCAGTAAAAAAACTTAAATTGTTTTTTTCTTTTCAGCATCAGTGGTGGCTAATGTTTCTGAAGGAATGCCAAACACTTCCTCCATTCCTACAGGTATCCATTTCCCTCTGTTTAGACTTTCAAACTCATTTGAAAGATCAGTAGAGGCCTGGCACAGGTGAAAAATCCCAAATGGATCTCACAGCATTTTCCCAGGTCACTGAGGAATCTTTGGTCACCAGACAAGGCCCTAGCATCCTTCATCCTAAAAACATCCCCTAGAACCTGTTTCTCAAACCTGTTGGTCCTTAAACACAGCATCATCCAACACCCCTGGCAATAGTACATTCTATCAGGACTATTGGTTGAGGGTATTTATTTAATCTGTAATGGCTAATGTGAAAGGAACCAGCACATTAAACAATCCAGGCTATAGTTTATCAACTAATCCATGAGTTTCTTTTAGTAACTAGTTTTTGGCACTGAACCTTAAGTCCTCAGTGTAAAGGTGTATCTACCTTCCTGAGTGCAAAAGTATACTCATATGTCGTTAGCAGAATTTTAAAGGTTTGATTTGTCCAAAATCTATGAACCAGGCATTTCTGGAGTTCCTGCATTTTCCCCCAATTATTCTACAGTATTTTGTCTGTGATAACAAAAAGTAAATACAACAAGAAAATCCATATGCTCACCACTGGGAGTAGGTGCTTGTACACAACTTGTGTTGTTTGAATCTAGGAATGTGTACTGTACAATCTGGTGACATAAAATTTTGTCAGTTACATAAAAGTTACTTTGCTCAAGGCTGTGACAAAATATCCAACAAGAGGCTGCTTTTGGGAGCAAGGGATTGTTCTGGTGTAGAGAAGGCAGGGCAGTGAAGTAGGAGGCTGACTGATATACTGCGGGCCATCTTGTCCTTCAAACCACAGCAAAATTCCTAAAAATTAGACTCTAATGATGCATTGTCATGTACTTTAACTGGGAGTTAGTGTTCAAATTATCACTGAGAATCAACACTTGAAATTCAAAAATGTTAAAAAAAAATGGAGTTGGAAGGATGACTCAGCGGTTCAGAGGACTGCTTTTCCAGAGGACCCATGCTCACATGTACCTCCAGGTACAGGGGATTCATTGCCCTCTCTGGCCTCAATAGGCACCTGTACATATATGGCACATATTCATACACAAACATTAATACATAGAAATAATACAATAGCATTTAAAAGTGTAAAAATAGTCCAAATCCAACACAAAATCTCATATATTAAGAAAATAATAAAATAAAGCTATGTAATTAGCATAAATAATGTTTATATTAAGATCTGCACATTAACAGTTGCATGAATTGAAAGAATGTATTCAGGTTCCCATTGGCTCAGTCTTCATATCTGTGAAATGGGAATCACAATAATATCTGCTAAACCTATTAAGTGAATTGAGACATTCTCTAAAAGAAAAATGTCATATTTTCTATTATTTATGATTCCTAGATTTATGTAGTCACAGAAAACCTGTGTATATATTTATTTATTTATACATGTGTGTCTACATATACACATATAACAATAAAAGAAGTGAAGTTTTCCTGGAGAAAAAAGGCGGTCAATAAGACGAGGAAATGTGAGAAAGAAAAAAAAAAAGAATGGAAACACACGGAAGGGGTAAAGAAAATGTCATGAAAAATATGTACCTGCACAAAATATTTTAACTAAAATTTAAATCTGTTTAAAGAGTCATCATAGTAAAATTTTAATTTAATTTAAAAAATTACAATATGTTCTCCCAAAGCGATAAGCCTTTGTGAGACACAAAAATTCATAATGTGTTTCCACAAAGAATTCCTTATTTGTATATGAATGTAGGTGTAGGTATGCATTGTATGTGTGTATTTGCACATTTGTTCATGTATGTGTGTGTGGCATGACATGTGGAGTTTGCAGCACAACTGGAGGGAACAGATTTTTCTTTCTACCACTGAGTGAGTTCCAGGAATCAAGCTCAAGTTATCAGGCTTGACAGTGCCTTTACCCACTGATCTATCTCACTGTATGTGTGGCTATTCATGTGTGTGTATGTGTAAGCATGTGCAGGTTGCAAGGGCATGCATGGGGAAGCCATGGATGGCTCTCCAGCTTATTTATTTTATGAGTGTGGTGTTTTATGTGCATGCAGTGCCTGTGATAACAGAGGAGGGCATCAGATACCCTAGAACTGATGTTGCATTGGTGGTACAGTGGTGAGCATAGCTGGCTTCCAGATACTCTAAAATTAGAGTTACAGACGGTTGTAAGCTGTCATGTACCTAAGAGCTCTGAACTACTGAGACATCTCTACAGCTCTTTCACAGTTTTAAGGATGCCTTCTCACACCAGATATGAAATTCACCAATTCAATTAGGCTGGCTATCCAATCAGTTCTAGGGATCAACCTGTCTCTGCCTTTTCGAGCTGTAGAATGGGCTTCATTTTATTTTAATTTTTTTTACAGGTGTACTAGCAATAAAGAACAGGTTATTTAAATTTATGGAAAATTCATACATTTTGAATTGTTAGTTTCAGTAAAACAAATAGCATATTTCTCTCTCATTTGTGTTTCGTAGATTACATCCATGTTTATATGTAATTGTGCATGAATAGATGATAAGGAACTGGAAGTGTTACTAACTTAGGGAGTAGATGTAATGGGAGATGGAAGAAGAGAAAAGTAGAGGGAAGAGATCTGTGCAAGGGAAGGGTATGATACAGGCTGATAACAAGTGTTTCTCTCAATCTCTCTGCAGCTGCCCCTGTCCTGTTACCTTTCATTATCAACTTCACCATCATTAACCTGGAGTTTGAAGAGGACATGGGTCATCCTGGATCCAGGAAGTTCAACATCACTGAGAGAACCCTGCAGAGGCTGGTGAGAGTCCTGCTCACTGCAGCCAGCACCATCTACTGGCCATGCCATCCAAGTCCCTGAAGAAGGCACTGCCCATCTCATCCTGACTATACATGTGCAAATTCAACTTATTATTGCCTGTTTTGCTCATCTACTTGTGTCCTGTCTCTATCCCCTATGCCTCCGTCTCACCCCTCTCCTCTTTCTCCACAGCTTAGGTTCTTGTTCAATAAAACCAGTATTGGGCCATTGTATGCTGGCTGCAGACTGATCTTGCTCAGGTGAGTCCTTAGACTGGCAGACTAGAGTGGTTTGAAGCACTCTCAGTCCTAATATTGTGTTTAAATTCTTCCCTTCTTCTGAATGTCCTATGTACAGGTGAGTTTCGGAGGTACCATATCTAGTACCAAATGTCTCCTGATTCTGGAACACTTGTCCCACAATCTATCAACAAACTGGACCTCCTTTTTTCATGCATTTTGAATTTCCTACTTCCTTCTATCTTATTAACTTTAAAGTTGGCCCACATGATTTCTCTTAAAACAAACATGCCCTTTCTGTTCACTAATTTTGACCTTTGGTGGGCTAATTATTATTCACTCAAATGTGTCAGGTATGACTTCTACTTTTCTCATAGCATACACTTGCTTATTTGATTCTTGCAACTGATTAAAATTCTGGATTCACTTAAAATTCAGGGTCAAATATTACCCGAGGGCAATATGATAGAAATTCCACAAAAGACTTTGTAAGTCTCTATCAGATATTTCTGCTCCTCTGAGCCCTTCTTGTGCCATTCCAGATCACTCAGAATCCCTCCTGGGGACATCAATTTATCATCATTCTTCTCATCTACCCTTCCCAGGCGTGAGAAAGATGGAGCAGCCACCGGGGTAGATGCCACCTGTACCTATCATCTAGACCCTACTGGCCATAGGCTAGAAAATGAGCAACTATATGGGGAGCTGAGCAGTCTGACTCAGGGTGTTACCCAGCTGGGCCCCTACTTCCTGGACCAGAACAGTCTCTATGTCAATGGTGAGCAGCTGCCACTGTGTTTTGCTATATTGCAGAGCCCATGCCCTCCCTTCCAAGGCTTTCTTCCCCTCAATTCCACTATAGTTTAAATCTCCTTCTGTCTATGTAGGTTACACACACCAGATCCTGGCTACAACACCCAGAAGTGAGTGCTCTACCCCACCTACCACTATACCCAGCTCTTTGAAATGAAAGAAAGCAAGTAGCCTGTTGTGTCAATTTCACTCTTCACCTAAACTCCAACCTAAGAAGTATAGCACTTTAAACCCAGCCTGAACCCAGATGGGATGTCACTGGTGTCTCCACATAGATGATGACTCTACTCCAAATGGATTTCTTTTCCCTTCACAGTGTCTATGGCAAACATTGTTTCTTCAATTATGCCAGCTCCCACCTCCAATCTCACAGGTAAAATTCTCTCTGAAAATGCTTCAGGAGATTTCAATAACAGAAGGCAGGAGAAAGGGTGGAGAACCATGTCCAAAGGGATCCTAAGGTTAACAAATGATGTATGATAGAAGGACCTCAAAGATCTGAGAATTCTCAGAATACTATTTCTCACTCCAGCATCCAACCGTCAAAGCCATTCTCTGGTGCCTGCTTCTTAATGTAGGTGTCTACTGACTTATTCATCTTTCTCAAACCCTTTAAAGAATATTAATTAACCAGCAGACAAGTTATCCAAGCCAAATTTTTGTAGAGAGCAATATACAAAAATATCATCTCATGAATTTATCATTCCTCTAGTATGACCAACTAGATCAAATGACCAAGGTGTGTGTGTGTGTGTGTGTGTGTGTGAGTGAGTGTGTGTGTGTTTCACTATGCACAAGTGGAAGTCAGAAGACCCCTTGAGATTCTCCTTTTCTTACACCATTTCGGTCTCTCAGATATAACATAAGTTACTTGACTTGGCAGCAAGCAGTTTAATCTACTAAGACATTTTCCAGTCCTCATTGGCTCAAAAATGGACATCACAATAGCTACGTGGTCCTCTATACCAGGTCATTGTTTTTGAGCTATATAAAAAGACCTCTCAAACAAATGACCAACAAACATTTCTTGAATAAGAATAGAACCTGGTAAGATATATGAGTTCTAAAGTACTTTCTTTGCAAGCTTGAGGATCAGAAATCAATTCCCCAAAACTCATGTGTATTAGAGGCTGAGAAAGAGGGAAATAGAAGAGAACAAGGAAGGAATAAGAAGAGAAGAGAGAAAGAAGGGAAGAAAGAAAAGGAAACAAGGAAGGAAATTCATGGTGTCATGTACTTATAATCCTAGTTCATGGGAGATAGAGCCTTGAGGATCCCGGGAATTCACTGGACAGCCAGTCAAGCATACTTGACCAGTAATTAGCCAATTAAAGACCTTGTATCAAAAAGAGCAGATGAACAGTTCCTGAAAAAAAAACCTTCTAGGTTGTCATCTGTCATCCACATGTATGCACACTCACAAGCACAAGTATCCAAAAACATGTACACATGCAGGAAAACACACAGAAACACACACAAACACACACACACACACACACACACACACACACAGTGCACACATACTCAATTACAGGTATAGCTAAACCCAGACCCGTAGTCAAAGAGTGGTCAGATATCAAGAACACCTTACAAAAATTCAAAAGGAAAATACTTATGTGACTTTCATTCTCCTGAGAGTCACATACTATTTCTTCTGCTTGATAGCATATTTGCCAGTTTAGAGTAATCCTATTCATCCATGGTAACTATTAGGTAAGGCTGATGTTTGTGTCTTCTCTATGAGAAAACTGTCCACTTTTGGGGAAAACAAAAACCTTCTGAATGATTAAAGAAGCACATTGGTGATGCCCCAACTCAGGTTCAGAGACAGAAAATAAGACAAAGTTCAGATAATGTGTTTCTCACATCCTGTCCCTCTCCTGTAGTGGCAGCCCCCATTCCAGTGACTTTTACCATCAACTTCACTGTCATTAATCTGGAGTATGTGGAGGAGATGGGTCACCCAGGATCCAGGAAGTTCAATGCCACTGAGAGAATCCTGCAGAGACTGGTGAGATACCCACCAGAGTGTACAAAGGTCCACCCACAGAAGGAAGCTGCACTCAGAAAACTATGTCATGACCATGAAGAAGGCCCCTAAATCCTCAGCATAGTTCTCACACGCTCTTTTGTTTCTCCGCAGCTCAGGACATTGTTCAGTAAAACCAGCCTTGGCCCCCAGTACGAAGGATGCAGACTGACATTGCTCAGGTGAGACCTTATAATATCAGGCTAGGGGTTGAGAGATATTTCAATCATAAACTACTTGCGGACCAAGCATGAGGATATTATGTTTGATCCCAAACATCCACCTAAAAAGCCAGGCATGATGTCATGTGTTTGTCAAACCAGCATTGTAACAGTAGATAATGGAGGAACCCTGGAATTGACTTGTCAGTGAACCTAGCCAAATCTGTGAAACCTGGTTCTCAGATTAAGACGTATCTCAAAAAAAAAAAAAAAAAAAAAAAAAAAACAAAATAACAAACAAAACCCAAAAAAACAACAGCAACAACAAAAAATACGGGATGAATGGCTCCTAAGGAAGAATAAACTCTCAAGTTATTCTCTAACCTTCATATGCATACATAAGCAGGAACACACACATATAGGTCATCATGCTCTCCCATGAAAAGACTTAACACACCACACACACACACACACACACACACACCCTACCACCACCACCGCCAACAACAACAACACCAATTATACCTCAGGTATTCCTAAGCCAGTTCGTTTTGCTTGCCTTCACTCTTTATGACCTCAGCACTGGAGAGTTAATGACACATAACCTCCAGTTACAGACTATTTTCTGTTCCTACCATTTGTCCTCAGCTATCCTCATAGACTATACCCTCCACAGGATCCTAATTCTTAGCTATTCTCCATTTTCCCCCTTTTTCTCTGGCTTTGGAATAAAAAAAAAAAACATTGCAAGGGATAGTTTTAAGTTAATAGTATAATACTTCTCTTTAGGCAAGGTAATTTTCCACTCCCTTTTCCAGTGTTCATCTATTGTAAATATGAGCCCTTTAGGCACTGTGACATGAGGATGTAGCTTTGAGTCTTGCATTATATTTACTAGTTCCACTCCATGTCTGCTCATGCCATAAGGTAACTACCAGAAGTCAGTACATTCAGAGAGTGTATACTTGTCTTTTCATCAATATACCAGATTGCTTCATTTCTTCCGGCTCTACCCAGGTTTGTTGCAAACACATCTGGATCCCTCCCTAGGTAATCAAATGTATTTAATGTCAATCCCCTTCCTTGCCTGCCCTTCCCAGGCCTGAGGACAGTGGAGCAGCCACAGGAGTAGATGCCATCTGTATCTACCACCCCAACACTTCTAATCAAGAACTGGACAGAGAGCATGTGTACTGGGAGCTGAAAAGACTGAACGATGGCAGCATGCAGCTAGGGCCCTACACCCTGGACCACAACAGTCTCTATGTCAATGGTGAGCTATATTTCAGTGTCATACTCCTCTCCTCACATGTCTCTACTTTCTCCATCCCACCCCATTTTGACATTTGTTTCACTGTCTATGTAGGTTACACACAGCAGATTCTGGCCACCACCCACAGGAGTGAGTATCTTGATTTATCAGTAAGCGCATGAATCTGAATCTCTATTCCATGCCTATAACTCACCTTCATGTAGGGATAAACAGAGAAGGTGTTATTCTCCTTTATCTCCTATTACATGGGGTCCCCAGTCAAAAAACTTAAATTGTTTTTTTTCTTTTCAGCATCAGTGGTGGCTAATGTTTCTGAAGGAATGCCAAACACTTCCTCCATTCCTACAGGTATCCATTTCCCTCTGTTTAAACTTTCAAACTCATTTGAAAGATCAGTAGAGGCCTGGCACAGGTGAAAAATCCCAAATGGATCTCACAGCATTTTCCCAGGTCACTGAAGAATCTTTGGTCACCAGACAAGGCCCTAGCATCCTTCATCCTAAAACATCCCCTAGAACCTGTTTCTCAATCCTATTGGTCCTTAAACACATCATCATCCAACACCCCTGGCAATAGTACATTCTATCAGGACTATTGGTTGAGGGTATTTATTTAATCTGTAATGGCTAATGTGAAAGGAACCAGCACATTAAACAATCCAGGCTATAGTTTATCAACTAATCCATGAGTTTCTTTTAGTAACTAGTTTTTGGCACTGAACCTTAAGTCCTCAATGTAAAGGTGTATCTACCTTCCTGAGTGCAAAAGTATACTCATTTGTCGTTAGCAGAATTTTAAAGGTTTGATTTGTCCAAAATCTATGAACCAGGCATTTCTGGAGTTCCTGCATTTTCCCCCAATTATTCTACAGTATTTTGTCTGTGATAACAAAAAGTAAATACAACAAGAAAATCCATATGCTCACCTCTGGGATTAGGTGCTTGTACACAACTTGTGTTGTTTGAATCTAGGAGTGTGTACTGTACAATCTGGTGACATAAAATTTTGTCAGTTACATAAAAGTTACTTTGCTCAAGGCTGTGACAAAATATCCAACAAGAGGCTGCTTTTGGGAGCAAGGGATTGTTCTGGTGTAGAGAAGGCAGGGCAGTGAAGTAGGAGGCTGACTGATATACTGTGGGCCATCTTCCCCTTCAAACCACAGCAAACTTCCTAAAAATTAGACTCTTATGATGCATTGTCATGTACTTTAACTGGGAGTTAGTGTTCAAATTATCACTGAGAATCAAAACTTGAAATTCAAAAATTTTTTAAAAAAATGGAGTTGGAAGCATGACTCAGCGGTTCAGAGGACTGCTTTTCCAGAGGACCCATGCTCACATGTACCTCCAGATACAGGGGATTCATTGCCCTCTCTGGCCTCAATAGGCACCTGTACATATATGGCACATATTCATACACAAACATTAATACATAGAAATAATACAATAGCATTTAAAAGTGTAAAAATAGTCCAAATCCAACACAAAATCTCATATATTAAGAAAATAATAAAATAAAGCTATGTAATTAGCATAAATAATGTTTATATTAAGATCTGCACATTAACAGTTGCATGAATTGAAAGAATGTATTCAGGTTCCCATTGGCTCAGTCTTCATATCTGTGAAATGGGAATCACAATAATATCTGCTAAACCTATTAAGTGAATTGAGACATTCTCTAAAAGAAAAATGTCATATTTTCTATTATTTATGATTCCTAGATTTATGTAGTCACAGAAAACCTGTGTATATATTTATTTATTTATACATGTGTGTCTACATATACACATATAAAAATAAAAGAAGTGAAGTTTTCCTGGAGAAAAAAGGCGGTCAATAAGACGAGGAAATGTGAGAAAGAAAAAAAAAAGAATGGAAACACACGGAAGGGGTAAAGAAAATGTCATGAAAAATATGTACCTGCACAAAATATTTTAACTAAAATTTAAATCTGTTTAAAGAGTCATCATAGTAAAATTTTAATTTAATTTAAAAAATTACAATATGTTCTCCCAAAGCGATAAGCCTTTGTGAGACACAAAAATTCATAATGTGTTTCCACAAAGAATTCCTTATTTGTATATGAATGTAGGTGTAGGTATGCATTGTATGTGTGTATTTGCACATTTGCTCATGTATGTGTGTGTGGCATGACATGTGGAGTTTGGAGCACAACTAGAGGGAACTGATTTTTCTTTCTACCACTGTGTGAGTTCCAGGAATCAAGCTCAAGTTATCAGGCTTGACAGTGCCTTTACCCACTGATCTATCTCACTGTATGTGTGGCTATTCATGTGTGTGTATGTGTAAGCACGTGCAGGTTGTAAGGGCATGCATGGGTAAGCCTAAGATCAATCATAGGTGTCTTTCTGGATGGCTCTCCACCTTATTTATTTTATGAGTGTGGTGTTTTATGTGCATGCAGTGCCTGTGATAACAGAGGAGGGCATCAGATACCCTAGAACTGATGTTGCATTGGTGGTACAGTGGTGAGCATAGCTGGCTTCCAGATACTCTAAAATTAGAGTTACAGATGGTTGTAAGCTGTCATGTACCTAAGAGCTCTGAACTACTGAGACATCTCTACAGCTCTTTCACAGTTTTAAGGATACCTTCTCACACCAGATATGAAATTCACCAATTCAATTAGGCTGGCTATCCAATCAGTACTAGGGATCAACCTGTCTCTACCTTTTCAAGCTGTAGAATGGGCTTCATTTTATTTTAATTTTTGAACAGGTGTACTAGCAATAAAGAACAGGTTATTTAAATTTATGGAAAATTCATACATTTTGAATTGTTAGTTTCAGTAAAACAAATAGCATATTTCTCTCTCATTTGTGTTTCGTAGATTACATCCATGTTTATATGTAATTGTGCATGAATAGATGATAAGGAACTGGAAGTGTTACTAACTTAGGGAGTAGATGTAATGGGAGATGGAAGAAGAGAAAAGTAGAGGGAAGAGATCTGTGCAAGGGAAGGGTATGATCCAGGCTGATAACAAGTGTTTCTCTCAATCTCTCTGCAGCTGCCCCTGTCCTGTTACCTTTCATTATCAACTTCACCATCATTAACCTGGAGTTTGAAGAGGACATGGGTCATCCTGGATCCAGGAAGTTCAACATCACTGAGAGAACCCTGCAGAGGCTGGTGAGAGTCCTGCTCACTGCAGCCAGCACCATCTACTGGCCATGCCATCCAAGTCCTTGAAGAAGGCACTGCCCATCTCATCCTGACTATTCATGTGCAAATTCAACTTACTATTGCCTGTTTTGCTCATCTACTTGTGTCCTGTCTCTATCCCCTATGCCTCCGTCTCACCCCTCTCCTCTTTCTCCACAGCTTAGGTTCTTGTTCAATAAAACCAGTATTGGGCCATTGTATGCTGGCTGCAGACTGATCTTGCTCAGGTGAGTCCTTAGACTGGCAGACTAGAGTGGTTTAAAGCACTCTCAGTCCTAATATTGTGTTCAAATTCTTCCCTGCACTTCTTCTGAATGTCCTATGTACAGGTGAGTTTCGGAGGTACCATATCTAGTACCAAATGTCTCCTGATTCTACCACTTTTCCCACAATCTATCAACAAACTGGACCTCCTTTTTTTCATGCATTTTGAATTTCCTACTTCCTTCTATCTTATTAACTTTAAAGTTGGCCCACATGATTTCTCTTAAAACAAACATGCCCTTTCTGTTCATTAATTTTGACCTTTGGTGGGCCAATTATTATTCATTCAAATGTGTCAGGTTGACTTCTACTTTTCTCATAGCATACACTTCCTTAATTAATTCTTGCAACTGATTAAAATTCTGGACTCACTTAAAATTCAGGGTCAAACATTGCTGGAGGGCAATATGATAGAAATTCCACAAAAGACTTTGTAAGTCTCTATCAGATATTTCTGCTCCTCTGAGCCCTTCTTGTGCCATTCCAGATCACTCAGAATCCCTCCTGGGGACATCAATTTATCATCATTCTTCTCATCTACCCTTCCCAGGCGTGAGAAAGATGGAGCAGCCACCGGGGTAGATGCCACCTGTACCTATCATCTAGACCCTACTGGCCATAGGCTAGAAAATGAGCAACTATATGGGGAGCTGAGCAGTCTGACTCAGGGTGTTACCCAGCTGGGCCCCTACTTCCTGGACCAGAACAGTCTCTATGTCAATGGTGAGCAGCTGCCACTGTGTTTTGCTATATTGCAGAGCCCATGCCCTCCCCTTCCAAGGCTTTCTTCCCCTCAATTCCACTATAGTTTAAATCTCCTTCTGTCTATGTAGGTTACACACACCAGATCCTGGCTACAACACCCAGAAGTGAGTGCTCTACCCCACCTACCACTATACCCAGCTCTTTGAAATGAAAGAAAGCAAGTAGCCTGTTGTGTCAATTTCACTCTTCACCTAAACTCCAACCTAAGAAGTATAGCACTTTAAACCCAGCCTGAACCCAGATGGGATGTCACTGGTGTCTCCACATAGATGATGACTCTACTCCAAATGGATTTCTTTTCCCTTCACAGTGTCTATGGCAAACATTGTTTCTTCAATTATGCCAGCTCCCACCTCCAATCTCACAGGTAAAATTCTCTCTGAAAATGCTTCAGGAGATTTCAATAACAGAAGGCAGGAGAAAGGGTGGAGAACCATGTCCAAAGGGATCCTAAGGTTAACAAATGATGTATGATAGAAGGACCTCAAAGATCTGAGAATTCTCAGAATACTATTTCTCACTCCAGCATCCAACCGTCAAAGCCATTCTCTGGTGCCTGCTTCTTAATGTAGGTGTCTACTGACTTATTCATCTTTCTCAAACCCTTTAAAGAATATTAATTAACCAGCAGACAAGTTATCCAAGCCAAATTTGTGTAGAGAGCAATATCCAAAAATATCATCTCATGAATTTATCATTCCTCTAGTATGACCAACTAGATCAAATGACCAGGTGTGTGTGTGTGTGTGTGTGTGTGTGTGTGTGTGTGTGTGTGTTTCACTATGCACAAGTGGAAGTCAGAAGACCCCTTGAGATTCTTCTTTTCTTACACCATTTCGGTCTCTCAGATATAACATAAGTTACTTGCCTTGGCAGCAAGCAGTTTAATCTACTAAGACATTTTCCAGTCCTCATTGGCTCAAAAATGGACATCACAATACCTACGTGGTCCTCTATAACACGTCATTGTTTTTGAGCTATATAAAAAGACCTCTCAAACAAATGACCAACAAACACTTCTTGAATAAGAATAGAACCTGGTAAGATATATGAGTTCTAAAGTACGTTCTTTGCAAGCTTGAGGATCAGAAATCAATTCCCCAAAACTCATGTGTATTAGAGGCTGAGAAAGAGGGAGATAGAAGAGAACAAGGAAGGAATAAGAAGAGAAGAGAGAAAGAAGGGAAGAACGAAAAGGAAACAAGGAAGGAAATTCATGGTGTCATGTACTTATAATCCTAGTTCATGGGAGATAGAGCCTTGAGGATCCCGGGAATTCACTGGACAGCCAGTCAAGCATACTTGACCAGTAATTAGCCAATTAAAGACCTTGTATCAAAAAGAGCAGATGAACAGTTCCTGAAAAAAAAACCTTCTAGGCTGTCATCTGTCATCCACATGTATGCACACTCACAAGCACAAGTATCCAAAAACATGTACACATGCAGGTAAACACACAGAAACACACACAAACACAAACACACACACACACACACACACACACACACAGTGCACACATACTCAATTACAGGTATAGCTAAACCCAGACCCGTAGTCAAAGAGTTGTCAGATATCAAGAACACCTTACAAAAATTCAAAAGGAAAATACTTATGTGACTTTCATTCTCCTGAGAGTCACATACTATTTCTTTCTGCTTGATAGCATATTTGCCAGTCTAGAGTAATCCTATTCATCCATGGTAACTATTAGGTAAGGCTGATGTTTGTGTCTTCTCTATGAGAAAACTGTCCACTTTTGGGGAAAACAAAAACCTTCTGAATGATTAAAGAAGCACATTGCCAATGCCTCAACTCAGGTTCAGAGACAGAAAATAAGACAAAGTTCAGATAATGTGTTTCTCACATCCTGTCCCTCTCCTGTAGTGGCAGCCCCCATTCCAGTGACTTTTACCATCAACTTCACTGTCATTAATCTGGAGTATGTGGAGGAGATGGATCACCCAGGATCCAGGAAGTTCAATGCCACTGTGAGAATCCTTCAGAGACTGGTGAGATACCCACCAGAGTGAACAAAGGTCCACCCACAGAAGGAAGCTGCACTCAGAAAACCATGTCATGACCATGAAGAAGGCCCCTAAATCCTCAGCATAGTTCTCACACGCTCTTCCGTTTCTCTGCAGCTCAGGTCATTGTTCAGTAAAACCAGCCTTGGCCCCCAGTACGAAGGATGCAGACTGACATTGCTCAGGTGAGACCTTATAATATCAGGCTAGGGGCTGAGAGATATTTCAATCATAAACTACTTGCGGACCAAGCATGAGGATATTAAGTTTGATCCCAAACATCCACCTAAAAAGCCAGGCATGATGTCATGTGTTTGTCAAACCAGCATTGTAACAGTAGATAATGGAGGAACCCTGGAATTGACTTGTCAGTGAACCTAGCCAAATCTGTGAAACCTGGTTCTCAGATTAAGACGTATCTCAAAAAACAAAACAAAAAAAAACAAACAAAAAAAAAAAAAAACAAAATAACAAACAAAACCCAAAAAACAACAGCAACAACAAAAACTATGGGATGAATGGCTGCCAAAGAAGAATAAACTCTCAAGTTATTCTCTAACCTTCATATGCATACATAAGCAGGAACACACACATATAGGTCACCATGCTCTTCCATGAAAAGACTTAACACACCACACACACACACACACACACACACACACACACACACACACACACACACTACCACCACCACCGCCAACAACAACAACACCAATTATACCTCAGGTATTCCTAAGCCAGTTCGTTTTGCTTGCCTTCACTCTTTATGACCTCAGCACTGGAAAGTTAATGACACATAACCTCCAGTTACAGACTATTTTCTGTTCCTACCATTTGTCCTCAGCTATCCCCATAGACTATACCCTCCACAGGATCCTAATTCTTAGCTATTCTCCATTTTCCCCCTTTTTCTCTGGCTTTGGAATAAAAAAAAAAAAAAACATTGCAAGGGATAGTTTTAAGTTAATAGCATAAGACTTCTCTTTAGGTTAGGTGATTTTCCACTTCCTTTTCCAGTGTTCATCTTTTGGAAATATGAGCCCTTTAGGCACTGTGACATGAGGATGTAGCTTTGAGTCTTGCATTATATTTAATAGATTCACTCCATGTCTGCTCATGCCACAAGGTAACTACTAGAAGTCAGTACATTCAGAGAGTGTATACTTGTCTTTTCATCTATATACCAGATTGCTTCATTTCTTCCGGCTCTACCCAGGTTTGTTGCAAACACATCTGGATCCCTCCCTAGGTAATCAAATGTATTTAATGTCAATCCCCTTCCTTGCCTGCCCTTCCCAGGCCTGAGGACAGTGGAGCAGCCACAGGAGTAGATGCCATCTGTATCTACCACCCCAACACTTCTAATCAAGAACTGGACAGAGAGCATGTGTACTGGGAGCTGAAAAGACTGAACGATGGCAGCATGCAGCTAGGGCCCTACACCCTGGACCACAACAGTCTCTATGTCAATGGTGAGCTATATTTCAGAGTCATACTCCTCTCCTCACATGTCTCTACTTTCTCCATCCCACCCCATTTTGACGTCTTTTTCACTGTCTATGTAGGTTACACACAGCAGATTCTGGCCACCACCCACAGGAGTGAGTATCTTGATTTATAAGTAAGCCCATGAGTCTGAATCTCTATTCCATGCCTATAACTCACCTTCATGTAGGGATAAACAGAGAAGGCCTTATTCTCCTTTATCTCCTATTACATGGGGTCTCCAGTCAAAAAACTTAAATTGATTTTTTTCTTTTCAGCATCAGTGGTGGCTAATGTTTCTGAAGGAATGCCAAACACTTCCTCCATTCCTACAGGTATGCATTTCCCTCTGTTTAGACTTTCCATCTCATTTGAAAGATCAGTAGATGCTTGGCACAGGTGAAAAATCCCAAATGGATCTCACAGCATTTTCCCAGGTCACTGAGGTATGTTTGGTCACCAGACAAGGCCCTAGCATCCTTCATCCTAAAAACATCCCCTAGAACCTGTTTCTCAGACCTATTGTTCCTTAAACACAGCATCATCCAACACCTTTGACAATAGTACATTCTATCAGGGCTATTGGTTGAGGGTATTTATTTAATCTGTAATGGATAATGTGAAATGAACCAGCACATTAAACAATCCAGGCTATAGTTTATCAACAAATCCATGAGTTTCTTTTAGTAACTAGTTTTTGGCACTGAACCTTAAGTCCTCAGTGTAAAGGTGTATCTACCTTCCTGAGTGCAAAAGTATACTCATATGTCGTTAGCAGAATTTTAAAGGTTTGATTTGTCCAAAATCTATGAACCAGGCATTTCTGGAGTTCCTGCATTTTCCCTCAATTATTCTACAGTATTTTGTGTGTGATAACAAAAAGTAAATACAACAAGAAAATCCATATGCTCACCTCTGGGATAAGGTGCTTGTACACGACTTGTGATGTTTGAATCTAGGAGTGTGTACTGTAAAATCTGGTGACATAAAATTTTGTCAGTTACATAAAAGTTACTTTGCTCAAGGCTGTGACAAAATATCCAACAAGAGGCTGCTTTTGGGAGCAAGGGATTGTTTTGGTGTAGAGAAGGCAGGGCAGTGAAGTAGGAGGCTGACTGATAGACTGTGGACCATCTTGTCCTTCAAACCACAGCAAAATTCCTAAAAATTAGACTCTTAGGATGCATTGTCATGTACTTTAACTGGGAGTTAGTGTTCAAATTATCACTGAGAATCAACACTTGAAATTCGAAAATGTTAAAAAAAAATGGAGTTGGAAGGATGACTCAGCGGTTCAGAGGACTGCTTTTCCAGAGGACCCATGCTCACATGTACCTCCAGATACAGGGGATTCATTGCCCTCTCTGGCCTCAATAGGCACCTGTACATATATGGCACATATTCATACACAAACATTAATACATAGAAATAATACAATAGCATTTAAAAGTGTAAAAATAGTCCAAATCCAACACAAAATCTCATATATTAAGAAAATAATAAAATAAAGCTATGTAATTAGCATAAATAATGTTTATATTAAGATCTGCACATTAACAGTTGCATGAATTGAAAGAATGTATTCAGGTTCCCATTGGCTCAGTCTTCATATCTGTGAAGTGGGAATCACAATAATATCTGCTAAACCTATTAAGTGAATTGAGACATTCTCTAAAAGAAAAATGTCATATTTTCTATTATTTATGATTCCTAGATTTATGTAGTCACAGAAAACCTGTGTATATATTTATTTATTTATACATGTGTGTCTACATATACACATATAAAAATAAAAGAAGTGAAGTTTTCCTGGAGAAAAAAGGTGGTCAATAAGAAGAGGAAATGTGAGAAAGAAAAAAAAAAAAAAAGAATGGAAACACACGGAAGGGGTAAAGAAAATGTCATGAAAAATATGTACCTGCACAAAATATTTTAACTAAAATTTAAATCTGTTTAAAGAGTCATCATAATAAAATTTTAATTTAATTAAAAAATTACAATATGTTCTCCCAAAGCAATAAGCCTTTGTGAGACACAAAAATTCATAATGTGTTTCCACAAAGAATTCCTTATTTGTATATGAATGTAGGTGTAGGTGTGCATTGTATGTGTGTATTTGCACATTTGCTCATGTATGTGTGTGTGGCATGACATGTGGAGTTTGGAGCACAACTAGAGGGAACTGATTTTTCTTTCTACTTCTGTGTGAGTTCCAGGAATCAAGCTCAAGTTATCAGGCTTGACAGTGCCTTTACCCACTGATCTATCTCACTGTATGTGTGGCTATTCATGTGTGTGTATGTGTAAGCACGTGCAGGTTGTAAGGGCATGCATGGGGAAGCCATGGATGGCTCTCCAGCTTATTTATTTTATGTGTGTGGTGTTTTATGTGCATGCAGTGCCCTGTGATAACAGAGGAGGGCATCAGATACCCTAGAACTGATATTGCATTGGTGGTACAGTGGTGAGCATAGCTGGCTTCCAGATACTCTAAAATTAGAGTTACAGACGGTTGTAAGCTGTCATGTACCTAAGAGCTCTGAACTACTGAGACATCTCTACAGCTCTTTCACAGTTTTAAGGATGCCTTTTCACACCAGATATGAAATTCACCAATTCAATTAGGCTGGCTATCCAATCAGTTCCAGGGATCAACCTGTCTCTGCCTTTTCAAGCTGTAGAATGGGCTTCATTTTATTTTAATTTTTGAACAGGTGTACTAGCAATAAAGAACAGGTTATTTAAATTTATGGAAAATTCATACATTTTGAATTGTTAGTTTCAGTAAAACAAATAGCATATTTCTCTCTCATTTGTGTTTCGTAGATTACATCCATGTTTATATGTAATTGTGCATGAATAGATGATAAGGAACTGGAAGTGTTACTGTCATAGGGAGTAGATGTAATGGGAGATGGAAGAAGAGAAAAGTAGAGGGAAGAGATCTGTGCAAGGGAAGGGTATGATCCAGGCTGATAACAAGTGTTTCTCTCAATCTCTCTGCAGCTGCCCCTGTCCTGTTACCTTTCATTATCAACTTCACCATCATTAACCTGGAGTTTGAAGAGGACATGGGTCATCCTGGATCCAGGAAGTTCAACATCACTGAGAGAACCCTGCAGAGGCTGGTGAGAGTCCTGCTCACTGCAGCCAGCACCATCTACTGGCCATGCCATCCAAGTCCTTGAAGAAGGCACTGCCCATCTCATCCTGACTATACATGTGCAAATTCAACTTACTATTGCCTGTTTTGCTCATCTACTTGTGTCCTGTCTCTATCCCCTATGCCTCCGTCTCACCCCTCTCCTCTTTCTCCACAGCTTAGGTTCTTGTTCAATAAAACCAGTATTGGGCCATTGTATGCTGGCTGCAGACTGATCTTGCTCAGGTGAGTCCTTAGACTGGCAGACTAGAGTGGTTTAAAGCACTCTCAGTCCTAATATTGTGTTTAAATTCTTCCCTTCTTCTGAATGTCCTATGTACAGGTGAGTTACTGAAGTACCATATCTAGTACCAAATGTCTCCTGATTCTGGAACACTTGTCCCACAATCTATCAACAAACTGGACCTCCTTTTTTTTCATGCATTTTGAATTTCCTACTTCCTTCTATCTTATGAACTTTAAAGTTGGCCCACATGATTTCTCTTAAAACAGACATGCCCTTTCTGTTCACTAATTTTGACCTTTGGTGGGCCAATTATTATTCATTCAAATGTGTCAGGTATGACTTCTACTTTTCTCATAGCATACACTTGCTTAATTGATTCTTGTAACTGATTAAAATTCTGGACTCACTTAAAATTCAGGGTCAAACATTGCTGGAGGGCAATATGATAGAAATTCCACAAAAGACTTTGTAAGTCTCTATCAGATATTTCTGCTCCTCTGAGCCCTTCTTGTGCCATTCCAGATCACTCAGAATCCCTCCTGGGGACATCAATTTATCATCATTCTTCTCATCTACCCTTCCCAGGCGTGAGAAAGATGGAGCAGCCACCGGGGTAGATGCCATCTGTACCTATCATCTAGTCCCTACTGGCCATAGGCTTGAAAATGAGCAACTATATGGGGAGCTGAGCAGTCTGACTCAGGGTGTTACCCAGCTGGGCCCCTACTTCCTGGACCAGAACAGTCTCTATGTCAATGGTGAGCAGCTGCCACTGTGTTTTGCTATATTGCAGAGCCCATGCCCTCCCTTCCAAGGCTTTCTTCCCCTCAATTCCACTATAGTTTAAATCTCCTTCTATCTATGTAGGTTACACACACCAGATCCTGGCTACAACACCCAGAAGTGAGTACTCTACCCCACCTACCACTATACCCAGCTCTTTGAAATGAAAGAAAGCAAGTAGCCTGTTGTGTCAATTTCACTCTTCACCTAAACTCCAACCTAAGAAGTATAGCACTTTAAACCCTGCCTGAACCCAGATGGGATGTCACTGGTGTCTCCACATAGATGATATATCTACTCCAAATGGATTTCTTTTCCCTTCACAGTGTCTATGGCAAACATTGTTTCTTCAATTATGCCAGCTCCCACCTCCAATCTCCCAGGTAAAATTCGCTCTGAAAATGCTTCAGGAGATTTCAATAACAGAAGGCAGGAGAAACGGTGGAGAACCATGTCCAAAGGCACCCTAAGGTTAACAAATGATGTATGATAGAAGGACTTCAAAGATCTGAGAATTCTCAGAATACTATTTCTCACCCCAGCATCCAATCCTCAAAGCCATTCTCTGGTTCCTGATTCTTAATGTAGTTGTATACTGACTTATTCGTCTTTCTCAAACCCTTTAAAAATGTTAATTATCCAGCAGACAACTTATCCAAGACAAATTTGTGCAGAGAGCAATATACAAGAATATCATCTCATGAATTTATCATTCCTCTGATATGACCCACTAGATCAAATGACCAAGGTGTGTGTGTATGTATGTGTGAGTGTGTGTGTGTGTATGAGTGTGTGTGTGTGTGTTTCACTATGCACAAGTGGAAGTCAGAAGACCCCTTGAGATTCTTCTTTTCTTACACCATGTCGGTCTCTCAGATATAACATAAGTTACTTGCCTTGGCAGCAAGCAGTTTAATCTACTAAGACATTTTCCAGTCCTCATTGGCTCAAAAATGGACATCACAATACCTACGTGGTCCTCTATAACACGTCATTGTTTTTGAGCTATATAAAAAGACCTCTCAAACAAATGACCAACAAACATTTCTTGAATAAGAATAGAACCTGGTAAGATATATGAGTTCTAAAGTACTTTCTTTGCAAGCTTGAGGATCAGAAATCAATTTCCCAAAACCCATGTGTGTTAGAGGCTGAGAAAGAGGGAGATAGAAGAGAACAAGGAAGGAATAAGAAGAAAAGAGGGAAAGAAGGGAAGAAAGAAAAGGAAACAAGGAAGGAAATTCATGGTGTCATGTACTTATAATCATAGTTCATGAGAGATAGAGCCTTGAGGATCCCTGGAATTCACTGGGCAGCCGGTCAAGCATACTTGACCAGTAATTAGCCAATTAAAGACCTTGTATCAAAAAGAGCAGATGAACAGTTCCTGAAAAAAAACCTTCTAGGCTGTCCTCTGTCATCCACATGTATGCACACTCACAAGCACAACTACCCAAAAACATGTACACATGTAAGCAAACACACAGAAACACACACACGCACATGCGCACACACAGTGCACACATACTCAATTACAGGTATAGCTAAACCCAGACCCGTAGTCAAAGAGTGGTCAGATATCAAGAACACCTTACAAAAATTCAAAAGGAAAATACTTATGTGACTTTCATTCTCCTGAGAGTCACATACTATTTCTTCTGCTTGATAGCATATTTGCCAGTTTAGAGTAATCCTATTCATCCATGGTAACTATTAGGTAAGGCTGATGTTTGTGTCTTCTCTATGAGAAAACTGTCCACTTTTGGGGAAAACAAAAACCTTCTGAATGATTAAAGAAGCACATTGGTGATGCCCCAACTCAGGTTCAGAGACAGAAAATAAGACAAAGTTCAGATAATGTGTTTCTCACATCCTGTCCCTCTCCTGTAGTGGCAGCCCCCATTCCAGTGACTTTTACCATCAACTTCACTGTCATTAATCTGGAGTATGTGGAGGAGATGGGTCACCCAGGATCCAGGAAGTTCAATGCCACTGAGAGAATCCTGCAGAGACTGGTGAGATACCCACCAGAGTGAACAAAGGTCCACCCACAGAAGGAAGCTGCACTCAGAAAACCATGTCATGACCATGAAGAAGGCCCCTAAATCCTCAGCATAGTTCTCACATGCTCTTCTGTTTCTCCGCAGCTCAGGTCATTGTTCAGTAAAACCAGCCTTGGCCCCCAGTACGAAGGATGCAGACTGACATTGCTCAGGTGAGATCTTATAATATCAGGCTAGGGGCTGAGGAGATATTTCAATCACAAACTACTTGCGGACCAAGCATGAGGATATTAAGTTTGATCCCAAACATCCACCTAAAAAGCCAGGCATGATGTCATGTGTTTGTCAAACCAGCATTGTAACAGTAGATAATGGAGGAACCCTGGAATTGACTTGTCAGTGAACCTAGCCAAATCTGTGAAACCTGGTTCTCAGATTAAGACGTATCTCAAAAAACAAAAAACAAAAAAAAATAAAAACAAAATAAAAAACAAAACCCAAAAAAACAACAGCAACAACAAAAAATACGGGATGAATGGCTCCCAAGGAAGAATAAACTCTCAAGTTATTCTCTAACCTTCATATGCATACATAAGCAGGAACACACACACATATAGGTCACCATGCTCTTCCATGAAAAGACTTAACACACCACACACACACACACACACACACACACACAAACACCCTACCACCACCACCACCAACAACAACAACACCAATTATACCTCAGGTATTCCTAAGCCAGTTCGTTTTGCTTGCCTTCACTCTTTATGACCTCAGCACTGGAAAGTTAATGACACATAACCTCCAGTTACAGACTATTTTCTGTTCCTACCATTTGTCCTCAGCTATCCCCATAGACTATACCCTCCACAGGATCCTAATTCTCAGCTATTCTCCATTTTCCCCCTTTTTCTCTGGCTTTGGAATAAAAAAAAAAAAAAACATTGCAAGGGATAGTTTTAAGTTAATAGTATAAGACTTCTCTTTAGGTAAGGTGATTTTCCACTCCCTTTTCCAGTGTTCATCTATTGTAAATATGAGCCCTTTAGGCACTGTGACATGAGGATGTAGCTTTGAGTCTTGCATTATATTTAATAGTTCCACTCCATGTCTGCTCATGCCATAAGGTAACTACCAGAAGTCAGTACATTCAGAGAGTATATACTTGTTTTTTCATCTATATACCAGATTGCTTCATTTCTTTCGGCTCTACCCAGGTTTGTTGCAAACACATCTGGATCCCTCCCTAGGTAATCAAATTATTTAATGTCAATCACCTTCCTTGCCTGCCCTTCCCAGGCCTGAGGACAGTGGAGCAGCCACAGGAGTAGATGCCATCTGTATCTACCACCCCAACACTTCTAATCAAGAACTGGACAGAGAGCATGTGTACTGGGAGCTGAAAAGACTGAACGATGGCAGCATGCAGCTAGGGCCCTACACCCTGGACCACAACAGTCTCTATGTCAATGGTGAGCTATATTTCAGAGTCATACTCCTCTCCTCACATGTCTCTACTTTCTCCATCCCACCCCATTTTGACGTTTTTTTCACTGTCTATGTAGGCTATACACAGCAGATTCTGGCCACCACCCACAGGAGTGAGTATCTTGATTTATAAGTAAGCCCATGAGTCTGAATCTCTATTCGATGCCTATAACACACCTTCATGTAGAGATGAACATGGAAAGTGTGATTCTCCTGTATCTCCTATTACATAAAATCTCCAATCAAAAAACTTAAATTGTTTTTACTTTTCAGCGTCAGTGGTGGCTACTGTTTCTGAAGGCATGCCAAAAACTTCCTCCATTCCTACAGGTAAGAATGTCCCTCTGAGTACAAGCTGATCCTACATTCAAAACAGCTGGACAAAACAGCCCTACAGACTACAGCCAGCATATCTGAATCTTCTTCGAATCCCCCAAGACTGTGCCCCTTACCAGCAGGAAGTAGTTTGGAAAGAATGACGCCCAAATTCCCAAATATTGTGTATAAATGTTTGTTTTCATTTAATTGGACTGTTATATAAAATTAAATAAAATTTAAAAAAATAAAAAAGAAAAAGAAAAGTGAATTGCATCATACAATAAATCAGGTATGCATATATATATATATATATATATATATATATATATATATATATAAAGAATGTCCCTCTGTTTAGACTTTCCAACTCATTTGAAAGATCAGTAGAGGCATAGGTGAAAATCCCAAATGATCCCAAATGGATCTCACAGCATTTTCCCAAGTCACTGAGGAATCTTTGAACACCAGACAAGGCCCTAGCACCCTTCATCCTAAAACATCCCCTAGAACCTGTTTCTCAATCTTATTGGTCCTTAAACACATCATCATCCAACACCCCTGACAATAGTACATTCTATCAGGGCTATTGGTTGAGGGTATTTATTTAATCTGTAATTGCTAATGTGAAAGGATCCAGCACATTAAACAATCCAGGCTATAGTTTATCAACTAATCAATGAGTTTCTTTTAGTAACTAGTTTTTGGCACTGAACCTTAAGTCCTCAGTGTAAAGGTGTATCTACCTTCCTGAGTGCAAAAGTATACTCATATGTCGTTAGCAGAATTTTAAAGGTTTGATTTGTCCAAAATCTATGAACCAGGCATTTCTGGCGTTCCTGCATTTTCCCCCAACTATTCTACAATATTTTCTCTGTGAAAACTGCAATGTACAAGATTATCAACTCATGATTTTGTCAATCCCCTGGTTTAACCCACTAGATCAAAACACCAAGGGTTGTGTGTGTGTGTGTGTGTGTGTGTGTGTGTGTGTGTGTGTGTGTGTCTATGTGTGTGTGTTTTTGTGTGTGTGTGTTTGCCTGTGTTTCTGTGTGTGTCTTTATGCGTGTGTCTGTGTCTCTGTGTGTGCATGCACATGTGCACACAAACATGCTTGTGTGTACTTACACTGTGAAAGCCAGAGATTAGTTTCTGTTGTTTTTCTCAGGTTTCATCTTAGAAATACAGTTCTGACTGGCGGTTCAATAAGTATTCTATTTGTTACTTTAGCGTGAGGACCAGAGTTTTGGTTTCCAGAACCCACATAAAACCTGGATGAGCATAGCAACCTGTTTGTAACCCTACAAGAGACTAGGACATGAAATCTCTGGATAGCCAGACTAACAGAAAGGACAAGCTCTGTGTTCCCTTTGAGAGATCTTGACTCAATATATAATAAAATAAGATACCTGACATTAGCCTTGGCTCTCACAAGCATGTACATGCACTTGTACACCACACATATTCAGAATGTATTTGAACACACATACAGATATGCATACTTCACACATGCATATGTCAAAACAAAAAAATTCTATAGCTTTAAAAATATTTTTTTCTTATCAGAGCCCTCTACCTTAATGTCTTAATCTGAGCTGAAAATTAACCCTGCTTGGAGAAATTAGCCCTGTACCCTAGTCATCTAAGGTCTTCTGTGATGGACATGGCCAGTGAGCAAACATGGAAGTGGTGATTGGATAATGCTCTATACAGTTGCCGTGTTGTTGCATGAAGGGAATCAACAGAAAAAAGAGATAATTAATCCAAAACAGTAATAGAGATGTATGCCATCTACCAGTAGCCACACAACTTTACCACCACTCCAGAGACCATTACCTGTTAATACCTCCTCAGACAGGGATGGGCTAGATGAGCCTCTCCTCCATCCATGTTAGAACTTCTCTAGGTAAGAGTAGCTATGAGTTTAAGTGCAGCAGCCATGTGGTATTCTGAAGACAATATCCCACATGGCTCTTCCCCATCCTTCTCCCACATTCTTTCCTCCTCCTATTGTGGTAATCCCTAACCTTTTCAGGGATGATATAGGTGTTCTGTTCATATCTAAACACTAACAGTCATTCTCAGAACCCTGACTAGTAAAGAGTCCCTGCAGTAACTGCTGTCTGCTCCAAAATATGCTCTCTTACCAAGCGCAAAAGCACATTGATATTGCTATTTTAATTGTCTTGCATTTTATTACTATTATTGGTATCATTCAAAATATTTTTTTTAATTCTGGTAGAGATGTCATGAACTATTTCCCTAGTTGTGAATACACCCAATGATATGAATATAGACTGTCCTAAACACAATCTTGTACCAGTATGACTCAGAACTCAACCTCTCCTAATTTTATTGTAGCCTCAAGCTCTGCTCTGCTGCTGCTCACTCTTAACTTCACTATCACCAACCTACCCTACACGAAGGACATGTGGGACCCAGGATACGCCAAGTTCAACAAAGTAGAGAAAGTCCTGCAGCTCCTGGTGAGACCCTTCCCCATACCCCTTGATTCACCTACCTTGGGTCTTTGCTCACTCCATCCATACTTGCCACCTCTTGCCCCAGTCAACCACTAAAGCCTCATCCACTTTTTTTTCTTGTTCTATTTATCATCAGTCACATACATTCCCCATGTTACACTCATTGGTGTCTGCCTACCTTTTGTCTCACCTACTTAAGTCTCACCTGTTTCCTCCAGTCACACCACTCCCTTGCCTGGTTCACTGGTACCCATTCACCCACTCCATTCCTGTCTTCTTGCCACAGTCACGGATGCCTCTTCAACCATACCCCTCCTTTCTCTCACTCTAGCCGTGGTTGTTTAGCCCACTCACTACATCCACGTCCCTGTTTATTTCACCAACATTTGCTCACTCAGATTGCTTTCATAATATTTATTGGTTCTCTACCTACGTTTCCCAGTCCTACTCATCTCTTCTTGCCATGCCTACAGATTATCTCCACCCACTACCCGCTTACCCAGCTCATTCACTAAAGTCCTACCCACCTCTCTATCTTGTTCTGCCATTTGTTTTTACTCATATTTCTCCTCTGACCCTCCATGGTGCCCTACCCATCTCTTTCAGCCCAACCTACTTCTCTTGTCTTTCCTTCTGGTGACCTGCCTACCTCCCTTACCCTATCCCCTGTTTTCCCATCCACTCAGCCCTACCATCACCTTCTTCTGTCCATGCTCACTCACTAGGGTCCCACCCACAACCCCTCTTGCCTCGCCTATTGATATTCACTCATTCTGGTACCCACCGTCCTGTTCCAGGTCCTCCATCTCTCTCTTACCAAACCCACTTACTGCTTGTCCATGAAGTCAAAGCTTTCTCACTTCCCTTTTCCTACCCCTTCATCAAAGCTCCACTAAAACCCCCATATTGCCACACTTACTGGTACATACCACATTTGTCTTGTTATACTTTGCCCCACCCACTTGTTTCAGCTTAGACCACCTCTTGCTTCACAAACTTATAACACACCCAATCTATCTCTGCCTATCTCCCTTGCCTTTATCATTGGTGGGTACATACCCACAGCCCTTGCACACTACACACAGTTGTTGTGCTCACCTGCCCCAGACATACCAATGTCTTGTTTCCCCCACTAAAGTCCCCAAGCCCACATCTAACACTGCTTCACTTGCTCCTCTTGTCCTTTGCTCTGACATCTGCCCACATCTCTCATATGATATCTCATATGACTGGGCCCACCCATCCCAACCCTTCCTATTTTTTTGTTGCTACATCCACTAGCATCTCTTCCACCTCTCTTATCCCCACTTATCCCTCTCTTGCCACAGACATTGAGGTCCTACCAACTCTCTTTAGTCCTGTCTGCCTTCCACTTGCCCAGCCTTTCCACTAAAACCCTGTCTACTTACCTTTATTTCCCTGCTGCTGATCAACATCTCTACTGCCTCTCTCACCCATCAAGTCTCATCCATATCCCTACTTGCCTCACCTACTATTTCCCCAGTCTACCCCTTCTTGCAACACACTTATTTCACGCCCTCTCCCCTTTTCCCTAAACAGACTGTATATTTAATTGTACCCTCTCTCTTCTTCACAGCTCAAACCTTTGCTTCAAAATACCAGTGTTGGCCTACTCTATTCTGGTTGCAGATTGACCTCACTCAGGTGAGACTTATAGAGAAGACCAGCCAGGGAGGCACAGTGAAGTTTCTACACATCCTTCTCTATAGTCAGGTCTTCCTTTTGGTCTTGGCCCTTTTACAGGACCTGGGTTATGCCAGATTCTATCCTTTCTTGTTCTTCTGAACTTCAATCTCCCATGTACTTTGTATTACTTTCTGTCACATAAACATACAAAACCCAAACCAAAGAAAACAAAACCAAACAAATATCCCAGAAATAATCAACTTACAAAGAGAAAGCACTTTTTGTTTGCTTGATATTTGTTGTTGTTGTTTTAAAAACAACCAGGCTTACAAAACTTTAGTGTGTGTTGGAGAATGACCCTGAACTTATGATTCTCTTATCTTTACCTCTTGAGTGCTGGTATTACTGGTGTGTACTATCAGACTCAGTGTATATGGTGATAGAATAATGGCACCCAGAGTCTCATGAACACTACATCAGCACTCTACAACTGAGCTACATCAAAAAACTAAAAGTTTAATTTTGATCAGAGTTTTAGAGGCGCCTTTATCCACAATCAGAAAGATCATCACTTTTGGTTCATGGAGGGGCAATAGAGCAAATTTGCCCATATCTAGACAAAAAATAAAAGTGAGAAAGAGTAATAAGCTGGAGTTTCCTTGAAGACACACCACACAATGATCTAAAGAGCTCTCACTCAGCTTCAACAATCCCCCGATTCTCAATAGCTCCACCCTAGAGATCACACCTGTGCAGTGTGAACATCTGGGGGATATTTAAGATTTGTAGTACAGGCTTTCCTAAAAATTCATTTGGGTGTTCTTTTGATGCTACTTTGATGCCCTTAATTGAAGACCAATCCTCCTCTAATTGTGAAATTGATCCTCTTTAACTAAGCATACAGTTTTAGAAAGGATGTACATGGCTGCTGATGGAGGAAGTGGATACCTGCTTAATTAGGCCAATCATCCCAACTCAACCCACAGCCCAGAACAGTATTTGTGACTAATATGGCAAAGCTGCTGGAAATTATGAATGAATCTCTTTCATAAGGGGCATACCCCTAGCCTTTACAAAAGATATTCTACAGTCTTAAAATACATTCCAAGACACATTCAACTGTTCCTGATGGTTCACACACAACAAGCAGTTAGTATATGCCAATGAGCCACTGCCCCTAGTTGAAAAACTATTGACAATCAATCAATTCTAGGGGAGTTCAGTTTTCTTCCATAAGATTGGACAGCTGCATACCCATGAGTACATCAGCAACAACACATATTGACCTCAGTGGAGTATAGAAAAAAAGAGGATATGAAATTGGGAGAGGATAGAGGGAGGGGTATATTTGGAAGAACTTGAGGAAAGAGTGTAAGGTATGATCAAAACACATTGCATGCATTATGAAATTCTCAAAGAATTAATAAAAATAATATGAATACAAAAAGTATTCTATCTTACCTAGTAGCCATCAACTGCTAATAGTTCCACAGGAATGGGTAAGACCCTCATATATGCTAGAAGTTTTGCTGACTTGATTCTTCTCTTGTGCAAGTAAACATAGCTGCTGTGAGTTCATGAGTATAGTAGCCATGTATTTTAAAGCACTCATTCCCAACTTCTAGTTGTTACTTTCTTATTGCTTTCACTTTTTCAGTGTTGTCCAAGCCTTGATCATAAAAAAAGCTATTAAAGGTTTATAATTTAGGGCTGAATACTCACAGTCTGTTATTCTTTGTTAAACCTGGCCTCCTGCCTCTGTACCAGACCTCTTATTCCTGATGGCTTCTTCCTTTGTCACTCCAGTAATTTTCAAGACCATTTATGATTACCATTTTTACTCTCTCCACAGTCCCAGGAGGAATGGAGAAGCCACTGGAGTGGATATAGTTTGCACCTATCACCCTGACCACATAGGTCATGACCTGGCCAGAGAGCAACTGTACTTGGAGCTGAGCAAGCTGACCTATGGTGTCACTCAGCTGGGCCCCTACACTTTGGATCAGGACAGCCTCTATGTTAATGGTGAGGAATGAGTATTGGCCATTTTTCTTTTGATGCAACAAAACACCTCAGCAACACAATTTAAGGAGAGAAGCTTAACTTTGTCTCAGAGTCTGAGGAAAGATACAGTGTTTTATGCCACAGAGGGCATGGGCAGAGACAGGAATGCTGGCCTTCATTTACTTTCTCCTTTTTATTCACTTCATGGCCTAAAGCTGTGGAGTGCTACTACCCATATTCGGTGAGCATCTTCCCTACTCAGTTAAACTCATCTGGAAATGCTTTCACAGACATGTCCAGGTGTATCTCATATGTTACTCCAAATCCCATCAAACTGACAGCCAAGATTAAGCCTTTACAGGCTGCTCACCTTTAATGCTGCTCAGGAAGCCACACATACTCCTTTTCTTTTTTCTACTTGACCCTTCTTCTTTTATTCCTCTAGCTATGCAGCTTATATCCACCAAATCTTAGTCACTACCTCCAGCAGTGAATAAGATGAGGTTTCAGGTGTCTGTTAAGGTTGAAATTTTGTACCATAATCAACCCAGACATTATAAATGGAGGAGCTCATGAGCCTACTTGTCTCTATAGCTCACCCTCACCCAATGTCCAGCCTTGAGTGAGCAGAGATATGCTTCCTGCAGTTGACCCAGATATAGACACTTCCTCTCTGAAAAAAAATATAGAAAAATAGAGTTCCCAACAAACTGTTTAGGATACTTTCTCCCTAGCTTTTACACTAGGAGCTCCTACTTCAGCATAAAAGTTCATGTTTGAATGTGGGTCTCTTCTTTCTATCTGGGTGTGCTCTGTGGCTAAAGGTATGCTGCAAACACAGTCTGAAGTAAAATTGGAAATAACATCTTTATAAAGACAGACTTTGAAACTAGTAATTTAAGATGTTCTGCAACAGATAGACCTGTTCATGCCAAAAATTGTCTTTTTGTTGACAATCTTTCTCTTTCCTCATCACCTTTCCATGTCTCTACAGGTTATACGCATCCAGGCTCAGGTACAATCCTTAACAGTGAGTATTGCAGACCTCTACATAGCCCTGGTTGCCTCCCTTCTCAAATATGGAAGTCTGGATGAGTAAACACACCTTAAATATGTGTCACATAGGGATTAGGTTTCAAGAAGCCCAATAAAATTACCATTTCATTTCTCACCTTAGGTTTTTTGTTGTTATTTTTGTTTTATCTCAGCACCTGTGACTACTACATCCATCCAAGCTTCCTCTCTGGCTCCATCCCCTACAACCAATTTCACAGGTAGGGAGGGATACATGTTCTTAATTAGTACCAGTAAGGTAAGCAAACCATTCTTCTCTCAATCCCCATCTACCTTTTCAGTTATAACATTATTTTACATTATTCAGTCTGGTTACTTGAGATCCAAATTATGATCCCAGTCAGTACCACAAACAAGTTCCTAAGCATTGGTCTACACACTTCCTAGATACCAGTCAAGTCTCTTTGACATCCAACTTACTTTTTTTGTTGTTACTGTGATAAAACATTCTGATCCAATCAACTCAAGGAAGGAAGGAATAAAGGAAGGACAGATTTATTTTTATCTCTTTAAGGTACAATCCATCATAGAGTTAAAGCAGCAAGAGAATGAAGGGGTTGTTCACATCATATTCACAATTGGAATACAAGATCATGAATACATGTTAGTGCTCCAATACCCTTTTTCCATTTTATGCATTACAGGGTACCCCACCAGGAAAAGTCCTGTTCATAGTTAAAATATATTTTCTCACATCAATTTATATAATCAAGATGATCTCCCACAGGTATGCTAAGTCCATCTCCCCAGTGACGCTTTTAATTTATCATCAACAGTAACTGTCACAATCACTCATCCTGAAGATATAATTGTCTTCCAAATATAACAATTCTTCTCATAATTACAAGGGCAGAGGTAGGATACTGACTTTCACCCCATATCCAACTGTCACCAAATCTCATCTCTTGTTCCTTTGGGAGCACTCTTGAATCTTTTCTTTCTCTGTATCTATATCATTTAGACTCTATTGAGGCCAGCATATTTTTCCTAGAAAAACTGTAGCAGCATCTATTATGACTTCCTAGCATCTTCTACATAGTAGCTATAGCATTTTTATTTTGTGTTTATGTCTATTGAATGCCTTTCTTTTTTATTTAATTTTTTTCCATTTTACACACCAACCCCAGTGTCCCCTTCCTCTTCTCCCCCCAATCCACCCCAAAATCAGCCACATATACTTCTCATAGGGGCCAAGGCTTCCCTTGGGGAGTCAACAAAATCTGGCATACCAAATTGAAGTATGACCAACCCCTCTCCCACCCTAAATCAAGCCTGAGCAAGGCATCCCATCACAGAATCAAGAAGCCAGTTCATGCATCCAGGGTATAGAATTCCTTGCCTATAAATAACATTTGAGTGACTTCATTTGTTCTTTGAGTCACATCCAAAGCTTTGTGTTATTTAACCACTGCTTCTCTGGAATAAGCTCAAAGGATCTTGCAAATCTCACACCTGTACTCCCCTCTGGCCATTGTGAAGTAATATTAAGTTCCAGTAATTCACCATGCTCTCTTATCCTGCATGCCTTTACTCAGGCTATCTGGAGTAGTCTCCCTACTGATTAGATTCTAGAAACTCATAGCTATACTGTTTGTCACAACTGAAATAATGCTCTCTCCAAACAGCTTTTTAAAGTCATTGGTTGTGTCACTCATGATTTTCCTAGTGCCCTTTTACTAGCTTCTCTCGAAGTATAATAGTGGAAACTTCCCTGGCTTCTACATTAGGTGGCACTTCCCTATTCATCTTTGGACCTAAAGAGTTTATCACAGAAGATTTCACACACTAATCATTCCTAGATGCATGAAGAAAAGTTCCAATTCTAATGTTTTAATAGGTCCAGAATATCCCTTGCTTCAAACCCTATTAGACCAACAATGTCACATAGTATTTTTAGCACCCTTGGTCATTACCAGTTCTAAATCTGGACATCTCTATTTTCCTCACTGCTGCAGGCAATGATACCATTATAGTACCCATCACACTCAACTTCACCATCACCAACTTGCACTATACAGAGGAGATGGGACATCCAGGTTCTTTGAAGTTTAACTCCACTAAGTGGATCTTACATTATTGGGTAAGTCCTTCCAAAAACTGCACCAACTCTAACCCTATGTTACAATTCCCTGGCAAGGCCCTCTCTATAGTTTTCCTAATGCTTTTTTTTTTTTCATCAGTTTGACACCTTACTCAATAAGACCAGCATTGCCCCACAGTACTCTGGATGTAGATTGGCTTCACTCAGGTGAGACTGCAGAGGGAGTAAACTGTTGTAAAACAGCAGATATCATGCACTTATAAAATTTCTTTCTAGCATAACACTTTCTTCCTGCCCAGATAGAGTGTAGATTGAGCAATTAGTAACTTACTAATAGGAATTGTTTAATGTTGAAAATTCAAGTGATAGTCTATTTAAAACAGGGGTTTTCTTAGAAGAACTGGGTATTCTGTTTACAGTATAAGTAAAATATTTTATGAAGGGTTAGGGAGATAGATCATTTTGTAGAATGCTTCCCATAGAAACATGAAAAAGTGAACCTAACTCCCAGAGTCCACATAAAAAAGCTAGTTGTGGTGGACAACATTTGTAATCACAGCACTGGCAAATAAGAGAAACCCTGATTGAACAATATGAGAGACCCAGAAGTGACAGGCAGATGACGAAGCTCACTAATCAGTCAGCCTAGCCTAACTGGAAAGCCTCGGGTTCCAATAAATGACCCTATCTTAGGACAATAAGAAAGAATATTAAAAATAATGCAGAATGCAGGGCTGACAAGATGACTTACTAGGTAAAAGCATTTTCAATGCAAACTTGATGACGAATTTGATTCCCAGAACCAATATAAAATTCAGATTTGGTAGCATGCATTAGTAATCCTAATACTCCTATAATGAGGTGAGAATCAGACAGAGAGGAATGCCCCAGCCAGGTCCTGGAATATGCAGTACAGCAGAAACAAGAGAGAGCCTGATTCAACAATGTGAGAAAGCTGACTCCTGCAAGCTGTCCACACACTCAACATTTCTTGCTTGAGCCTAATCATACACATTGTGTGTTTGTGCAACTGTCACATGTGCACATGTGTGTGCAAATACATGAGCACACATGCGCAAGCATGCACACACACACACACACACACACACACACACACACACACACAAAAATGATTTATGATAACAGTATCCAGAGACTCAGAGGAGACAATGAGGACCCACTTTTAAACTTTGTAACTGTCCCATTCATGATCTTCAGCCTTCTCCCTTCTACCCCTTTCTTTCAATGCTCCAGAGGCTCATGAACTGACCTCACTGTTCCAAACTCTCATGTCTTTCTTCCAGGTCTGACAACCATAGAGCAGCCACAGGGGTGGACATCATCTGCACTTTTCACTCTGATCCCATGAGTCCAGTGTTAGACCAAGATCAGTTATTTTGGGAGTTGAGCCATGAGACCCATGGCATCACCCGTCTGGGCCCCTACACCCTGGACCAGAACAGTCTCTACATTAATGGTGAATTCCAACATTTAAGCCATGATCTCTCTCCCACTTAGAATCTTATGTTTTGCTAAAGTACTGATCAATTCATACTTCTATCTAAAATGAATATTGTCCATTTTTCCTTCCTTTTGTGTGTTGATTCTCTCTTTATTGTGATGGTTCAAAACCACCCTGGGGAACTGGACAGAATGCCTGCTTTGAATGAATAGGGATGTTGGTCCCATTAGCATTCCAGTTTTATATCTCAGAACCACTTGTCAGTTGTTTGGCTAAGAGCAAGTATAAAACTGTAGGTATCTGGTTGATGGACCTGAAATAGCAGCCACACCCCTTTGGGTGTGGCTTCAGGATGGCAGGAGCAGAAAGAGGGGTGCTTGAGGCATGGCTTTCCTTTAATTCCTGTTGGGTCAGCAGATCCAGTAGGAAGAGCAGGGGAATTCTCTGGTGGTTCTTTGGGTTTTTTTCTATATAATTGCCTCCAATAAGCACCCAGTTATTATTTAGCTTGGATCTAGTGATATAATTACACCCTTGCCTCCATAAAGCATTCACAGAGACAATAACTAGCTCTAGCCACCTTCAGTCTCATTGCCTAGTTAGCTGTATCCTCATGAACATTTGTTTCCTGCCTTTGTCTCTGCTTTTGCCCCAAAGACTACATGTTCTCCTTTTCCCTTGATCCTGGATATTCATCCATAAGTCCCTCACATTTTCTTTCTGTTCAGGTGACCATTTTGGAGGTGCAGCCCCAACTACCACCAGTAAGTATTTCTGTCTGTCATTGCCTAGGTTCTGCATCCACTTTCAGGGACCCCAGAAATAGTATTTTTTCCCAAAGAGTTTGTTCAGTCTTTGGTTGGATTTTATAGTCATCTCCTACTAGATTTCACTTCCCTAGCCAAAGAATTTAACCCATAGATGCTACTGGAGAACCTTGTAAACATACACAATACATGTTACTTGGAAGAATGAAGAAAAGATGGTCTTAATAACTTAAGAGTTATAGAATATCCCCTGTTTCAGACACTGTTAGTCTCTCAGTGTTTTTGTGGTTAGGTCTGGGAAGAGCTTTTGCTCACTGCTTTATTCCAGGTTGGGAGCTTGCTTCTCTCTTTAACAGCTACTCAGTGTTCTATGATGGTACCCATCACTCTCAACTTCACCACCACCAACATCTCCCCACCACCTCAATGAAAGACACAATACCCTCCTCCCCTGGCTCCTTAGGAGAGGAAGCCGTCTCCTACCACATTGGTCCTTTCATGGGTTCCATTTTAAGTCTCCTACAATCCTGTCCTTAAGAAATAAACTGAGGCACAATAACACTTTCTTTTAAATAATTTATTTCATCAAGTCATAATTTATGAAATGAGAAGACCCAAATCAAAGTTGGTTCAGATCTTCCAAAGAAAGACCATGGGGGTGTAATTACAGACAAATTCTGAACAAAACTAGGAAAGTACTTAGTTATATTCAAGTATGTATTATAGAGTTCTTATTTGAATGGCTCTAAATCTTGTTGAATAGGTTACTGGTAACTTTTATTTTGACTGAGATGCTTTCTTTTCTTCTTTTTTTCTTTTCCATCTTTTTATCTTTTTATTTCTCTCGTCTTATCTCTCAGACTTTCTGTACCTCTTTTACACTGGTGTTGATACTAAGATGAAGGGAGAAAAGAAGACGGAGGACAAGAGATTGGGGGCAAGGAGACATGGAGGGTGCTTGGAAGAGGTTAACAGAGGGAACAGGAAAAGGGAAAAAGGGAGGATGTGGGACAGAGGGGAGAGAAAAGGGGAGATGGCAAGTGGAACAGAAGTAGCCAGAAAGGAAGTGTAGGAAAGAAATAAATGAGAGAGAAAAGGACAAATAGGACAGAAGAGGGAATCTAGAAAAAAGGAGGAGGAATGGGCAGAGAAAAAGGGATGAGTGTAACAAGAAGAGACAAAGAAGAGAGGTAAAGGAAGAGAGAAAATGTAGGTGGCTAAGAGGGGAAGGAGAGAATAGGAAAGGAGAAAGGGAAGGGAGAAGCATGGGGGGAAGAGATGGAGCAGAGGGAGAGTAAAAGGACAAACAGACATTAGGTAGCATCAATCCTGCTTGAGTATGTAATATTATCCTTTCCCCTCACAAAGCAAATGTCCTGTGGTTATACTGAACTTACTCATGTGGAAGGTGGGAGGGTAGCAATGGTCTATCAGGAGTCCTCACATCAAGGGTACCCTTAGCTGATACCTGCAGTTGCCTCCATTAACAAATCACCCTTAAATTAACCCAGAGTCATAAAATGAGCCCTTGAAAGACTCACTATAATGTCTTCATCCTCATCTACCTGCCATATCAGCTTTTAGCTTTATCTCTTTCTACCTGCACAGCTGGGGAAGTTAATGAAGAGATGTTCACAGTGAACTTCACCATCAACAACCTGCGTTACTCAGCTGACATGGGCCAAGTTGGCTCCCCCAAGTTCAATATCACAGATACACTCATGCAGCACCTGGTAAGCTGCCTGCTTCCCCTCAGGCACTTCTATTTCCTCTCCTAAGTGGGATGCCTGTCTCTAACCAACTCTGGCTCACTTCTTTCTCTACAGCTCCGCCCTTTGTTTCAGAGAAGCAGCCTTGGCCCCCTATACACAGGCTGTAGAGTAGCCACTCTAAGGTGAGACACATTTTCCACTTATAGCTCCCCTCTCCTCCTCAACAACCCATTATCCAATTTGAAAAGGCTTAGAGTTGTGGTGATAGGGAGACCTCAGACCTAGTTATATTTTTGTTTTGTCTTTTAATTTTTTTAGGATAATTTAATATTTCATAGCAACAGGGTACTTGTCAATAATCCCTCAGTACTGGGGTGGTGGCATGGCTTAGAATCCACCAGTTAATGGACTTGGGGATGGCCTGGCTGTAGATCACCTACCAAGAATGCACAAGATCCTAGTTTTGATGCCAGAATCACAAAAATATTAAATTATTGTAAAACAAAAACAAAACATAAGACTGGGTATAATAACACACATCTTTAATCCCAGAATTTTGGAGGCAGAGACAGACAGGCAGATTTCTTTGAGTTCAAGGCCAGCCTGGACTTTGTAGTGAGCTCCAGAATGGCCTATGATGCACAGTGAAACACTGTTTCAAAAACAAAAATAACAAACAAACAAAAAGCAAACCAAAACTTAAAATGGACTGGCTGGCTGACTAGCGAGCTCCTGTCTGAGTGCTTAGATTTCTACTGGGTTGCCTCATCAAGCCTTGATTTGAGGGTTGTGTTTACTGTTATTGCATTTTTGTTATGCTGTATTTGGTGGATATCCTTGGGAGGATTTTTTTTTCTGAAGGAAAATAGAGGGGTGATGAATCTGAATGAGAAGGGAGGGGGAACTAAAAGTTGTGAAGGGAGTGGTCAGGATGTATTGTATGATAGAAAAATAAATAAAAACAAGAAGAAAAAACTCAGGTTATCTTGCTTTAAGAGCAAGCATTATTACCCACCAAGTCATTTCTTCTTCCCTTATTTCTTTTTAATTGTAGATATATAACTATATTTTTCACAAAAATTTACCATCTATATTAGTCAGCTTCAGATTACATTAATGAACCATCTAATAAAATTAACTTAAGAAAGAAAAGAGTATTTGGTTTATGTTCTGGACGGTTTGATCAAGAAATGGGACAGGACTACATCATTAGGCCTCTAGCATGTGGTAAAAGAAGGAAAATCACATTAAAGCTAGGAAACAAAACTGAATGAGTGTTGGAGTCCAGTGCTAAACATTAAGGGCATCCTCCAATGCCCTAAGGATGAACTATGAGGTCTTACCTTCTAATGACTCACAATACCTCCTTATCACAGGAGCCTGAAACAAAGCTTTTAACACATAGACCTTTGAGGAACAACTGTTCATCCATATTGAGTCTTTTTAAGGATTTCAAAGTGAACAGTAAAGTGCTACTAAATATCTTTACATTGTTGTATGATCATCACTACTATCAATCTCTGAAACTTTATCTTCCCAAACTGAAACTCTGTTCCAAGTAAACATGACTATTCACCCACACATGCAGACCCCTTCTACCTACCATTCTTCTTTTCATCATAAAATATTCATCTTAGGTGGATGGTTCATTAAATTTAGCACAGTGTCCTCAAAGTTTATCTGTGTTGTGATATGTAAGAATTCCATTTTTTTCTAGTATCAAGTAATGTTATGTGCACTTTCCCACCAGCCTGTCCCACGGCCATGTCAGTCCCAAAATAACACACAGAGACACTGTATTAGTTATGAAACTGTTGGCCACTGGCTATGTTTTTTATTGGCTAGTTCTGTCTTAAATATTAACTCATTTCTATCAGTCTAAGTATTTTCACATGGTCTTATCTTATCAGAGAAAGGGTCCAGACCTCTTACTCCTCTTGGTCCTACATTTTGACTCCCCTCTACTACATCTCCCAGAATCCTCCTTGTCTTCTAGTCCTGCCTATTTTGTCTTCCTATTTGCCAACAGTGCTTTATTCATTAACCAATAAGAGAAGCATATTTACAGAATGACATCTCCCATCAAAGTAATGTTTCACCTGTATGTAAATGTCATGTTTTGTTTATCTGTTGAATATGACCTTGAGTTTTGCATGAGGACAGGCAAATGTGCCAGGTTCAGGACTTTTAATATGACAGGAAAAAACAAAATTGTCTAATCCCTGCCTTTATGGGTGCTGTATTCTGAAAGAAACTGGGACAGATAACACACGATTCCCTAGGGGGTGGCCAGTGCTATAATGGGAGAAGGATGAGATTCTGCGAGGTTTAGAAAAGCCTGCTGGCTTGGTCCTAAAACACTGAAGGAGAAATAGAAATAAAAAAGATGAGAAAGAAGTAGATGGGAAAAAGGAGAAGAAATAAGGGAAAAGAGGAAAGAGGAGAGAGGGATAATGTATGATAGTATTAGCAGGGATATTTGAATGAACATCTACTCACTCCAAAGAAGGAAATGATGACACATCAAAGTCACTGTATCACCAAAGTACAACTCAGTGAACCAACGAGATTACTGGGATATTTATAGGCTTGAGTTTGAGTGATTACTTATCGGAACACGGACAACTCTTGGGCAGTGACATTACTGCAAGCCCAGCCCAATATAGACAAAAACCTCATGAAAGATTTTGTGCTGGAGGTCTCGTTGCAACTTGAGAATGTCTGAGCAGGTTGGACAGTCTCCCCTCTTCAGCACTCCTATTGATTATATAACTTCAGGAAGGGAGGAGCCTTGTGAATCTGATACATTTCAGAAGTGTTCTTTCTGATACATCTGTAGTCTTTATTTTCTTGCTTTACTGAGCCTCCCTGTAAAACTTTGGGTCTATAATGAGCCTCTAACCAGAATAGAATGTTTCAATGTGGAAGAAACTGCTACAAAACAAGGAAAAGTAAGAAGAAGATGAAAAAGAGAATAAAGAAGACTGTGATGGAGAGGGAAAGAGGAAGAGCAGGATAAAAGAAGGAAAGGGACAAAGAAGGTGAAGGGACAGTGAAAGAAGAACAGGGAAGAAAAATGAATATGAGAAAGGGGATGAGAGGAAACATAGAAGAGGAAGAGGAGAAGGAAAGGAAGAGAAGGAAGAAAATAACAGAAGGGAGATGAGCAAGAAGGGGAGAGGTTAAGAGGGAGAAAAAGAGGTGAAACTAAAGTTGGGATAATTTTGTTGAAGAAAGAAACTTTTAGACAAAAGTAAGCACAATGTGAAGATCCTAAATTGAAAAAGTGAGAGAGCAAAGCAGCAAACAATATCAATAAAATCAGAGTGTAGACTATGAGCTGTGTAGAGTGACTACAGGGGGAGGGGCAGCAGGTGATCAGAATCTCCTCCATGTACACCTCTTTCTCCCCAACTCAGGTCAGTGAAGAATGGTGCCCAGACCCAGGTAGATGTCCTCTGTACATACCACCAGGTTCCCAATAGTCTGGGACTTCCTGCCAAGTCAATTTTCTATGATCTAAGTTGGCAAACCCATGGAATCACCCAACTGGGTCCTTACTCTCTGGATAAAGACAGCCTTTACATCAATGGTGAGCATTTTCTATCTGTACCTCCATACTCTCCTGCATGCCCCAAAAGTTACCAGTTACCAATTCTTTGGGGAGACATTAGGATTCAAATCTAGTCTCCTAACCCAAAGCCCCACCTATTCCCCAAAAGCCTACTCCTTAACAAATCCCAACTTGAGAGTTTTGAATCTAAGACAGGATCCCAGATGTCACTGCCAATGTGATGCCCTAGGCAATTACTTCACAAAAGAGTCAATCTTGGAGAAATAAAGAGAATACATTTGTCTCAAAGCCTGCATCCTTCTCACCCTTGATAGTAGACTAACTTCTCTTCTGGGCTGTTTTCTTACAGAGGGAGAAAAGCAGGCATGAGTGTCCCTAATGACCTAAGATTCTGACACTACATATCGGCCTAAAACCAAGAAAGGACAGATTCTAAGAGATACACCTTGTATGGCATTTTAAAATGCAACTTGTCAAAATAATTCCCTCTTTCCCTTGCCTTAACTCCCTCCCATCTTCCTCTCCCTCCTACTTCCCTTTCCTCCTACCCCTCCTCTTCCTGTCATTACCTACCTTTCCTTTTCCTCCCTTTTCATCTGTTCCCCTATCCTTCCACACCATGCCTAGAACTAGTTCCTAGGAACTCACACTCATGTATCACCATTGCCTCATGATGTAGCTTTATTTTTATTGCTGTGATCAAATACCTAACAAAATCAGCTTAACAGAAGAAAGGTTTAATTTATTTTCCAATGTAAGGAAATCACTCTCATCATGGTAAGGAAGGTGAGGCACCTGGTCACATAGCGCCAATGGTCAGGAAGAAGAAACAGCCAAGTGCAAGCCTTCGGGTTACTCTCTCCTACCTATTTAGACATGGCTCATGATAAGGAGATACCCACAGTTAAGGCACATCTTTCAACCACATCTCAAACTTAGAAACTCTCTCAGAGACATGCCCAGAAGTTTGTCTCCTAGCTGTTTCTAAGATCACTAAAATTGGGAAATCAACTGTAACTGTTATACACAAGTACGGAAGAGAGGGCCGATATTGGCACCCTCCCCATTGCTCTCATTTTAACAAAGGGGACACTGAGGCAAAGAGAACGGAAGGAACATGTCCCCACTTTGGTATTCTGCTTCACATCCATCCCTTCAATTCTGTCACAGAAAAAAAAACTTGGTTAGAATCCACCTTCAAAAATTTCACTCTTTAAGTGCATCACTTTGTTGTCCAGTCAACATTTGCCAAAATCTACTATAAATCAGATCATATCCCTGGGGCCGGGAACTAATAATTTTTAAATGTATCTTGTCCCAGTGTAAATTTCAGAACAATAAAAAATCGATTTGTTCATTACTGTATGCTTCGTAGAAATAAAGTGCAACTTTTTTCCCTAGGTTACAATGAACCTGGTCCGGATGTACCTCCTACAAGTATGTGTCTGTATCATTAAGAATTTTGGCTTATGTATGTCTTCTCATTCAAAAAGGCATGCCTCAGAACAAACCAGGCTCCCAAGAGAGGCTAAGGTCTTAGTAGATGAATAATGTTGAGTCCTTGGCCCTCTTTTTTTGACCTGCATCCCTAGCATTGGACTGAACTTTTCATGTTTTTTATTTTTATATTCATTCATCCATCCTTTACTTGTGTTTTCTGTTGTTTGTCCTTCATTTCTTCTATCCATTTGCCCATCCATCCATACATCTTCACATACATCTGTATACTTGCCCATATAAGCATTTATCCATGAACTATCTATTCATGAATCTTTCTGCCCACCTACCTATGCATTTGTCAATCCATTCTCCCCTATATCCACACATTTTCTTTTGTCCAAATGCCTATTTGACACTCATTTCCCTTTATTGCTGTCACTATGCATCTATATGCCTCTCTAGACACCCTGTGAACAACTTGGCCACCCATCCATCCATCTTCCTATTTTTCCATTTATCAATATACCTTCCTATCACACATTCATACCCTGTTTCTGCCCAGTTATCTACCTATGTCCATGCTCATTCATTTAATTGTACTTTCTTCCTTCTGTTTTGCTTCTACCTCCTAAAACTGCTTTCAACCTTTTTGAATTCTGCTTTGACCTATCATTTATATGTTTTTCTTTACAATCACCCCTTCTACTTTCTGCATTCAAATATATCTGTACTCTTTGATGAGCTTCTCCTCTTTTTATCACCCTCACTGTCTTACTAATTTTATCTACAGATATTTCTCATTCCTCTACTAACATGATTCTCTTTCCCTTACTCTTATGGGTAATTTTTCTGACATGAACCAATGCTATAAGGGTTTCCATATCAGGTCACTCTGTTCATGCCTAATGACTGCCTTTTCCACAGCTCCAGAGCCAGCCACCACCATCTTACCCTCCCCACCAGTTTCTCTACAGCCAGAGTCCAGTACAGGTATACGGGGGGATCCTTTTATTTTACTTGACAAGAATGCCTTGCCCCACACCTCTAACAGTTGCCACATGTCATTGAGAGCTACGAAACTTAAGATGTGAAGAGCCCAGTGCTAGGTTCATCATTACATACAAAAAATCCAAGCAGCAATTAAATTAGATGTCTGCCCTCACACAAACACCATGTTCATAAGGTAATCAGATGATTAAAATATAATGAGGGGAAATAAGAAGGAGATACAAGCGGCATAATAGAAAAGACGGCTTATGAAGAAAATTCCACCCATACTGATACTGCTGTTATGAATAGGAATGATCCAGACAAAAGGGTAATAAAGTGTTGATTGAAGGAAAATTACTTCAGCAATGACTCAGTAAATCAGAAACAGCATGTGCACACAGATAATTGACAGGACAGTGGTTTGCATGAAGAATACCACTCACTACAGAAAGGATAATTCATGAAGGAAGAAAGGCATAACAAACAGCTTAGAATGAACTTCAGTTCCAAATTAAGAAGCTTCTCCTTAAGATGGGTAGATGAAACAGTGGGTAAAGTGCTTGGCCCCAAACATGAAGATCAAAGTTCAAATTCCTAGCACCCATGTTAAGTGTTGGGTAGTCATGACAGACCACATAATAGAGAAAATGAAATGATCAGAGCAGTCTTCCAGTCATGTCACCACACTGAGTCAGGTTTTACCTTTCTGTTTTCCTCCAGCTATGTGGCACCACCTGGAAACCTTCACAATCAACTTCACTATCTCCAACCTTCAATACTCAGCAGATATGATCAGTGGCTCAGCCATGTTCAACTCCATTGAGAATGTCCTGCAACACCTGGTAAGACCCTCTGTCCTAAAAATACCATGTCAGAATTAACTTCATCTACATTCTCCAACTAACTGTTTACTCTCTTTTTTTTTTTCCTTTTTCATCCACAGCTTGGAGCCTTGTTTCAGAATAGCTCCCTTAACTCAAGTTGCAGACTGGTCTCCCTCAGGTGATTCTACTTCCATCTAATTACCCAAGAATTACCATCCCTTCTTTTGATAATCTTCACTTTTCTCCTTTCTTGAGGCTTCCATCTACATTAGGACCACCCCTTGAATCTCTATACCTTTCTCTCTAAGACCTGAGAAGAATGGAACATTCACAGGTGTGGTGACCACCTGCACATATCAGAATGACACTGCACATCCTGGAATGGACACATGGGGTCTGTACTCAGAACTGAGCCTTCTGAGCCATGGAGTCACCCAACTGGGAAACTACACACTGGAGAATCATAGCCTCTATGTAAATGGTGAGCATGGTCTGTTGTATGTTGTATGATCTCCTCAGGCATCCATTATTTACTCTGTACTGTCAAATGTTCCTAGTGGTCTTTGTGTAGACTAGCTGTTTCTATGGCCTTCATTTCTGTCCAAATAATTAAATAAGCACACACAAAAAGCATAGAAAGGTAAGGTATATAATCACATCACAGACAACATCAAGAAGGAAAACGATATAAATGTTAGTCTTTAGCTCTCTACCTTTTATCCATCCAGGTATCTAGGCCCTGGAACAGTGCTGTCTAGAGTTAAGGAATGCCATCCCTCCTGGGTTGACCCAATCTATGAACTCCTTTAACATCATGCTTAGAGTTTTTCTCCTTGGTGATACTAAATTGTCATACTGACTATTTGTAGTAATATTTACACCCCATGCAGTGTGAAAGAACATCATACTTCCATTTTAACAAAGAAAGAAATTAAGGCACTGGAAATGAAATGGGCCAAGATACACTTTTAAGAAATGAAGTTTGTAGCTGAAAAGAGTCTTGGTGTCCTGAGTTTATATTTCATCCTTTGACCATTGAAGACCTATGCATTGTTTCTCTCTCAAAATAAATGCAAAATTTATATGCCTAATTTGTTGCCAAGTCAGCATTTATTAAGAATCTATTGAAAACAGGAATTTGTTTCTGGCACCAGAGATGAATAAGTTTCATGTTCACCTCATCTGAATGTAATCTATAGTGAGGCAGAGCCAAGCTACAATATTATTCAGCACAGTATTCTTCAACTTTAAGTGGAATAAGACACATAACAAATGGGTTATTATATTTTATATACAGGAATATAGGTATAATGGCATTGATGAGAGTATATCTTTGGATTTTGAGGTATGGACATAAATCATATGAGACACTCATTCTAGCAGCCTACAAGGGAGCTAGTAGAGAAGAGTTGGATTGGAATAACACATCAGGAAGGTTTCCCTTGTGATGATATTTACATAAGATCCTACAACATGAGTAGATATTTAATAAGTACTCACAAGGACAAGTATCCATTTCCCACATACATGAGAGTGTAATGTATGAGATCATTCTGCACCTTGCACCTATGCTTGACCTTTGTTTTCTAGGTTACAATGGACTTGGTTCAGACATACTTACTACAAGTAAGTATCAAATCATGCCAACTTGGTCTTGGTCAAGGCTTTCCTCCTCATTTACAAATGAAGCTTGCCCCAAACACAGTCCAGTCTCCTGTGTGTACCCACGGCCTTAGAAGCAGAAATATTATCCCCTAGCTTATGTTTTGCCCTTCATCCCTAGAGTTTAATTTCTGAATTCCCTTTACTCCTTAAGTTTAGAGGAAGAAATATAAATGAGAGATTGTTACTTATAAAAAGTGTCATGTCAAATAGTAATTATTTATTTCTAATTTTAATTTTGAGATTGTAATATACTTACAACATTTTTCCTTCCTCAAAAACCATTTATGGCCTTTTTTTTTATTATTCGCTGTTACTTGCATAGACATATATGTGTATGCATATATATTCTTAAATATAACCTGTTCAGTCTCTATAATGTTACTCGTAACTATGTTTTCAGGACTGAGTACTTGATATTGGATAACCAATTGCTGTGCTCTTCCCTAGGAAAGACTATTTTTCCAACTCTTACCATTCCTTAGTTGCGTGTAGTTCTTTGGATAGGGTTGAGAACTCTTGGGATTTTCCTCATTCACTTTGGCATATCTATTGTCATTGTTCTTGTTCATCTTATGTTTATTTAGTCATGTTGGTGAGACTTTATGAGTGTAGCTTCTGACATTATTGTAGTCTATAGTCTCATAGCAAACTCCCTAATCCTTTGGCTCTTACAAACTTTCCCCTGACACTTCTGTGATGATTTTAGTGCCTTGGGTGTAGGAGTTGTTTTATAGATGTATCCAGTGTCATTGGTACTTGGCTTCACCACTATGCATTTTGATTGGTTGGGAACTCTGTAATGGTCTCTGTGTGTTTCAAAAAGAAGTTTCCTTGATGAGGGCTATGGAATATACTTTAAAAAGTAATTCTTTAATTTACATCTATTATAATCTTAACTATCATAGTCTTAGTAGGGGCTTCTTCATTGTCAAATTATGAATTGTGATTGCTATAGTTGTTTCTCTCTCTCTCTCTCTCTCTCTCTCTCTCTCTCTCTCTCTCTCTCTCTTTGGTTCTTTTGCTCTTTTGGGAGACCTGCCACCCAGCTTCCAAATAAATACATTCACAGAGGTTTTTCTTACTTATGAATGTCCATCTGGCCATTATTTCTAGAAAGCTTTTCTGAACTTAAATTATCCCATCTATCTTTTGACTCTGTGATTTTTACATTTATCTATTTCTGTATATCCTTTCTTTCCTTCTTAATCTGTATCTGGCTATGTGGCTGGGTGGCTGGTGATTCTTTTCGCGCTCTTTCCTCCTTGATCCTATCCTTCTATATTTTTACTTATTCTCTCTGCCTGTCATCCCTGCCTATCCTTTCTCCTGCCTCACTATTGATCATTCAGCTCTTTCTTACATCATCAGGTGTTTTAGATATGCAAAGTAACACAGTTTCACAGAGTTAAACAAATGCAACATAAAAGAATGCAATACATCTTTGCATCACTAAACAAATATCCCATGGCATAAACAAATGTAGCACACCTTAAAATGATATTCTACAACAGATTGCTAATTAAGTTGTTTTGGCTAAAATATTACAATTTCATTCCATGACCCAATCACCTACCCTTTTCTGCAACCATTTTTTCCATCTTTATTAGTCCTATGGTGTCTTATTTATATCAGTCTGCTAATTTTCCTCATAATTTTTTATTTACTTTTCATTTTCATTCTTCCTCTTTTTCCTGCCATCCATTCTCTCAGTTATCAACCATACATGCACCCATAATAATGTCCTTTCCCTGTTCTTTCTTCATTTCTTAATCCACCCATCACTTTCTTATCTGACTTTAAATCGATGAACTGCTCACAGTTTTCATTGCCTTGAATAAATTTCATTCAGAGACTTAGTTGTCCCTTCACTTACACCGTCACTCTTGCTTATGGTCCACTTGTGAGGGGTTGGCCTGGTTTGAACCACTTCTATAAGAACTTTCTTGACTGTATGGGGGTCATCACTGCTGACAGCCTTTTCCACAGCTCCTGAGCCAAGCACCACCATCCTGCCGTTTACATTGACATCTATGCAGCCAGAATCCGCCACAGGTATTTGAGAAAGCCTTTTCCTACACTTTATAAGAAGCCCTATCCCACAATTCTACCTCCTGACTTTAGATGAGACCTGGCAAGCCATGTTGTATGGATGTATTGCCAGTATCATTATTACAACAGCAGAGATTAGACTATCATTTCAATCAGATGCCTGGCCTCATGCAGCTACCAGGCTTCTGAGATGAACATACCATGACAATACAATGAGAGATTCCTGTGAAGAGAGAGGCTCCTAACACAATATAACTGGGTGGGGGCATTCTGGAGAAAGCTCCAACGGAACTGAATCTCCCAGGATGGATAAAAAAATAATAGATAAACTGTCATGGTTTGTTGCTGTGAAAGAATATTCTAACAGTGTGGGCTCTGTGGCCATCAAGAGCAAGTGAATGGACAGTGGTGAATTTGGGATTTCTAAAGCATGAAACTCAATTCCCAGTGATAGCTCTCTATGTCCACCTCAGGACCCATAAGACCATAGCATTAGGCACAGAATTGATAAGTAACTGAATCTGGGAATTGTAAGAAACCACATTAAAGTAATCTTGAATATCAAGCCAAGAAACAAGAAACATGAAATTTCAAGGGGAGCCATAGTTGGTAAGAAGACTGGGGAGTATCCTAGTAAGTTGCCTACATAAATACTTTTCTTGTGTTTGTCATAGAAAAAAATCACTGGGACACACAGTGAATATTGTGGGGGTAATAATTTGGATATGAGAAGATAAGACCTGATCTGTTATGCCAAAAGAGATAGCATACATGAAGAACATTCAGAAAAGGAAATTGGGGTAACATGAAGATGAGATGTTTAGCTCAAACTTGGATGAGTGCAATATAATTTGATGCATATAGGAATCTAGTGTAGTATCAGGCAAACTCTCAGTTACAGGCTTCTGTCTTCCTGTCTTCTTACAGCTGTAGAGCATCACCTAAAGACTTTCACAATCAGTTTCACCATCTCTAATCTTCCATATTCAGAAGACATGAGCTATAGCTCAGTCATGTTCAACTCCACTGAGAGTGTTCTACAGAACTTGGTGAGACCCTTATCCTAAAACATCCTTTTAGGAGAAACAATGTGCATCGTACATTTAACACTTTTCTCTTTTCCCCATTTTCTTCCTCTATAGCTTATACCCTTGCTCCAGAATATCTCATTCAACCCAAGATGCAGACTGATCTCCATCAGGTGGGTTCACTTCCTTGCCATTTTCCAGGAATGGCAGTACCTATTTTGACCCTTCTGATGTTCCCTCCTTTTCTTGGTTCTCACATCCACATTAGGTTATCTCTAGAGTCCCAACCTCTTACTCTTTCACTCTTTTCAGGCCTGAAAAGAATCAAACCTCCAGTAATGTAAATGTCATTTGCTCCTACCAACATGACTCTACACATCCTGGACTGTACACAGAGGAGCTATATTTAGAATTGAGTAATCTGACCTACGGAGTTACTCAACTGGGCAACTATACATTGGACAAAGATAGTCTCTATGTGAATGGTAAGCATGGTCTGTGTTTTCCTGTAGAATATCTTCAGCAATTATTTATTTTCCTTGCTTTTTCAAAGCCAGTGATCTCTTTCCAGACCAGTTGCTTCCATGTGCTTAGCTTCTTCTTCCAAGAATTTGAGAAGTACCCATAAATAGCATTTCAGGAAAGTAGAATTAGCTAGTCACATGGTGTTCTGAGCCAATGAGAAGATGGACATAAATAATGGCCCTCATCTCTCTCTTCCTATTTCTTTTACAATTTAGAAACCTTGTCCATAGGCTGGAACTACCAAGAATTGGAGTGAAGCAATGCAGTTTATTTAAGCCAATTCCAAAGCCCCCTCACAGAATGCCCAGTGCTTTGTCTTCTTGAAAGTTGTGGGTCTTGTCAGTTTGCAATCAGTATTGACCACTGTGTACCATGATGTTTACCAAGCTATTCTCATTTTAACAATGAGAAAAATTAAAACACGTGTACAAAAATGAACCTACCTACTATCTGGATATGAATTCTAATGTTCAATGTTTTATTCTGGTCCTTTACCTTGGCTGTTACAAGGACTTGTGTAGGATTTTTCTCTCTAATAGTTTACACAGCTTAACTTGATCATTATATTGTTCACTCAGTATTTTATAAATATCCATTGTATTTCAGACATTATATTTAACACTAAGAAAAATAAGTTACATGTGCACTTTGTCCCAGTGTAAACAGTAGTGGAGCATGGAGTGTTTAGTTCAATTCTACACACAAGTAAAAATGCAGTACCACACATGATAACTTCCCAAATAAACATATGTGTCTGTCTGTGTGTGTGTGTGTGTGTGTGTGTGTGTGTGTGTGTGTGTGCGAGAGAGAGAGAAAGAGAGAGAGAGAGAGAGAGAGAGAGAGAGAGAGAAGAAAGGATGATGGTGTAAGTGGATGCATATAAATATGTTGAGTGATATATGAAAATAAGACACACTTTGGGAAAACACATTTGAGATAAAGTAGAAAAGGTTTTCAGTTGAAACACCAAGACATTCTTCACAATGCCAAATAAATCAGACCATAGGACATCAGTAGATGCACAGTTAGTATATAAAGTGATATATATCTACATCATGGTGCTAAGGACTATGTAACGCCTTCTTCTTGTGTGTGTGTGTGTGTGTGTGTGTGTGTGTGTGTGTGTGTGTGTGTGTGTGTTTCTTATTTTTCTAGGTTACAGTGGAACTGGCACAGAAGAACCAATCACAAGTAAGTGCCAATTTAGCTTGACCTATGTCTTGATCCATGCTTTTCTTCTCACTTCTAAAGGAAGCTTGTCCTAAACATAACCCAGTCTCCGAGAAGAGGCCAAAGGCTCAGTGGAAAGAAGATTGCAAAGTTTATAGACACTTGATAGTCCTTGGGTTGGATATCTGAATTTTCCTCAATCTTCTGAGCCAGAAGATGTGTGGTAATATTTACCAAATTATGCAGAAACTGAAGTTTGTGTTACCTAAATCAAATGCTATTGAGGATGCAGTAGGGGCTTCATTGTTACCTAGCAAATTCTGATGTCTAACTAAAGTGTTTGGGTAAAATAGTCCACTTGTGCATTATTCCACTCATCTATATTTCCAGCTGTCCATTCTTTCATTTGCTAGTTATTGTTCCTCCATAGCCATATTTTCTGCCATCTATCCATCTATGCACCCACCCACCTGTCCATTTATTTATCATCCATCCATCCTGCTTTTCATTCTACTGTATTGCTTCATTTATTCTGTCATTGCTTCTCTATTCATCCTTCTAACCCTTCATCTGTTCACTATTTATTCATCAACTCCTACTTCTCTCCACTTGCTAGCTTGTCCTTTATTTCTTTGATATGTTTCCTTTAAATACACACACACACACACACACACACACAAACACACACACCCCTACCCTGTTATCCATCCATTATCCTATATACCTTTCCACTCATATATCCACCCACAATACAACAACCCACCCATATATTCAGTACCTATTCATTTGTCAATCCACTCAACTACTTCATTCTCTCATCTGTTGGTCTGATTAGCATTCACTCCTTTTCACTTAATTTGTTTGTGCATCTACCTAGCCATATGCACACATATCTATCCATTCATTAACTATTCATTAATTTATCTACCCACCATAAAAGTCAGTCATCAATCCATCCATTCCCCCATTTACCTTCCTGACCACTTGCCAGTATGTCTATCCATCACCTATGCACTTACCTATTCATTCATATACTTACCCCAACACAAATTTATTAATGTATTTCCCCACTATTCATTATGTTCATTTACTTATATGTTATTTGTTCCTTCTTTCCTTCCTTCTGCTTCTACATATGCTTATTCATCTTTCTACTTATCTACATATAATTCCATTACTGTCTTTCAATTATTTTGTCCTACATTCTCAGCCATTCTCCAGCCAACCACTCAGTATCTGAGTTAATTTTATTCACAGGCTTTTTTAACATTAATACACATTCACTCCTTTGACCTTTCTGTGTATTTTCCACCTACTTTCAAGAATGTACCTCAGTGTTTATGGTACCCACATTTAGTCACACTTGGACTACTGCCACTTCTCTAATTACATATGGACTTACCCATCCCTCATGACATCCCTTCCCACAGATCCTGAATCAGCCACTACGATTACTACCATGCTGCCTTCTCCATCAACACTCGTGCAAACAGAATCCACCACAGGTATCAGAGGACATGTTTCTATTTTCAGAAGATCTCCTGTTCAACAGTCCCAATTTCTATATGAGATCTAGACACAAGGATATAAAGAACCTAGTGTCATAGCTTTCATTACAGACATGAAGTTTTTAGAAGCAATTCAATCAGCTTCCAAGCCTCAGACAACCACCAGGATTATAAGATAAACAGACCGATGCAGTGTAGTGCCTAATTTGTTGTGGACTTGCAGTAAAGGGCTTCCTAGAGACAGTCCAACCTGATCTGAATCTCTCAGGCTGAGTAGGAGTGGTCCAGATAAAAAGGACATAAGTATTGCTGGAAATTATATTAACAATGAGGGCTCCTAAACAAAAAAGACATAGTATATTAGGATAAGTTAGAGGAATTTGGCTTCTATGGAGAATAAAGTTCATATCCCAATATAGCCTTTGAATTTCTCATTCAGAGCCCATAAAGACAGGATGGTAGTTATGGACTAATGAGTAACCAAAGCTAAGAGATCATGAGAAACCAGATTAGAAATGACAAATCAAAACACTCAAATGGAACACTGAAACTGCATAGATATATGAGTTGTAAAAATTACAGGGCAGTATCAATAAGACTTTCTTTTCATAACACTCCTTTTAAGTTCAGTGTAGAAAAAGTTCTCTAGACAGTATATCCCATGAGTCTGGTAGGGTGATAGTGTGGATAAGAGAAAATACGGTTATTGTGGGAAAGTATATACAAAGTGTGTTAGGAACATTCAGAAAGGTAAATTGGTGTGGTGTGGAGATGTGATATTAAGTTTATATTCAGAATGGGTACATTGGTAGGTGCTAAGACACAGGAGATATGACTTGAAGAGATTAGGATTCCAGTCTTGTCCAAGGTAAATTCTTAACTATACATGTCCTCATCTCTTTTAGCTTTGGGGCACCACTTGAAGATTATTACAGTCAGCTTTACCATTTCCAACCTTCCATATTCAGCAAATATGAACAATGGCTCAGCTGTGTTCAACTCCACTGAGACACTCATAAAGAACCTGGTGAGATCCTCATTCCAGTAGCTTCTGTATGGATAAATCATATCTACCAACTCTATCCAAATTTTATTTTCATTGCTTTCAATGTTTTTCTCCCCAGATGGAACCCTTGCTCCATAATGCTTCTTTCAACTCAAGCTGCAGACTGGATTCCCTCAGGTGTCCATTTGCCTAAAATATATTATTCTGCTTGCTTCTTCCTCCTGATTCCTATCTACATTACTACATTTCTAAAATCTCTAAAATCCTCTTGATCTAGGCCTGATAAGAATGGAACTGCCACTGGTGTAGAGGCCATCTGCACTTACTTACATGACCCAGCAAATCCTGGGTTGGACACCCAGGAACTGTACTCAGACCTAAGCAAACTGACTCATGGAATAACCCAACTGGGCAACTATACACTGGACAAAGAAAGTCTACATGTGAATTGTAAGCATGACCTGTGCTTGCTGTGGAATGTACCCAACCACCCCCTTTTTTTCTTACACTAAAAATAGTATTGATAGTATTTTATTTCCAGAATTCATGAACCACAGTGAAATAGCCTGGCAAGGAAGTATGGTTGCACATTCAAAATCAGCAAGCAGAGGGATTTGAGTGACTTTGTTGAGCTTCCTTTCTACTTCTTGTATCTACTTTCAAGAATGTACCTCAGTGTTTATGGTACCCACATTTATTCACACTTGGTTTTTCCATACAAACTAACCAGATATAAAAAAAAATATAGACTTCTTTGTGTGTATGCCAAAAAGTGGTAACATTGGTTCTTATAATAGATCTATCTCCAGGAGTTTAGGAACAAGCACACTTATTTCTATAGTGGTAACACCCCCACTAGAAGGGAATAATTGTTCTTGTTTTCTCACAACCATGCCAGCCTTTGTTGTCATTTTGTTTGTTTGTTTGTTTGTTTGTTTTATTCTGATCTTAGCCATTCTGATAGGGGTAAAATGAAATCTTAAAGAAGTTTTAATATTTTTTATTGATACCTAGGGATGTTGAACAGTTTTTCAAAAAATTGTATTTCATTTTGTGAGAATTATTAGAGACATGGAACAATTTATAATTGGCTTGTTTTCTTGGTGGTCAATTTTTTATTCTTAACTAATCCTCTGTCAGATATTTAGCTGAGAATTTTGCCATTCTACAGAAAGCCACTTTGCTAATACAATGTTTTCTCTTTTCTGTATAGAAGCTTTTTAGATTAATGGGGACCTGTTTGTTAATTGTTAGTCTTAAAGACTATGCTATCCAGTTTCACTACCAAAACTCCTCTCCCATACAAATAAATTCAAATGTATTTCAATTATGATAGGGTACCAGGACTTCTGTAAGGTTTTTGTTTGTTTGTTTATTTGTTTGTTTTTGTTTTGTTTTGTTTTAAGTATTCGGACTTGAGTTTGGGTGTTCAGTAGCCTAATTATCACATCTTTTCAGCTGTTCATTCTTCCATTTTTCTAGTTATTCTTGCACTCATACCACATTCCCGTCAATTCTTCTATCCATCCAACCACTGAACCACTGATACATTGACACATTCATCTATCCATCCATTCACCCATGCACACATACATACATACATACATACATACATACATACATACATACATAAATCCCTAAATCCATTCAATTCTCCTACCTATTCTTTTGTATTTACTTTGCTCCTTCTCTCTCTCCTTTGTTCACGATCAGGTTAATTCATGCATCCACATTCACTGATAAATCCAAACTAGTGTCTATTTTACAGATCATACATTATTATTTCTTATTTTTTCTTTATCCATTCATAGATCCACCTAATCTTTAATCTACCTATATATTCACAACCTGTATGATAAGTCATTCTTATGTGAAGTACTACCTATGTATTTTCAGTCCATTCAACTATACTTCTATTTCTTCTGTTGACTTAGCTGTTTAGCATTCACTTTCTATCTCTCCTTCTGTGAATTTACAAACTAATGCATCCATGTATCCATGCATGCAGTACTTATCTACTCAATCATGTACCTTCCCATCTATTCTATAATCATCTACATATCTAGATACCTATGCCATAATCTGCCTATTGATCAATAAATGCAAACACAGAGACACACACATACACAAAAACATAGGCACACACACACTTGTTTATGCAACATCAAGTTAATTTCCTTAGTTGTCGATTCTCTCCTTTCCTAAATCTCTCCAAGTTGTCTTTCATTGAATCTTCTTGAGTTCTCTTTATTTATTTATAAAGATTTATACATTTATTAAGTACACAGTGTTCTGTCTGAATGTATGTGAGCACTACAGAAGAGGGCACCAGAACACATTATAGATGAGTGTGAGCAACTAGTGGTTAGTGGGAATTAAAGACTAGACCTGTGAAAGAGCAGCCAGTGCTAGTAACCTGTGAGCCATCTCTCCAACGGCCTTGGCTTTCCTTTTATATATCCTTCCTTCCATCCATATACTTACCCTTTCTATTTTCTGTCTTCCTAATCTATTTGTATTGTTTGCTCGTCTTTTATGCTGATAACTAATCTCAATGTTTTGAGTTAATACCATTTACATAGATTTATTCTCCACTCACACAATTACTCCAATTTAGCTCATGGTTCAACTGTCAATTGACATTCTACCTCTGACCATAGGTAGAAAAGCCTCTCTCACTATGGACAAACTTTGATGTATATAAAAAGGAGAATTTTTTCTGAGAAAAAAAAAATACTTCCTTTACTAATCTCTCAAGATTAGTAAGAGTAATCCAGGTAAATCACATGAAATGTTACTGGAAATGAGATTTTTCAGCAATGACAATCCTTCCCACAGCTCCTGAGCCAGCAACCACTACCCTACCTTCTCCATCTACATATCTGCAGCCGGGATCAATCACAGGTATTTAAGGATCCCATTAGTTTATATCCCTTATCATACACTTCCCCCACATATACTCCAAAGACAGCCAGGAAATCAGGGTATAAAGATGCTAGTGTCAAGGTAATATTCATATATGCCAAAATTAGTCTAACAATCCAAATACGTACTTGCTCACATGAAAAGAATAAGAAGGTGAGACAAATAGGCTACTGCAATACTTTGTTTCTTATGAGAGTGGGATGTGCTTACAAGACATATAATATAATGTAGACAGACAGGGGAAGACCATCAGGGAAAATTCTTCCTGAAGTGAATCTCATAGGAGGAGGAATGAACAATATAAATGAAGCATGAAATGTTCCTGGAAATGAGAAATTCAGTATAAGGGCTCAGTGACCAACAATATAGTGAATGGGAAGAAATGGGAAGAATTTGATTTTCATAAAATGTAATGCTCAATGCGAAGTGCAGCATCTTTATGTCCTGCTTAGCACTACTGGGGATAAGAGTATGATAATGATGAATGTGTAAACGAAAATTGGAAGTCATTAGAAGACAAATAGAATGCTATTATATAAATGCATGCTGTTGCTGTGATTAATGCTATAGTCTAAAGCAGCTTTGGGTAATATGAGACTAATATTAAGGAAGGCTAAGTAAGAACTCAAGACAGGAACCTAGAGAGAGGATATAAAACAGACAAAGGAGGAAAACAGCTTACTGGCTTGACTTCAGTGTCATTTCGGCTATCTTTGTTGTACAACACAAACCCACCTGCCTGGTGGTGGTGCTGAACTTAGATGACTGTGTCTGCTACATCAAATAGCAATCAAGAAAATACCCCATAGATATTCCCACAGGTCAACTTGATGGAAGTAGTTCTTCAATACTCATTCCCACATGGGACTACTTAGCAACCAATATAAGACACACCAAGTGTCAAATATTCAAGTGCAAACTTGACACTGGATGTACAAATGGAATCATGGCAAGTAAAGGTTTACAGAAAGAGGTTCCTTTGGTTAGGATACAGAACATCATTATACAGATATACAGAGAATCTAGTAAGCATTTGAGATATATATTCTGTGCATAAAAAGATAAGATCTAAGTTAGATATTGGAGAGAATTAATGTTAATAATCTTAAAGAAAGGCTAATTGGGTAATGTGTAGTTAAGAACTTGAGGAGGTTTTGACTGGATGCTTTGGGATGCAATAGCAGAAAGAAAGAGAAGACAAGCTGGTAATAACAGGATTTTTTTCTGGAATCAACAAATTCTCAGTTGTAGTTCTTCTCTAGCTGCAGCTATGGGGCACCATCAGCAGATCCTCACAATCAACTTCACCATAACCAACCTTCCATATTCATCAAATATGAGCAATGCCTCAGCTGTGTTCAGCTCAACTGAGAGTCTCCTTCAGCACCTGGTAAGAAGCTTATGCTGCAGCCTGGGGGAGATTAATCCCATATGACCCCTTTATCCACACCTGTTTTGATGTCCCTCCTTGCCCATCCACAGCTTGAACACCTGTTCCAGAATGGCTCCTTCAACTCTAGTTGCAGACTGGATTCCCTCAGGTGAGTCCTCTTTCTGTGCATTAGACAGGAATGACCATTGCTTATAGTTCCCATTCTCATTGCTGCCCATTCCTTCTGCTTCGGAGATACACTATGGCTGTTCTAGAGTCCACACACTCTCTCTTTTCAGGCCTAAGAAGAATGGAACAGCCACTGGTGTGGATGCCATCTGTGCCTTCTACCATGACCCTGCACATCCTTGGATGGACATCCAGGAACTGTATTCACAGCTGAAAAATCTAACCCAGGGAATCACCCAGCTGGGCAACTACTCACTGGACAAGGATAGTGTATATGTCAATAGTGAGTGTTCTCTGTGGTATGCTGTGGAATTTCTCCTGGTATCCTTTATTTTTTCTTCATCTATCAGTAACATTGTTAGTACTGTCTACACTAGTTGATTCTGTGTACTTAGTACCTTGTTTCAGGAACCTAAGAAGCACACAGGAATAGCCTGGCATGGAGGTATGGGTGTGTGATTATAATGTATACAAAGTAAGCAAGTGTAGGGATATGAATGTATTTGCTGAGTTTCCTTTCTACTTCTACATCAATCCAGGAATGTATCCCAATGCTTATTGAACACACATTTACTTACACTGGTTTTTCCATCCTGATTAACCAGACATAGAAACTTGCTTTCAGATATATCCAGAGAATTGTCAGTTCAATCACTCTATGTCTGATCATTTGCCTAGCCATTGTAACCATAAGACTCCATGATGTGGGCAGAGATTTTGTACCATTTAACCTCTTACTGTTTTCCATTCAGCTTTTACTTTATACCATAGTTTATTGCTGATACACAGAACAAATAACTATCGTCTGTACCTTTTCCTTGTGTTACTGAAGAGGGGAAACACACTATATTTTTTGTCTGTTAGTACTATATACTTCAAATACTTCACAGAAAAAGTGCTCAATAAGGATCTTCTGGATGGATGCATACTGGTAGAATACATGGGAAGAAACTCATGTGTATGTATATTATTAAGAAATGGAGGTGTGAAAACATGGTTTGTAAGGATTAACTGAGAAAATGCTGCATGAAGGGGGAGAGATAGTCATAGTTGAAATAAGAGGAAATTCATTTCCAGAATCATTTGTCCTGTGAATGGTGGTTTGGTAATCTATCATTTGTCCTATGAATGGTGATTCAGTGATCTATATAAGGGTGGTGTGGTGACATGTGGACAAAAGCAGGCAGAATCCTTTCCTTTCCTATTCCTTCCTTTTACATGTCTTCTATTTTCTAGGCTATAATAAACCTGGTCAAGAAGAACCTTCTACAAGTATGTATCGATTTACACCAACCTAAGTCTTTGTTCATATTTTCTCTTCATGTCCAAAGGAAAATTGACACAAATACAAGCCAGTCTGTTCAGAGACAACAAGGTCTCAGTGAAGTTCTGATGCAAAACAATTGCTCTCTCTTGAAACTGCAGCCCTCATGTTGGTTTTCTGAATTTTTCATATTCTTCTTTGTTGGATAAAAATATCTGTAAATATGTAACTTGCAGAATTATGGGACTCTTTAGATGGTTACCATCTAATTTATGTTTCCTAAAAAAAATTTCACTGTCAGGGATCTCATTAACAGCCTGCAAAATCTGATAAATATTTAGGAATTTTATCTAAAATTCCCTTCTCTCTTTAATTTTTTTCTAATTTGTATTAGTTCTTTGAGACTTTTATACAATGGATCTGTGTTGCTGTTGCATCAGTGTTCGTGTGTTACCAGGCCAGTCATTGTTGTAGCCCAAAGTGTTAATAGTTGAGTAAGTTTTGTGATTCCTTTCCTCCTACAGTAGCATGCACAGCACCTACCACCACTCTAAAGTTAGTCAGAAGAAATGTCTAAGGAAGATGTTCAGGAGGGTAACCAAAAGCAGTGACAATAGGCAGTAAAGTATGTGAGTCTATAGTGCATCACCAACAACTACAGAAGGCATAATCCACTCCTGATTCTGGGCTATTACTTGCCATTCTGTGGTATCTACTTGGGCACTGTTCCCTCATTGTACATCAATTCAATTTAGAGACATTTTTGTGTGTGTGCATATATGTCAGGAATCTTCTACAGCATTAGTGGTCTGTGTGACTTTTTTGAATGCCCTTAGTGGAAATTATCCCTCCCTGTATTACATCTCTACCTGGTCATCCCATATTCATTCTGCATTTGAACCTTCCTGTCTATCATTCCCCTTCAATCTTTAATATCACCATATCCATGTAATGAAACACTAAAATCTAAAGTTTCAAAGCTAAATCTACAAATTATAGAGGACATATGACTCCAGGATACTTCACTCATAATGATTGTTTCCTAATCCACCCATTTACCTGGACATCTTAACTGTATCATTTTTATTCAGACTATTTAAAATTTTATTTTTTTTTTACTTTCTAATCCCGGTTCCTTTCCTCCTCTCCTCCCACTCCCCCGATTATCCCATGCTGACCTCACATCTCCTCCTCAGAGAGGGTAATGCCTTCCCCTAGAAAGTCTACTCAGTCTGTCCTATCATCTCATAGAGGCAAGACCAACATAACTCTACACCTCCCACACCCCTCTGTCTAGGCTGGGCAAGCTTTCACTACATATAGAATGGGCTCCAATAAGTCAGTTTTTGCATTTAATTAAATCTTGGTCACACTGCTAGTGACCTCATATATTGTCCGAGTCACACCATTGTCACCTGTATTAAGGTAGTCTAGTTTGGTCTTCTGTAGGTTCTCTATTTGTCAGATCTGAGTCAGATATCTCTCAATAACTTGGGTCAATTGATTCTGTAGGTTTCCCATCGTATTCTTGACACTTTTGTTCTTATTATTGCTTCTCCCTCACTTAAATTATACTCCAGGAGCTTGGCCCATTGGTTAGTTTGGATTTCTTCATCTGATTCCATCTGTATATAGAAGAGGGTTGTACTTTCTCTAGGTTTGTTGATTGTAGGCTGGGTATGCTTTGCTTTATGTCTGTTATCCACTTATGAGTGAGTAGATACGATATTTTTATTTCCGGTTTTGGGTTACCTCACTCAGGATGTTTTTTTTTTCCTAGTCTGTCTGTTTACCTGTGAATTTTAAGATGTCATTGTTTCTTACCCCTGAGTAGTATTGTGTAAATATACATTTTTAGCCATTATTTATTTGAGATGCATCTAGATTGTTTCCAAGATCTATTATAAAAAGTGTTGTTATGTAAGTACTAGAGGATATGTCCTTGTGGTGTGAATATGCCTCCTTTAGATATATGCCCAACAGTGCTCTTTCCCAGAGGAACTTTTTGCAATAGTTTCTGGAATCTGCTGCTGGAAAACATTGCTGCTGTTTCACCAGGTTATCACTCCTCACTCCTGGGCCTGAGGCTAGGGCCACCACCTGACACTCCACCGAGGTCTGGGGCTTCTTGAACCTGAAACTAGAACCTCCCTCTGCTACTGCTCTGGCCTGAAGTTTAGGCTCCCCTCTGCTGTGCTCCTGCATCTGAGGATTGTGGCTCTTCTGAAGCTGCTGTGTGCCTGAACTTCTGACCTCCCTCTCCTATTTAGAGGTTTAATTTTTTTCCCCAGATACCAAGGGATATTGTACATTTATTCAAAGATGTTTCTCTTTCATTTGTACTTCTTTGTGAGAATTATCTGAGCCATGCCATAGTTTTTAATTGGTTTACTATCTGGATGATTAATTTTTGTGTATATACAGATATTTAGCTGGTATAAAGAATTTTGCCATTCTCTAGGAAGCCACTATGTTCAAACAATGTAATCTTGTTCTGAGGAGAAACTTTTTAGATTCATGAAGTACTTTTTATTAATAATTAATCTTTAAAATTATGCTGTACATACTCAGTCCCAAAAGTACTTTCCCATGGCAGTAAGTTCAAGTGCATTCCCCATTTTTTCCTAAACAAGATCAGGGAATCAGGACTTATGTAAATATTGTTTAATCACTTGGGGATGAGTTTTGGATTTTCAGCAACCTATTCATCATTTATCATTCTAGCAGTTCATTCTTCCATTTTTCTAAATATTCCTGCACTCAAATAACATCTCCATCAGTCTTTCTATTAATCATTCTGTCCATCCATCCATCTGTTCTCCTAGATATTTTATACTTCCTTTGTTTCTTTCCTCTCCCATTTCTTATTCAGAATTTCATTCACAAGCTCATTCAAATGCATCAGTAAATCCAAACTAGAGTTCCTTTTCCCAGTTGTACTTTATTCCTTTTATTTTTCTCTATTCATACACACGTAGATCTACCTGAACTTTGATCTACCAAATCCTGCCTATAATTACATGTATTCACACCCTGTATGATCAGCCACTCTCCGGTCAGCTACAACCTATGTATCTCTCAGTCCATTCAACTCTTTGTATACCTATTACTCCTGTTTGCTTGGCTGCTTAGCAATCATTTTTTCTCTTTCTTTTTCTGTGAATTCACGAGTCAATCTATTCATGTATCCATGAATACAGCACCTATCTACTCATCCATGCATCTTCCCATCTATTTAGTAATCACCTACACAAATATATACCTATGTGGTGATATCTTGCTTGTACAAATAAAGCTTATCTGAATGTCAGATAATGGAGCAATCCAATGTCACACCTTACCTCCTTAGGTTATCTATCAGCAGACAAGAGAGTGAATTCCTGTTTCTCCCTGCTTGGTTGTGGGTCAACCCAGGTATCTCACTTCTTGCCTGTCTGCACAGACTTCCAGATATCTACTGGTAGCTAGTGGCAAGATCCATTCCCCCAACCAACAGACAGGTTCTATTTGTACAAACAAGATAGTAGTGCATGCATATGCTATAATCTCCTCTAGAGCCATCAACACACAGAGACACATACAGGAAAACGCACACACACACAAACACACAAACACACACACACGTGTTTCCCCCACCATCAGGTTCATTCACCTAATTTGCCTTTGTTATCTCCTTTCTTCAGTCTCTCCAAGTTTTGTGTGATTTGATTCTTCTTAGATTCTGCTTTGACTCTCCTTTCATATATCTATCCATCCATCCATCCTTCTATTTACCCATTCTATTTTCTACCTTCCTAATAAATGTGTGTTCTTTTCTCATCCTTTGTGCTGATAACAATACTTTGAGGTAATTCCACTCATACTCTTGTTCACTTTTCCAGTCACAAAATCACTCCACTATATGGTTCACATGTGAACAATTCACATGGTTCACATGTGAACAGTGGTTCTCCCTAACCATACTCATAAAATTACTCTCACTGTAGACAGGCTTTGTTGTGTGTAGAAAGGGGATGCTTTTCTGAAAAACATTCTCCCAGAACTGAATCTCTCATGATGAGTGGAAGCAATTCAGGTAAGTAAAGTATGAAATATTCTTGGAAGTGAGGATTTCAGCAGTGATAATCTCTTCCACAGCCCCTGAGCCAGCCACCACTATGCTACCTTCTCCATCTACTTCTCTGCAGCCCGAATCTACAACAGGTATCTTGGGATCCCATTGTCTACCTTAGATTAGATTCCAGTCCATTCTTCTACCACCTATCCTCCAGAAAGTGCTAAGGAACCAGTATACAAAGGTGCTACTGTCACGGTGATCTTCACATGCACAAAAAAACAGACTAAAAATCAAAATGGGCAATTGCCCACATGCAGCCAAAAGCGTGTGAGAAAAGTAGACTACAGCAATAGTTTGGATGTTTGTGGTGTTGGTGAATGGGGCTAACAGGTATGTAACATAATGTAGAAAGGGAAAGGCTTTGGGGAGTGGGAATTCCTCATGTACTGAATCTCTCAGGATGAGTAGGTGTGATCCAGACAAATAAAGCATGAAATATTCCTAGAAATGAGGATCTCAGTACAAAGGCTCAGGGACCAGCAACATTATAGGGAATCAGAAGAATGGGAGGAATTTGATTTCCAGGAATCATAATGTTCAGCCAAGTGCAGCCTCTACATGTCCTGATTAACAACTGCTGGATCATAGTGGTAGGCTCAGGAAGGATGTGAATATGAGACTCAGAAGTTTTGGAAGACAAATTGAATGCTGTTATAGGATATATTCTGTTGCTGTGATTAATGACATAGCCTAATGCGGCTTGCGGGAGTATGTGTGTATACATTAGCAAGAACTCAAGGCAGAAACCTGCAGAGAAGACCTAAAGCAAACCATGGAGTTACACTCTTTATTTCCTTGATTTTGGCTTCATATCAGCTACCTTTCTTGTACAAACCCAGGCCTCCTGCCTTGTGGTGATGCTGCAAATTGATGACTGTGTCTCCTACATTAAATAGCAATGAATAAATTTTCCCCATAGATAACCCACAGGTCAATCTGATGGAAGCAATTCTCAATTCTTATTCCCACATATGATTACTTAACAACCAATATTAGCCACACCAAGCATCAAATCTTCAAGTTAAAAATTACACTGAAAATACAAATGGAACCATAGATAGTAATGGACTATAGACCATTCTGGTGTGAGTTTTCATTTCAGAAAGAGGCTTCTTTGCTCAGAAGAGAGAACATCTTAAACACAGCTTTGAATAAGTCTGCAGGAAATGTATTCGGGGCATGTTAAGGAAAGGCTATTTCTGTGCTCTTAAGAACTGGTTATGTTCTGACTGACTGATGCTGTGGGATGTGGTAGGAGACTGAAAAACAAGACAAGCTAATGAGAACAGAATTTTTTTCTGGTATCAGTGAATTCACAGTTGTACTTCTTCTGTAGCTGCAGCTATGGGGTACCATCAGCAGATCCTCACAATCAACTTCACCATAACCAACCTTCCATATTCATCAAATATGAGCAATGCCTCAGCTGTGTTCAGCTCAACTGAGAGTGTCCTCCAGCACCTGGTGAGAAGCTTATGCTGCAGCCTGGGGGAGATTGATCCCATATGACCCCTTTATCCACACCTGTTTTGATGTCCCTCCTTGCCCATCCACAGCTTGAACACCTGTTCCAGAATGGCTCCTTCAACTCTAGTTGCAGACTGGATTCCCTCAGGTGAGTCCTCTTTCTGTGCATTAGACAGGAATGACCATTGCTTATAGTTCCCATTCTCATTGCTGCCCATTCCTTCTGCTTCGGAGATACACTATGGCTGTTCTAGAGTCCACACACTCTCTCTTTTCAGGCCTAAGAAGAATGGAACAGCCACTGGTGTGGATGCCATCTGTGCCTTCTACCATGACCCTGCACATCCTTGGATGGACATCCAGGAGCTGTATTCACAGCTGAAAAATCTAACCCAGGGAATCACCCAGCTGGGCAACTACTCACTGGACAAGGATAGTTTATTTGTCAATGGTGCGTATGCTCTGTAATTTGCTACAGGTTATCCACATTCATTATTTATTTTCAGACACTTCTGAGTATATAAAAAATTCTCTGAACTTCAGAGAGATATTTTAAATGTCTTCTTTATGTCTGAATATGCAACAGTCTTTCTCAACACCTTGAGTCTGCATTTTTCTCTGTATTATGATTGATCAAGCCTAAAATGACATTGTCTGTGGTTATGAATATAAGTATTTAAAAAGCAGTTTAATGCCATGTCTTTTTAGAACAACATAATAATTTTCCATGTAGGGCTGATTACCTTCTCAGTCAGAGGTTTTTAGGAGATTTAATATACCAGGAATAATTTACTTTCATTAAACCATTCCCAAATCTAATCTGAAATCAGTTGGATATCCATAATAGTCATGCCACAATTGCACTATTGAACATATCTTACCTGAGAATTTGGTATTGTAACACACAAGGTTCACAGCTAGGTAAAATGTTAATTAGTTTTCTCTCTCAGCATCCTGAACTTCACCTTCTGCTAAAGGTACACCAGTTAGCAGTGACTAAGACTCCAGTTCAGTTCAAGATTGATTAAGTCCTATATATCAGAGTGTTGGTGTCTTGCCTTTCTATCTATTACCCTCACTTCAACAATGAGAACTGAAGATAGGGAGAGTGGAATTCACACAACAGGTTTATTGCTAATTAGAACTTTAATGATCTGAGTTTTGATCTTTTCACTATAATTCTGAAATTGTATACAGTTTCAGAAAGTACACAATTTATATGCATCAATATATTGTCTACTCAACATCAAGCATCTTAGGCAAACATTAAGCAAGATACCAGAGACAAATAAGCTACATATGCAGTTTGTCCCAATGTAAACTACAGTAGGCACAGAATTTTTTAAGTCACTATTTCTTCAACTATAAGTAGGGAAACCATATGTAAAGTACTCAAGAAGCCAGGCAGTGATGGAACACTCCTTTAATCCCACTTGAGAGAGAGGCAGGCAGATCTCTGTGGGTTTGAGTTCCAGCACAGGCTCCAAAGCTACACAAAAAAACCCTGTCTAGAAAAAAAAAGTACTCAATAAACGTAAACTGGATGAATAAATAGAAGAAGAGTAAAAGGGAAGATAATAGTGTAGGTGGATATGTATAAATGGGGACTGAGATATGATACTAAATCTTATGAGAAGCTCTTGTTAGGAACATGTCCTAGATGTGGTAAAGAAATGTTGGATCTGGCTGAAGTGGCAATAAATTCTTGTTCATGTTGGCATTTATGTTAGTTCTTGGAGCATAAATAGTTGCTAAATAATTATATACAAAAACGTGCATCCATATTTGTCCCGTATGTACCATGGCATGGTGTATAGGGCCTTGTTGCTCCTTCCTCTTATGTGTGCCTTTTGTGTTATAGGTTACAATGACCATGGTGCAGAAGGGCTTCCTACAAGTATGTATAAATTTGGCCTATCTAGGTCCTGGTCCACACATTTCTCTTCATTTCTAAAGGAAACTTTTTTATTTAATATTTTTATTATTTTACATATCTATCCCAGTTCCCTTTCCCTCCCGTCCTTCAATACCCTCACAGATACCCCCATCCCATCCCCCATCCACCCTCTAGAGAGGGTGAGGCCTTCCATGAGGGATCATCAAAATCTGTCAAGTCATTTGGAGTAGGTCTGGGCCCTCCGTCCTGCTTCTAGGCTAAGGGAGTATCCCTCCATGGGGAATGGGCTCCCCAAGTCCATTCATGCACTAGGGATACATCCTGGTTCTACTGTCAGAGGTCCCAAAGACTTCCCAGGCCTTCTAATTGAAACCCATGTATACAGAGTCCGGGGTCAGTCTTATGCTGGTTTTCCAGCTATCAGTCTGGGGTCCATGAGCTCCTCCTTGTTCAGGTCAGCTGTTTCTGTGGGTTCTCCACCCTGGTCTTGACCCCTTTGCTCATCACTCCTCCCTCTCTGCAACTAGATTCCAGGAGTTTGGCTCAGTGTTTAGCTATGGGTGTCTGCTTCTGCTTCTGTTAGCTACTGAATGAAGGCTCCAGGATGGCATATAAGGTAGTCATCAATCAAGAACAAGTCAATTTCTTGAAAGGGACTAAGGCCTTAGTGGAAGAAAATTTGCTGTCTCTGGCCTCTTCTTGAAAATCAGTTAAAGTGTTAGATTTTTTTTCTTCACTCCTCTTGGCTGTAGAAAGATGTTTATATAAATGTTGTCTGCAGAATTACAGGGCTGAGTTCAAATGAAGACTGTAATACAGTTTATGTCTTTTAAAACAAATAAAATGTCCCCCTACAGGAGCTTCATTATTAAGTTAAAAATTCTGATGGATACTTAAGAGATTTTCACAAAATTTTCACTTTCTCTTGTTTGGTGACCCATTCCTCTGCCTTTCTTGCTATCCATTTTTTTTCTACTCATTCATCCTCAAGTACCACATTACACTCATATATCTATCCACATATCTACTTGTCTATCCTCCTACCCACTTTTTTGCCCATTCTCATGAATTATCCTCATCCCTTCTACTGTTCACTTGTTAATCCATTTTCATTCCTCACATTCATCCATCAATATTTTGACCCATTGTCTTACTAATCCTTCATTAATAATTCTTTGCTTTCTCTATCTACAAACACATGCATATACCTACCTAACCTTCTATCCAGCTAGACAACCACCCACCTAACTAGACACGTATCCATATGTCTACCTACTTCTACATCTGTCAATTTGTTCATCTATCTATAAATCACCTCCTTCTGTTCATTTGCCTGCTTGGAAATACTTCTGTCTTTTCTTCATGTGTATATGTATCTACTTACCCATCAATTCACCTACTCTCTTATCCATTCATCTATGGTGTGCCTACTCATATATTTACCTACTGACCCCTATGTCTATATATTTATCTATCTATCCATCTGCCAACATTTTCTGTCCAGTTATCTTCTTAGCATTTTCCCTGCAGCCTGTCCTTACTCTCTATAGCCCCACATCCATCCAAATAACCACCCACACCAATCCTTGCATCCATCACCCATATACTTATATACCAACCACATGCATATTTATTTATCTACTCTTTCTTAAATCTTATCTTCCTTCCATCACTCTACCTTGTCTTTATTTTTATTCTTTAATCTGTTTTTACTATTCATTTATCTATCATTCTGCCACTCATGCATTCATCTCTTCCACATTTTTGTCTTCCAGTTCATCTGGCCTGTTTGTTTACCCTCTCCTGCTATCCACTTTCACTATCTTGAATTAGTAACATTCACAGACTTATCCCCCTACATTCAGGCAATCCCTTTACTCTTGTTCATGGGAACGATTTCTATAACATGGAACACTAATGAAATGTTCTCTCATTATGTGAAGTCTCAGTCCATCCTGATGACAATCTTTTCCCCAGCTCCTGAGTCACCCACCACCATCCTGGCTTCTCCATCAACATCTATGCAGCCAGAACCCACAACAGGTATGTTAGAGCTTTTTTCCTATCCTAGCTGAGATTCCCATTCACTACCTAACTTCCACATGTCATTGTAATAATAAAGATGAGTCTAATAATTCAATCTGATGCCTCCCTTCATGCAACCACCAGAGTCTGAATTAATAATTATAATACAGTGAGGTATTTTAGTCAGAGAGGAGCCATATAGCATAATATAAAGAGGGAATGACGTCCTAGAGAATGTTGTACCTGAACTGACTCTCTCAAGATGAGTAGAAGTGACCCAGATAGATAAGGAGTAGAGTCATACTGATAGTATTCCCTCAGTGAGGGCTCAGTGGCTCACAGCAACTTAATGTGAGGGGAGAACAGAGAACTTGGTTTTCCTGAACCAAAAAAGTTCTTCTTCTCATATAGCTTCTATATGTCTAGTTCTGAACTCACAGAGTTGTGCTGGTAGTTGTGGAATGGATAGGTAACTAATGATAAAAGGACATTAAAAACCAGATCAGAAAAAACTTTGAGTGCATAATCAAAAAGATTCACCTTGGGATTGGGGAGTCTGCATAGTGGTTTTCACTCTTGCTAAACAAACATGAGGACTACACTTAAAATCCCAACATGGTAGACATAATCTCAGCACTGGGAAAGATGAGAAAGAGGGCCCCTCTGAAAACTGACAAGCTAGTCTAGTCAATAATGTAACCCTAGGTTCAATAAAAGACCCTGTCTCAATATATAATGATTGTTAGGGATCAAGGAAGATACTTGATATTAATCCCTGACCCCCACATTTACATGTGAGGGCATGCATGTGCACATACACAGAGAGAGAGAGAGAGAGAGAGAGAGAGAGAGAGAGACCCCAACACCACAGTAAAATCAACTTGAATTTAATATTGAAAGTTCAAAGGAGTCATGAGTAATCCTACTCATGGGGAAGTTTTAGTGAGATTTCCATTATATAAAGATTCTTCTGCTGGAGTGCATAGATAACATCCTTTAAACAAAAACAAACAAAAACTAATGGGTATTCTAGCATGTAGAGGATAAGACCTTGCTGTGATGGGGAGCAGAGAGAATTCATGTGAAGAACACTCAGAAAACAGAGTTGGTATGACACGGAAATGTAACGAGTACGGTTTTTCTGCCCGCTGCCGCTAGTCTTGTCCCGCCGCCATGCCGCCAGCCCCAAATAATACACAGAGACTTTGTATTTGGTATTATACTGTTGGCCTGGTTACTTGTTTCTTATCGGCTAGCTCTGCCTTTAATTATTAACCCATTTGTGCTGATCTATGTATTTCTCTTACCAGGGAGCCGACAGCATACTGCTTTCTCCAGACTCTCCATCTTGGCTTTCTTTACTACTTCCTATTTCCTCCTTGTCTCCTAGTCCCTCCTATCTTCCTTTCCTATTGGCCAACAGTGCTTTATTATTAACCAGTATGAGAAACATATACAGAATGACATCTCCCATCACGGAAATGTAGATCTGTTCAGGTTCTTTCAAGGATAGGTACATTGTAGGTAGTCATACAGTGGGAAAGAAGATGGCCTGGTAAGTGCAGGACTTCAGATTTATTCCACATAAACTATAACTTGTGGTTATGCCTCTTCCTCTCTTCCTGTAGCCATGGAGCATTTGAAGACTTTCACACTCAACTTTACCATCTCCAACCTCCCATACTCAGCAGACATGAGCTCAGCCATGTTCAACTCCACTGAGAGGATCCTGCAGCACCTGGTGAGATACTCGCTTTGATAACTTGCAGTTTAATGAGGCCTGTTCCTGCCTCCATTACCTCTTCCCTTGCTTTTCCCTTTCAGCTTGGACCATTTTTCCAGAATGAATCCCTCTACTCAGATTGCAAACTGGTTTCCCTCAGGTAATTCTACTTTTTTAATCCATTTCACAGAAATGATCATCCCCTATTGTGACTCTTTTGCTTGGCCCTGCTTTGGAACTTACATCCATATTAGGTTCTTTCTAATGTCTCTATATCCCTTTCTCTTCAGGTCTAAGAAAAATGGAACAGCAACGGGGGTGAATGCCATCTGCTCCTACCATCATAACCCAGCATATCCTGAGCTTGACATTCAGGAGCTGTACACAAAGCTGAGCCAGCTGATTCATGGAGTTACACATCTTGGCAGCTATATGCTGGACCAGAATAGTCTCTATGTCAATGGTGAGTGTGGTATGTGGTTTGCTATGGAGTGTTTCCAGGCACTTTTTAGTTTTCTCTATACCTGCCAAAGTTACTGGTGGTGTCCTTCTGATCTTACTGTTTCTAGCTTCTCAGAATTTCTTCAAAGAATTGAAAAAGCACACATAAATAAGTAGCAAGAGCTTTTTTTGTTCCTTTTTGTTTTTGTTTGTTCTTTTGTTTTTGTTTTTATATTCTTAAGAAGCAGGAGCTTTAATTCAAAAGCAAAACAAAATATACAGATCAAATAAACTAGAAGGAAGCATCAAGCTGAAGCTAGATTTCCTCAAGAGCCTTGAGTCACTTTCTCACAGCTCTTCCCTTTGGGTCCTGGAGGAGGTTGAATTGTTTTCTAGGTGTGGATTGCAGCTGGCTTTCTGTTTTGTTATATGTAGGTCATATAAACCTTTGTTTACTATGGTTCTACTTTCTAATGATGCATTTTATTTTAATCATATTCATATCTACTCAGGCAGTCATAAGGTGGTATATAGAGAATTTTTCCAAAAGTATACTGGGGCATCTAAAACAAACTGGATAGATTTGTACACTGCTTCTAGTTCATGGATATGTTTGCCCACAAAAGGGGTAAGTAGGTGGTGGCTAGTAAGCTGGTAAGAACTTGTGGTGGTCAACTGACTTATTGCTCCAATGAGAAAGGAATGTGTTTACAGATGGAGTCCCAGGTTGCTAAATTGTTTTTACAAATACTTCACCAATATCTCTGCTTCTTCTAGGTTATACTCACAAGATTGCAGGAACTAGCCCTAGTGGTAAGTGACCCAATCCCAAACCTCCTTCCACTATATTCAGGATGGGAAACAACAGTTCCTGCCCATATCCTCACCATGGAGGAGAGTAGCTAGAAACACAAGATAGGGTATTTCCTGAATAAAAACAAAGTATGAATCCCCTCCATTTATTGGCAGGAATCAGATAAATGATCATTAAATATTAATTGTGTAGATTGGGGTTGTGGTGTGTACATTTGGTCCTCAATATTTGGAAAGATGAGGCAGGAAGATTATTTAAACCAACGGTTTAAACCCATCTTGAGGAACAAGATGTGGTCTTAAAATAAGTTGTTTCAGTGGGTGGATAGAAAATGCTTTATATAAGAAAGGCAGGTCTTTAGCTCATGAACAAGAAAAGCCATCAACAGCCATGATTGGTTGTCCTGAACCTGCATTTACAATGAATATTTCATGACTTTATTCTGTCTCCTTCTCTGTAAAACCAAGTTAGCCTGTATGTTGGTTGTAGAATAATAACCTTCCCTATCACAAAGAGGGCAGATAAATAGCAAGAAATCTAATGTCATCATCTATTTTAAAGTTGATTGTTCCTTTGCTTTTACAATGAAGTAGTACTCCATTGTGGAAATGTACCATATCTTCTTTATCCATTCTTCAGTTGAGGGGCATCTAGGTTGCTTCCAGGTTCTTGCTATTACAAATAATGCTGCAATGAACATAGTTGAACAGATGTCTTTGTTGCATGAATGTGGATCATTCGGGTATATGCCTAAGAGTGGTATTGCCAGGTCCTGTGGTAAACTGATTCCCATTTTCTTGAGGAACCACCATTCTCCAAAATGGCTGTGCACTCCCACCAGCAGTGGAGGAGTGGTCCCCTTTCTCCACCTCCTCTCCAGCATAAGTTGTCATTGGTGTTTCTAATTTTAGCCATTCTGGCATGAGTAAGACGGTATGTTAGAGTTGTTTTGATTTGTATTTCCCTGATAGCTAAGGATGTTGAACCCCACAGACTGGGAAAAGATCTTCACCAACCCTACATCTGACAGAGTGTTGATCTCCAAAATATACAAAGAACTCAAGAAACTAGTCACCAAAATACCAAACAACCCTATTAAAAAATGGGGTACAAAACTGAAGAGAGAATTCTCAATAGAGGAAATCAAAAAGGCTGAAAGACACTTAAGTGCTCAACACCCAGGTTTTTTAATATAAATTTTATTAATGTTTTGAAAAATTCATACTTGCATACAAATTGATGATATTCACTCCTACCCCTCCCTCAACTCTATATATCAGCCCTCATCTTCCACCCCTCCCAAGTTAATATCCTCTTTTGTTTCTCATAACCCACCAAGTCTATTTTATGATGTCCATATATTCATGAATGTGGAGTGACACACTGGAAGGGCCACATTTTACAAAAAAAAAAATGGATTTCCCCTCCCTCATAAGCCTCCAACTGTCAGGCACCTTAGCTGTGGATGGAGGCTTCTCTTCTCCATGCTGGAATGTTTACTGGATTGATCTTCTACAGACCTTGTGATGACAACCACAACTGCTATACAGAAATAATACTATGTCTACCAGATGTTGATTTGCTCCAGTCCTTTCTGACCTCTGGCTCATAAAATCTCTCCACCCTCTGTTCCATAATGGTTCTCAAATCCTCCAGAGGTGGTATATGTGTGATATAGATGTCCCATTTGCTGAGTACTCCAAAACAAATTATCCTCTGTATTTTGATCAGTTATGAATTTCTTTATTAAGTATTGTCAATTTCTACTGTGCAAAAGAACTTCTATGGTGAGGTCTAAAAGTAGCATTAATCTATATGTAGAGAGATATGATTTATAAGGTAGTTTATACTATATAAATTTAGCAGAATAACAGCAGGAGATCATTGCTCCCAGTTTTTTTTATATGAGTATTAGGGTTTCAAACACGGGTCTTCATTCTTGTGAAGTGAGCACAGGCAGACTGAGCCATCTCCTTAACAACCTACATGTAAACTAAGATGAGCTTCCTCCTTGGGTGTCCTTAATAAATAATGAATGGCTGAATGTTTGTTGACAAATAAATTAATATAGAAGTCTTACCTCTCTTTCTCACACTCTCTCACTCGCTCTCACTCTCTCTCTAGACATGAAGCCACCAATTCTTCTGCCAACAGAAATCCCAACAAGTTCCAATTCTCAGCATTTCAACCTCAACTTCACCATCACCAACCTACCCTATTCCCAAGACATAGCACAGCCAGGCACCACCAAACACCAGCAAAACAAAAGAAGTATTGAATATGCGGTGAGAATCATGTTGCTTGTCCAACTTTATTCCCAGGCAGAAACTGACTGTGAACACTGGGTCAGTGGGTAATTTTTTTTTAAATAAGAGTTCTTGAAAACACATTCTTATTCCCACTTATAAATTGAAAAAAAAACAGTAAGAGATTCAATAACTAGGAAAGGGTCCTACAGCTATGCCATGCCCTAGAATAAGACATTCTACGCTTGGGTTTGCATTTGTCGTTGAAAACATAGATTGGGAAGTATCCTTATTAGCTGTCAAATTTGACAATGGAACCTGAGGTTCTGACATAGGAAACATTGTCCTATCTTTCAGCTCAATCAGCTTTTCAGAAACAGCAGCATCAAGAGTTACTTTTCAGACTGTCAAGTTTTAGCCTTCAGGTAAGTGCTGATTCAAGACCTATTGACCCTGAGGACTTCCTTTGCCTCAGACTCATTTTGTAAATGAATATAACCTTGAATTTCTGGTCCTGCTACCTCTACCTCTGGAATAGAGTGCTGGGAGTACAGCCCTATATCATCAAATATGGTAAATTACTAAATCTCTACAGTTTAATAACCATGGGGAACAGTCATAGGACAGTATTGCTCTCCAGTGGCCTTGTCAAGGATAGCAGCCATAATATGGTTTCAAAAAGAGAATGAGGAGGGGGTAGGTTTGGCAGATACCTCAGAAAGTAAAATACTTACCTTGCATGGAGATCTGAGTTTGATCCCTAGAACACATATTAAAAACCTGGCATGGCCTCATATGCCTGTTACCCCAAAGCTGGACAGGGGAGAGAAACTTAAGATGATTTCCTTTTCATAATTTCTTGGTTCCTATTTTAAGGAAGACATTCCATGGCATATAACATTGTTTTCTAAAAGCTAGCACTTTCATACAGCAGGAAGTCCAGCTGTCTTAGAAACTTCGCTGAGTTTGTGAAGCCTGCCAGACATGATGGTGATTGGTAGGTGATGTGTCATGAAATCAAGAGTGTAGAATGATAGCAAATATATATCTGCAATAAAAAATAGAAATATTCAAAGAAGCTAACTTTTATTTAAATAATCTGGATTTCAACATAAAATAGTTGATTTGTAAATGAGAGTAAGACTTGTCAAGAAGCACCATGAAGCCAGGCATGGAGACCTATCTGTAATGCCAGTACTCTGTTTCCTGGAGAATTGGGGTTTCCAATTTGGGAGTTTAAACTTGTTGACAAAACCAACTTTTAAAAGAACTAAACGAGAAACGTGAAAACTCTTTTATTAGACTTTGAGAGAAAAACAGGACAGGCAACAAGGGGTTTCCAGGAAGAGGAGGGAAAGAAAAATCTATGATTGAGTCAGGTTAAGCCTTATAGGTCTTCAAGAAGTATATGAAATGTGTGAGCCACAGGGGATGAAGGAATTCTTCGAAGAAAAACTAAGATGGCTTAGATTGACAAGGAAAGCATGCTTAGGAATTTCGTTGACTTGTAAAGAATAGATAGAAAGGAGAAAAACAATAAGTTTTGAATTAGAACTCAGAAAAGCAAACAGTGAGAATTTGTAAGCAACTGTATCAAAGTACAGACTTCTAGTGAGTCTAAATACATAACTTTATTAGGAGGATAATTGTTCCTTTATTTAGATCTTGCCCTGATTAGATTAACTCTTAAATAGGGAAATAGTGTTATATAATGTTCTTCCCTCTAAGCAGAACAGAATGTCATAGCTCTACCCAGAGACAGAGGTAGAACTCAGAATACATTCTTTTGACCAGAGGGAAGCAACTTTGCCTTAAAGGATTTCAACAAATTATGTTGCCACCTTTTTATATACATTCTAAATTTTAAGGAATGCAAATGTAATTTTTTTGTTTGTTTTTTAGTGTTAAGAAATAAGTCTATAGAATATGATGCTGATTATGAGGGAGGGGACCATCTTCCATGGCCTCCACACCTGCTAATGTCTTTCTTAAGCATTAAATACCAAGGCAGGAGGATCAGGAGTTCAAGGCTAGCCTGGACTACACAGTGGCACCCAATCTCAAATAAATAATCATATGTCCCAAAGTTTTCTTTATTCATCAGATAAATAAGTGACTTCAAGATCTGAGAGTTTCTCTATCGATAAGATATCTGAGTAGATAAAAACACACTTAATATGAATATGATTCCCCAAGATGCTCATGATTACTCCATGTCCTATGGAAAAAGTGTTTGGTGCCTTCAGTAACAAGGTCTTAGTCTGGCTTTGACTTCTGTAAACTGTTTGTAGGCAACCACAGAACCTGTGAATCATGAATGCAGTGGTCCAGTTATATCTAGAAAACACTGTTTCACAGCCCTACTTCCTGACCTCTGGCTTTACATACTTCCTGCCTCATTACACAGGATCACAGGACCCTTTGAGGAAGAGTATAATACAGAAGATTCATTCAGGCTTAGCTACATTTCTATTATAAAGGAGCAGCATGATACAATTAACACCTGTATCAGAAAGTGTAGTTGCAGAATGTTGGACAAAATTCTTCAAGAAAGGGAAAAGCAACAGATAATCTGTCGTAAATGTAGAATAGCAAACACCCTTGTTCATCCTCTGTGCCCTCTCAGGTCTGTCTCCAACAGCAACCACACAGGAGTAGATTCTGTGTGTAACTTCTCACCATTGGCTCGACAAGTGGATCGAGTTTCTATCTACAAGGAATTCCTTCGGATGACACAAAATGGTACCCAGTTGCTAAACTTCACATTGGACCGGAAGAGTGTTCTTGTGGATGGTAAGGCTCCCTGGTCAGTAAAGGCAAAATGATATTCATAGCCATGGGTTTTTAGCTAGATTTCTTCTGTTTTCAGAATAAAATTTGTGATGTCAAATTGATTTTAAAATTTGAATGAAAATGCTAAATGAAACAAGGATAGTAAATGGCAATCATTTGTAATTACTATTTTAATTGGATAAAATACTAATAAACTTAAGCAGTGAATTATTATACTATTCTGTCTACTTTTCTGTATTTCTGTTAAGTTTTATTTAAATGAATAGCCAGGCAGGATGATGAATGTCTTTTGTCTAAGTTCTATGGAGGCAGAGATAGGCAGAGCTCTGTGAGTTGAAGGCCAGCCTAGAATAAATAGTGAGTTCCAGGCCAGCTAGGGCTATATAATCCTGTCTCAGAGATCCTGTCTCAGAGAAATAAAAATTTTTAAAAATAAAGCATGGCTGGGGATATATCTCAGTGGTACATAACTCTCTCCCCATGTCCAAGAGCCTGGACTTTATACCTAGACTCAGAAAGTAAAAAAGATGTCATAGAACATGCCTTTAATCCCAGCACACAGGAGGCAGAGGCAGAGGCAGGTGGATCTCTGAGTTTGAGGCCAGCCTAGTCTACAGAGCAAGTTCAAGGACAGCTAAGGTCTACACAGAGAAACCCTGTCTTGAAAACTCAAAAAACCATTCTCATGTGCATTCTTTTTTATTTATTTCCAGGGTATTGTTCAAGCAGGGATGATGATGTGATAAAGAATTCTGGTGAGTTCCAGACTAGTCCATATCTGGGGTATCATCAGGAGCATCTTCTTTGTAACTCTGTTATCAAGTGCTGTATGCAGAGGGTCATGGTGAAAGAGGGTCGACCCATGGCAGGGACTGATAAGGTAGAGAGGACACACATTAGGGTTTTTGTCCTGTTGGAAGCCCACACAAAAAGAAGTGTGAGGCAGATTCATATGAAATTGAGGCACTAAGCTCTCTCCACAAGATTCATACCCATCCTCAGACCACTTAGAATTCAGGAAGGATTGCCAGGAGATGGCAATAGGGAATTCATTCCAGTATTTGTCTTCCTAGGTCTTCCCTTCTGGGCTATCATTCTCATCTGCTTGGCAGTACTACTGATACTCATCACATGCCTGATGTGCTGTTTCCTGGTGAGCAAGAAAGTGTGGGGGGGAGGGGTACTGTATTCTCAATATTGAATTGTTAAGAAGTTTTAAACAGGCAAGCACCATACAGCACTTCGTTGGTCTAGGATGGACCTAAGATGTGACATATATGTCACATAAATGACAATCTTCTCCAAAATGATGCTTCCTGATGCCATTGTATCCATCTAAGCTTATTTAAATATTGTCGATGATGTTTGTATAATGGCATTGCATTCATAAAATAAGGCCTTAATCTTATACAGTATATGACTGTCCATTATACATATACAAGTCCTTTACTGGTGATGATTTATGAACATTTTCTTTTAGACTGCATGCAGCTGGCCCTTTTAATCCCTCTCTTCTAATTTTACTGTTAATTATGTTTGTTTGTTTGTTTGTTTGTGATTTATTGCTTTTAACCCAGGCTGGCTTCTTCACTGAGTAGTTAAGGAGGATCATGAGTTCAAGAACTCCCTACCAGTTTCTGCCTCCCAAATAATGGGAGGACCATGCTCACTATATATTTTATTTTTATTTGACAAATAATGTGTATTTGTATGAGTTGCAAGGTATGCATTAAGAAATTACTAAATCAAGTAAATATCATCATATCATTTTGGGTGGTATGAATCTTACTCTGGGTATTTCTTAAATATGTATTACATTAACTGTAGTCAGCATGTTCCTTAAAATTCTAACACTAGGCATTAGTGAAATGCCATGACACAGCAGCATAAATAAAACAAGGGAGAACTGGGATCGATATGTAAAATGAGAAAAAATAATAATAATAATAAAGAGAATACCTATCCAAAGACTTGTACAAAAATGTACATAAATACCTTTTCAGTCCTAGCCAAACTTTTAAAAAAGAAAAGAAAAATGAACTCAACCCAAAAACAAACTAGTTCCATTTCCATCAAGAGGTATATCTCAACAATTGAATACTATTCAATAATTTAAAAAAAAATGAATGGTTGATCTGTAGAGGCAGAAATCAGCCCAGAGATTTCTGGAATCATAGTTATGTTTGCAAATAGGAAGCATTATGATGAAGTCGAACACAGTTGGAGATGATGAATGGGTGTTTCTCATCGCCTTTCTGAGTGATAACTTAGGGAGTTGTCATAAAAATCAAATAATTTATTTCTTCTTGAAACAGAATTTCACTATAAAGCTCATGCTAGTATTAAGAATCTTCTTAAATCAACTTCCTAATTGCGAGGAGTAGAGAGACATATCACTATGCCTCACTAAATCATTCACTTTAAATGTGTTGACTTTATTACATGTCAGTTATTTCTCCTTTAAGATAGAAAAAATGACAGTGGGGAGGAAGCCCAGAAATTGAGCTGAGAATAAAATGAGAAAAGAATATTGGGAGAAAAAAATTATAAATCAGCTAGGTAGTTAGAAATACATAAGATAGATGATGGATAGTCGATTCATACTGCTAATTGACAGGATATACAGATGGTTGATAGTAACTATATAGATAACAGACAATACATTATGAATACATGATAGATAGATGATAGATTCATAAATGATTGCAAGATGACAGATAATTCAGAGACAAATGGTGACACAAGCAGAGAGTAAATTAATGATGCATGGTAGAGAATCCTATATAAGACTTATAGCTAAGTGTTAAATGAATATTAATAAATTAATTCAGAAATGGAAATAAGAGATATATGGGTGGAGTATTAATTAAGACTAGAGGGGGAAGAAGGCATTTTAAGGGAGAAACCCAAATAGAAAAAGGAAGAAAAGAGATATAAGAAACATCAGACCTCTGGCTTTGGCCATGTTTTCCTTCGTGATCTCCTGTATCTGGGGTCTGGCTAATTTATTCTTATGGCTTCTCCTGACCTTCACAGGTGACTATCTGCAGAAGAAAAAAGGAGGGAGACTACCAGGTTCAACGTCATCGCCTAGGTTACTACCTGCCTCACCTAGACCTGAGGAAGCTCCCATGACTCCACCTACCAGGGGTACTTTCTCCCTAGCAGGGTCCAAAGAATAAACCACATTGGTCAGATTCAGAACCTGTGACTTTCTTGACTTTATCCCTGAGGATGTCCCTGGGGATCAAGTGAAAAGTGTTCCTCTTTTATTAAGTCCTGATGGAGACTGTTAGTTATGGTCTGTGGCCTCATAGTACATCATGCTTCAGGCACAGCAGGTTTTGTGAAACTGGTTGTAGCAGCTACTTTTTTGCTGCTAAAACAAAATTCCTGACAACAGCATCTTAAAGAATGGTTTAAGCCAGGTGCTGGTAGCACACACCTTTAATCCCAGGAGTTGGGAGGTAGAGGCAGGCGGATCTCTGTGAGTTCAAGGCCAGCCTGGACTAGCGAGCTAGCTCCAGGACAGCTAGAGCTGTTACACAGAGAAGCCTTGTCTTGAAAGAAAAAAAAAATGGTTTGGTTAGGCTTACAGTTCCAGAGGGACACAGTCCATTATGGTAGGGGAAAGGTGGTGGCCAAAGCAGGCACCAAGCTGGTCATATTACAGAGGATGTTAGTGGGGGGCCAGGTTATAATATCTCAGAGCCCATAACTCTATGCAACTCTTCTTCCAGAAAGGTTCCATTTCATAACTCTCCCACAACCAGCTGGAGAGACAAAGTGGTTAAATATGTGAGACTGTAAGGAACAGTCTACATTCAAACCACATCAGTGTAGAAATTGTTGGATCCCCCAAAGTAGAGTTACAATGTGTTGTAAGCAACCAGATGTGGATGCTGAAGATTGAACTTTGGCCATCAGAAAGAATAGTGTGCACTTTTAACATCTATCCAGTTTGAAAATTATAAGTGCTGCAATTGGAGTGGGGGGTAGGAGAAGAAAGGGGATTTGTTAGAATGGCTTACAGACTGTGGTCCAGTTAACACAATGGCTGTCTACCAATTGAAGGTCTAAGAATCCAGTACTCGTTCAGTCCACAAGGCTAGATGTCTTCAGTATATGCCAGCATCCTGAGTAGGTTGTAATGCCAATGAAGGAATGGACTTGATAGTGAAAGCAAGAACAAGAAAAAAGACAGCAAGCTTCATTCTTCCAAGTCCTTTACACAGGCTGAAGGTGTGGCCCACATTAAAGGTTTATCTTCCCACCTCAAAGATCCAGAATAGAATGAGTTAATTAAGGAAAAGAATCCCTCAGAGATGTGCCCAGCCATTTGGGTTTTAGTTAATCCCATATGCAATCAAGTTGACAACCAAGAACAGCCTTCAAAACCTGTAAGGACAAAGCACTACATAATTCTGTGACGTTCCGTGTAGCTCTGTAGTCTGTGCTTGCAACTATGGCCCCCAATACACACCTCTACCGTCTCAGGTGCTGGTACTATAAAAGCCTATGTCAGCAGGTCTGCCTAATTCCATGACATATGCAATAACTCCTGTTGACCTTAAGCAAAATAAGTTTGACATAAAAAGAAATATGCAATCTGGGGCCACAGCCTAGTGGGTAAATACTGGGCAGACATGGAGTTTGAATTCTACAATCTGGACACAGTGGAATGTGTCTGAAATCCCAGCACTACTGTGAGGAAATAGGAAAGAAGCCAGAGAGTCCATGGAAGATTATGGGCTTGAGATCCTGTCTCAAATAAGATGAAAGGTGAAGATCAACACATGAGTTTGTCCTCTGAAATGTTCTGTGGTACACATTTAACACACACACACACACACACACACACACACACACACACGGTGGTGGTAGTTGACTTCATGATACAGCTTTATGGAGTCTTTCAAAATCAGATATGTGAAAATAGACAATAGAATGATTGTAACTATGGACAGTAGTGAGCACAGACAGATGCAGATTAGAGAGCACAAAACTAGTTATGTAGACTATATCCAGAGCTCTAATGTGCAGTGTAGGATTCCAATCAGTAACACCATGCTATATAATGGAAATTGATTAAGCCAGATCCTACATGTTTGTACTACCCGTGAGATTGTAACTAGATCAGGGTATTCGTCTCCACTGTCAGCTTGAGTGGTCCTAGAGTTACCTAGAGGACAAAATTCCGTATATGTCTATGAGTATATTTTCATAGTTTAATTGAGGAAAGAAGCTCCATCGTAAACATGACTGGTACTATCCTGAAGTCTCAGGCTGAATATGAAGAAAAAATGGAGGGAGAAGTGACTAGAACCCCAGCATTGCCTTACTGTTTCCCTGGCTACAGATACAATGTGAGCAGTTGCCTCATATTCCTGCATCCAAGTCTCCTCACTGCTCCCTCGAACTGTAAAGCAAAATAAACACTTTTCTCAAGTTGCTTTTGACATGTCTTTCATTAGTGGTTGGAAAAGTGATACATGATAGTTGTTATTCTTGTTACATATGCATATCAAAACACTGTATCATATACCTTTATACAGAAAAATATAGTACCTGTGTCAGGGAAACTTTTCTTTTACAGCAGACAGACATCATTACAGAAAGCCACAATGAATCAAAATGCAGTTGTGGAGTCCAGTCCCAATGGGTACACATACAACTTAACTTCTGAACCTAAGGTTCAGGCATCATTGCTAAGGGACAGAAAGACTGTAAAGAGAAAAAATTAAAATCCAGGGAGTTTTCTGTGAGATTGTGCCTCCTAGGAATGTCATAGGCCACAACAATTTTTAAAACATAGTAAGTAAAATACAAGAATGTTAGGTAACTAGTAAATTATGGCTTGGAAGTAGAGTACCTGGTGCTCTTCCAGAGGACCTGGGATTAAAGCTTTCCCAGAAGCTGTATGACAGCTCCCAACAGCCTCTAAGTCTAGTTCCAGGGTATCCAATGGGCATCAACACACATACCATTCACAGATATACATGCAGGTAAAACATGCATAACATATACATAAACATTTTAAAAAATAAAATAGTGAATGAATATAGGACTATAAAGAGCAAAAGAAAAATCTTTTCTCATCTCAGTTTCTCTTCTCAAAAACAAATTACTGAGGCTGGAGAGATAGCTCAATACCTAAGAGCATTTAAAACTCTCTCAGAGGGTCCAAGTTTGGTTCCCATAACCATTGTATGATAGCTCACAACTGCCTATAACTAGAGTTTCTGGGAATACAATATCCTCTTCTTCTGTTCACTTCATGCACTTGTTCTCATATGCACATAACACACACAGACACATAAATTAAAAGTAATTTGTTATGTTTACACCTCTATGTATGCCTATGTATCGTGTGTGTGTGTGTGTGTGTGTGTGTGTGTGTGTGTGTGTGTGTGTGTTTTCCATAGAGATAAGGAAAGAGCAATTGGATCCCCTTGGAATTGAAATTATGGACAGTTGTCAACTGCTATGTAGATGGTGGGAATTAAATTTGTATCCTCTGGAGAGCAGCCAGTGCTCTTAATCATTGAGCCATCTCTCCAGCCTCTAAAATAATTTTAAAAAATAAAAATTACTGGCTGTGTGATATAGCTCTATGGTAGAGCATTCTCCCGGTATGAGTGGGAAGTTGGGGTCAATCTTCAACACAGAGAAAGAGGTGAGTATAGGAGAACAATCATTTGCACTTTTTGCATTGCACAAAGAATTTTAACAAAGTATTGCCAAGTTTAAATCTTCAAAGTAACAACAAAAAGACACTGCAAAGAAGTGTTAAAACAAGTCTGCATTTCATCTGCAGTACCTGCTCCCCTGCTCCCCATCCCTGTGTTTATAAGTTTGCCTTCCTTGACTCCCTCATTTTCTCTGCCTCGTTGGCTAGCCTGTGTGCAATCAATGCACCTGCCAGTCTTTCTCTTGCTATTTTCACTTTCCTTTCCTGGTTGCTAATATCTTCTTCAGTGACGAGAAACTGATTGCAAAAGGTCCGTGGGATACCTGCTTCTGGAATCATCTCCACCAAATGCGAAGATGACTTATGGGTGGGCATGGGCCTGGAGTCAATGCTGTTGGCTTGAGTCTCTGAAACAGAGGCATCTGTGCCTCTAGGTGTAAGGTCTTGCAATGCTTTGGTGAGATCTGAAGTGCTCAAAAGTTCTCCTACACTGCTGTAGGCCTGGAGTCCTTGCAGTCTCTTCTGCCAGCAGACTTGTTGGGGCTTGTCCAAGGTCTCCTCCCACTGATGATATCTCACCTCATTGCACTGATGGGATGTGATTCTAGTGACTGGCCTCTTAAATGTATAACTGGACATCCTCAAGGGGATTGAGGTGTTTAAACAGGCCTTTGGCTTTGATATGTTCTCATAGTCACGTTGCTTCCTCTGTGAAGCCTTGCCCATCTGACTCCTTTCTTAATCCTATAAGCATGTCAGAAAATTGCATTAATGTGATGCAGGTTGCCTCCTTATATTTTCTATGTGATACTTATCAATTATCAGTGTCGCTTTTAACTTCCACCATCCCCCTCTCTCTGGTGATGGATTTGACCTGTATTCAAGGACATCATCCAACAGATCTAAGTTTAGCACAGAAAGCTCAAAGTCCAAACTCCCCAACCACTTGGCAAAACTCCCTCCTTGCTTGAGTGTATTTTTATTCTCTCTGGATCAACTGCCAACTGCTTGAGTTCTCATATTCCCTGTCATGACACACAGTTCCCATTCTTCCTCTAAGTATCTAATTTTGCCATTCTTCTGTGATATTTGATGAATTTGTTATTAGCCACATGGCTTTCATAGCTCCTTTGACATTTAAATAAAAGTGAAATTAGATCATAAGAGCTAGAGGTTGGGAAAGAGTGCTATGGAAAAAGCATTTCCTGGACACAACAGGAACACTGCAGTCAGGAACTCACAGACACTCTAATTACTTGCAGAAAACCTGTACAAGACCAGGCCAGCCAACATTCCAGAACAGATATGAGAGAAGCTCATGGCAGCTGATACTGCTAAGGAAGGAACAGTGAGTTTTCCTCAGAATGTGGACTCTGATTGGTTGCTTCAGTGGATGGCCCTACACCCATGCACATACTGGAAACACTAATAAGTTTCAGTAGGTTCAAAAAGAAGGACGTGGAGTTGGAAGAAGAAGTGGTGAGGGTATCTGGGTGAAGCTGGGGGATAAAATGGAAGACGATATGATCAATACATTTCATACATGTATGAAACTTTCAAATAATAAATATGTATTTTTAAAAAATTAATACCAACAATATCACTCCTGAAGAATCACTACAAGACCTGAGAAAAAGAAAAGAAGGAAGGAAGGAGGAAGGATGGGAGGAAGGAAGGAAGAAAGGAAGGAAGGACGAATACTCACTACCATATTTTTATTCTAGTAGGTTGTTTTTCTAGAATGTATGTAAGAGTACACGGCACATAACTATTTCTCAAAAACAAAAGATGAGTCTGGAACACTTCTATCCCTTTTATCTACTAAGTATTTATTAATATACATTAACTACACAAAAGGGCTTCACTGTGGCACTTCCATATTCACAAATAATGTACTTTGATCATAGACACCACAGCTACTGCTCTTTATTATGCCTCTTCTCCCTCCTCCTTTTCTGATCTTCCCTTCTGCTTCTATCATGTTTCCCCCTTTCATGTTATTTAAAACACACATCCCATGTAGAGGTGGCTCTGAAGGGAAGGACCCTTACAGATGAACCTGATAACCTGAGCATCAGCTCCCATGAGCTGTTCTCTGGCCTCCACATGCTCGTCATGGCAAACATATCTACACCCAAATACATAAAAGGACACAAATATTAAAGTTGCTTTAAATATAGTTTCCACATGAGAGGGAATATGGTATTTGTCTTTTCTTTGGGGTGTGTATGGGTAGAATGTGCATGTGCTATGTCTTTGTATGTGTGTGTGCGTATGTACATGTGTGCCTGTGAAGGCCTGGGGTTGATGTCATTTATGTTCTGGAATAGACTTATACTCTATTTATTTATTTATTTATTTATTTATTTATTTATTGAGGCAGTGTCTCTCATTGAACACAGAGCTCACCAATTCTGAGCAGTCTAGCTGAGGAATCCAACTTACCCCTGAGATCTATTATTTCCTCAGTGCTGGGATTGCAGGTGGCCACTGCCCATTTGGTTGTTTTGGTTGTTTTGCTTTTGTCTTTCAATATATTTTATTTTTGAGATTATATCATCTCCCTTCTCCTTCCTCCCACCAAGCCCCCATATGCCCCTCCTTTCTCTTTTATAAATTCTTGACCCCTTTTTTATTCATTGTTGTTGTCTACCTACCCATATATATGTACATTCCTAAATATTATCTGCCTTTTATGTGGGTTCTGGGGATTCAAACTCCAATCCTCATAACTGCACAAAGTGTTTTATCCACTGAACCATCTCCCCAGCCTAGTATCTGTCTTTCCAAGTCTGACTTCTTCCACTCAGTATGTTGGTCTCTAGTTCTAGTCACTGTCTTGCAAATGGTACAGTTTCATTCTGCGTTATGGCTGAATAACAGTCTATTGTGTAGGGGCTGACTATAGAGCTTAGTTGGTAGAGTTTTTGCCTCGTGTGCACAAAACCCTAGGTTTGATCTCATTAAAACTGAGTGTGATGATGTTGGTTGATAATGATAGCACCTGGGATACAGAGACAAAAAAGTCAAAAATTTAAGGGCATCTTCAGCTACACAGTGAGTTTGAGATCAGCCTATGCTACATAGGCTGTCACAAAACCCTGTCACAAAAATTAAAATTTCAATTGCCTATATAAACCACATTTTCTTTAACCATTCATATGATGATAGACATCTGGGCATATTCTATAATTTGACTTCTGTAGGAATTGTTCTTTTAGATTAACATACTAAATAAAAACATTTACGAAGAGTATGATCATGTGATATATATATATATATATATATACTATATTGTGATTATAATTAGCATTTTAACTATCTTAGTATTTATCATTTCCTTTATTGGGGGAGCTTCAAATTTCTTTTTCCTAGCTTTTTACCATATGTATGAAATATTGTCAACTACAGTCACATGCTCATAGAATGTAAGAACTGACTCTTGAAGCATAACTTTACCATTATCCAAGTACCCTCCTCCTGATCCCATATCCATACTCAGTTTTACAGTCTGTGGTCTCAATAATTCCACTGGTATTACTGAAAAAGTCTTTTCCATTTAGCTTATCTACCTTGTAAAACTTCAAATTAGGAAGATTGCCATCATCACCATACCACAGTTATTGCTTGCCCTATGATACCTATTGGAAGAAAAAAACACAACATACTATTTTGGTGCAACTATAAATACAAAATATTTAGAAATAACATGGAAAAAAGTCATAATACCTGGGCATTTATGTGTTATGAGTCACTGAATCTCCCTTAAGCCTGTTTGATTCTTTTTCCACATTTACTTTTTGTTATTTCCACTTCTTATTGCTGTGATAAAATGCCCTGACAAAAGCAGTGGATGGAAAATGAGCTTATTTGGCTTACAATTGCATATAATAGTCCATCACTGCAAGGGAATGAGAGCAGGCTTTACATGCACTCAAGATCAGAGGAATAAAACCCTCACACTCTTACACAGTCAAATTCCCTTAAAACTTCCCCAGTACTTCTTGGAGAAACTATAAATATATCTAGTTGACATATTTACACGTATGTTAGACTGTAAATTTCTTCCAGGTATGTTGCTAGTTCCTTTGTCTCCTGATCTGAGATTTTCCCATCTTCCTGTTTAGTAACCTCATGCCCACAATGCACCAATAAGTCCCTCAATCTTCAATGTCTCTTTCTCTATAGAATCCTTCCTTCAGCATTTACTGCCTACATTTCTCTGAGCTACATAGAAAGCCCTTGCCTAACCTCCTCTGTCCCTTCCTCTTAGCACAAGCTGCTCAAAAGAGACATCTGTATTATGTTTTTCTGGAACATCTTACCTCCAACCAGCTCCTCAGACTACTTGGAACCTTCATATGGCGTGATCATTCTGTGGCTCTTTCCCTTGAAGACGTCACAATGACCCTTTGTTGTTACATCCAAAAGGAACTTTTCACATAATAATTTTTAAAACAGATTCTGGCTGTACATAATCTTTGTCAGCCTTCAACCTGTTGTATAACCCAGGCTAGCCTTGGAGTCGCTATCCTCCTGTCTAAGCCTCAGCCTTTAAAATGACTTATCACACCAACATAATTATCCTGACTACAGAGATAAAATTCACCACATACATTAATATGTGCTATTAACAGAAAATACAAACTTAATTATTAGAATGTATTTTTAATATAATTTTTTATTTAAATTAGAAACAAGCTTATTTTACATATCAATCCCAGTCCCCACACCCTCCCGTTCTTCTCTGTCCCCCCCCCACCCACCCACCAACCCCCATCCCATCCACATTCTGCTCCCCAGGGAAGGTGATGCCTTCCATAGGGAGTCTTCAAAGTCTGTCATATCATTTGGAACAGGGCCCAGGCCCTCCCCCATGTGTAGAATGTGTTTTTATGTAAATGACTATAGAAATAATAATGGCTATGTATTAAAATTTTGATGGGTTTTTATATTGTCAGCATAAACAAATGATGTCTTAAGATCAGTATATTTAGACTCCCTGGGTTGGCCCCTGATCCTGCTGCTCCTGTCTCAGGTCCCCATTGAGAGCACCCTTGGAGCTCTGATACACCCCCACCCATCTCCACCGCCAGCCTACCCCCCCTACCCTGTCCCCTACCCCACCCATGGTCCTGCTGCTCTGGTTGAGCACTGGGACAGAGGGTGGAGCCAATAGTCCACCCTACTTCGGACTTTCTAATATTCAACGAGAATGAGGATACAACATACCCGAACTTATGGGACACCTTGAAAGCAGTGCTACGAGGGAAGTTCATTGCACTAAGTGCCCATATGAAGAAAACAGAGGATAGTCACATAAGAGAATTAACAGCCCAACTGAAAACCTTAGAACAGAGAGAAGCGAATTCACCCTGCAGGAGTACACACCAGGAAATAATCAATTTGAGGGCTGAAATCAACAAAATAGAAACCAGGAAAACAATACAAAAAATCAATGCAACAAAGAGTTGCTTTTTGAGAAAATCAACAAGATAGACAAACCTTTATCCAAACTAACGAAAAAGCAGAGACAGAACATGCAAATTACAAAATCATAAACGAAATGGGGAACATAAAAACAGAGGAAATCCAGACATACTTTGAAAATCTGTATTCCACAAAAAATTGAAAATTCAAAGGAAATGGACAAGTTTCTGGATAACTATCACTTACCAAAATTAAATCAAGAACAGACAAACAACTTAAATAGACCTATAACCCGCAATGAAATGGAAGCAGTCATTGAAAGCCTTCCAACCAAAAAAAGTCCAGGGCCAGATGGATTCAGTGCAGAATTCTACCAGACATTCAAGGAAGAACTAATACCACTACTCCTCAAACTCTTCCACAAGATAGAAACAGAAGATTCATTGCCAAACTCTTTTTACCAGGCCACAATAACTTTGGTACCCAAACCTCACAAAGACACAACTAAGAAAGAAAACTACAGACCGATATCCATGATGAACATCGATGCAAAAATACTCAATAAAATAATGGCAAACCGAATTCAAAAATACATCAGAGAAATCATCCACCATGATCAAGTAGGCTTCATACCTGGATTGCAGGGATGGTTTAACATACGAAAATCTATCAACGTGATCCACCATATAAACAAACAGAAAAAGAAAAACCATATGATCATCTCCCTAGATGCGGAAAAAGCCTTTGACAAAATTCAACACCCTTTCATGATAAAGGTCTTGGAGAGGTCAGGGATAACAGGAACATACCTAAACATAATAAGAGCAATATACAGCAAACCAACTGCCAACATCAAACTGAATGGAGAGAAACTTAAACCAATTCCTCTAAAATCAGGAACAAGACAAGGCTGTCCTCTCTCTCCATATCTCTTCAATATCGTACTAGAAGTTTTAGCTAATGCTATAAGACAACAAAAGGAGATCTAGGACATCCAAATTGGAAAGGAAGAAGTCAAACTGTCTCTATTTGCAGATGATATGATAGTTTACATAAGCGACCCAATAAACTCTACCAGGGAACTCCTACAGCTGATAAACACCTTCAGCAAACTAGCAGGATACAAGATAAACTCAAAAAAAAATCAGTAGCCCTATTTTTTTCAGACGACAAAGAGGCAGAGAAAGAAATCAGAGAAACATCACCCTTTACAATAGCCACAAGCAACATAAAGTATCTTGGTGTAACACTTACCAAACAAGTAAAAGACCTATATAATAAGAACTTTGTGACTCTAAAGAAAGAAATTAAAGAAGATAGCAGAAAATGGAAAGATCTCCCATGCTCTTAGTTAGGTAGGATTAACATAATAAAAATGGCAATCTTACCAAAAGAAATCTACAGATTCAATGCAATCCCCATTAAAATCCCACCACAATTCTTCACTGACCTTGAAAGGATAATAATCAACTTTATATGGAAAAACAAAAGACCCAGGATAGCCAAAACAACCCTATACAATAAAAGAACATCAGAAGGCATCACCATTCCTGACTTTAAGCTCTACTACAGAGCTATATAGTTCTGAAAACAGCCTGGTATTGGCATAAAAATAGACAGGTAGACCAATGGAATCGAATTGAAAATCCTGATATTAATCCACGCACCTATGAACACCTGATTTTCGAGAAAACAGCTAAAATTATACAATGGGGCAAGGACAGCATCTTCAACAAATGGTGCTGGCACAATTGGATGAGGGTGTGTAGAAGACTGCAGATAGACCCATGTCTGTCGCCAAGCACAAAACTCAAGTCCAAATGGATCAAAGACTTCAACATCAATCCAGCCACATTGAACCTCTTAGAAGAGAAAGTAGGAGGTACCCTTGAACAAATTGGTATAGGAGACTGCTTCTTGAACATAACTCCAGGGGCACAGACACTGAAAGAAACAATTAATAAATGGGACCTCTTCAAACTTAGAAGCTTCTGTAAGGCAAAGGACACAGTGGACAAGACCAAACAGCAGACCACAGACTGGGAAAAGATTTTCACCAATCCTATATCCGACAAAGGGATGATCTCCAAAATACACAAAGAACTCAAGAAACTAGTCAACAAAACACCAAATAACCCTATTAAAATATGGGGTACAGAACTGAAGAAAGAATTCTCAATAGAGGAAATCAAAAAGGCTGAAAGACAGTTAAGAAAATGCTCCACATCCTTAGCTATCAGGGAAATGCAAATCAAAACAACTTTGAGATACCATCTTACCCCTGCCAGAATGTCTAAATTAGAAACACCAATGATGATTCATGTTGGAGAGGATGTGGAGAAAGTGGAACACTCCTGCACTGCTGGTGGGAGTGCAAACTCACACAGCCATTTTGGAGATCGGTATGGCGGTTCCTCAGGAAAATGGGAATTAGTTTACCAAAGGACCTGGCAATCCCCCTCTTAGGCATATACCCAAAGGATTCACATCCATGCAACAAAGACATCTGTTCAACTATGTTCATAGCAGCACTATTTGTAATAGCAAGAACCTGGAAGCAACCTAGATGCCCCTCAATTGAAGAATGGTTAATGAAGATGTGGCACATCTACACAATGGAATACTACTCTGCAGAAAAAAAATAATGGTATCTTGAAATTCGCAGGCAAGTGGATGGCACTTGAAGAAACCATCCTGAATGAGGTAACCCAGTCACAAAAAAGAGGAACACAGTATGTACTCACTCATATATGGATTTTAGACCTAGATCAAAGTATCACCAGCCTAAAATTCACACCACCAGAGGAACTAGGATACAAGGTGTATTCTAAGAGAGTCATATAAAGTCCCTCACAGAACTGGGCAGGGACAAGTCCCCCAGAGCACAGGTGAAGTGGGGGGGGCAGCGAATGGAGAGAGAAGTAGGAGAAAATGAGGGGGAGGAAAAGAAAACATGTGCGACCAGGAAGATTGAGCCTGGTTAAGAATAGAAGACAGGAAAGAGAGAGAGAGAGAGAGAGAGAGAGAGAGAGAGAGAGAGAGAGAGAGAGAGAGAGAGAGAGAGAACATAAAAGAGGGAGCCAATATTGGTTTGAAGATAAAATTGAACACAAAGAAAGGTCTAGAGAACTACAAGTCTGCTCCCAACTAACAATCTCAGCTTCTGTGGAAAGGCTATCATAAATGTCCTTCCTGGATAGTGAGATCAACAACTAAATTCTCCATGGAGCCCTCAACTAATGCCTGTTGAAAACAGGATCAAACACCCATACATAAACACTGAGTCGAACTAGAACCCAGAAGCAGATGGAGAGGACAAGACCATGCTGCAGAAACACATAGAGACAGCTTACCTGAACAAGGAGGAGCTAACGGCCACTAGACTGATAGCTGGGAAGCCAGCATGGGACTGACTCAGGCCCCCCTGAATATGGGTCTCAGCCAGAAGGACTGAGCAGTCTAAGAGACCTCAGACAGTGGAGCCAGGATGTATCCCTGGTGCACAAAAGGACTTTGCGAACATATCCCCCTTGGAGGGATAACTGCCTTACCCTAGAGACAGGAGAGAAGCCCTAGTCCATACTTCACAGGACCTGTCAGATCTACATGACCCCAACTGGGTGGCATTCCCCTACATATGGAATTGGGGTGGGGGGATGGAAGGGGAGGGTGTTTAAGTTGAAGAACAAGTTACTGGGGAAAAGGATTTCTATTTTTGTTTCCACAGAAAATGAAAAGATGTGGATTCCTTCCAGACTAATGTGGTTTGATCATGCCAGGCTGCCTGAAACAGAGTACAAGGTGACCCTACATTCAAAACAGCTGGACAAAGCAGCCTTACAGACTACAGCCAGGATTTCTGAATCTTCTTCGAATCCCCCATGACAAAGCACCTTACCAGCAGGAAGTAGTATGGAAAGAACAACGCCCAAATATCCAAATATTGTGTATAAATGTTTGTTTTCATTTAATTCGACTTTGTTATATAAAATAAAATAAATTAAAAAAATAAAGTCAAAAACGGTAGAAATGACAAAAAAAAAAAAAAAAAAAAAAAAAAAAAAAAAAGATCAGTATATTTAACCTGATTTGAACATTTTACAATACACGTACCTGCTATGGCTTCAGTCTGAACTATACCCCATAGACTTATGATTTGAATTTTTAGTCCCCACCTTATGGAAGCATTTTGAAGGCACAGAGCCTTTGTCAGGAGGGTCTTGTCTAGCAGAAGAAAATCACTAGGAACTGGCAATGTGAACATTGTACCCACTTCTATTTCTAGATTAGCTGCCTCTTATTCCTAGGCTGCTCACATGTGCACAACTGCTGTCTCACAACCCCAAAGCCAAGATAGATGGTAATGTTCTGAAACTATAGCTAAACAAACTTTCCCTGCTTTGAATCATTCCTATAAGATATTTTAACCCCAATGATGCAAAAGTAACTAATAAATTGTTCTGTAAATATGTAAAATTTGTTGTTATATTAGCTAAAAATAAATGTAATTTACATAAAAAGAATATTAGTTTTAAAAGGCCATATAATCACTTCTATGTCTATATAGGTTGTTCACAAATTTTATCATTCTTGTGTACTTTTAAATTTTTGACAGATGAATATATTTGTGGGGTGCAATATGATATCTTGTTTTTTCTCATGAAATCCTAGTCCTTATCTTAATTCTTACGGCTTAAATGGTCCACCTGCTTTGAGGGGCACAGAAACAAAGACAAAAAAAAATGGGATTTTCTAACAGAAAGGAAATAATTTGGCGGCATAACTGGGAGGAGGTGTGATTAAAAAGCAGATGACAGAAACAAACGAGAAGGAGGAGAAACAGAGAGGCAAAGAGAGACAGACAGTCTTGGAGCAATCAATAACAGAGGAAGAAATAAAAATGGAGGGAAGGGAAGAAAATGGAGACTGAGGAAGAGGAGATGGAGGAGGAAGGGGCACAGGGAGAGAGGGAAGAGGTGGAGGAAAGGAAGGGAGCTGCATTCAAATGAACAAAGAAAACAGGGCAGTCTTGGGGTAGCTACAGATCATACTCCTTTGCTTTAAAAAAAAAAACCCATAAAATCTACAAAACATAAACTAAACCCTCTGCCCCATTCTCCAGTGCCTGGCTCGGCGGTATTAATATGTTCACATTGTCGTGCATCACTGCCATTCATCTCAAGAACTGTCATTTCCAAAACACAAATAATTCTCCTACTACACACTCTTTATTCCTCTCCCAGGTTAGGGAGTCTACGGTTCTATTTTTTACTTCTATACATATGACTACAATAGGGATGACTGTGTGAATAAATGGATAGCATTTATCTTTTGTGACTGGCATATCTTGTCAACAAAATGTTTCATTCATGTTGTACTGCAGGTCGGTATTCCTGCCTTTTAAGGCTGATTCCTATTCTAGCTACACATGATTTCACGCTGTAAAGGGTGAAACTGCTGACAACTGATGGCCCACTCTGATCCCAGCAAAGTTGCTGTTCAGTTGCAGCACATCCCCTAGCACACAGGTGATTGCAGTAGATGTGGAACCAGGAACGGAACTCCATCTGTGCCTGGGAACTGACTTTGACACCCTGGCTCCAGTTGGCCCTGATGCTTGCGTTCGGCATTTTGGTCCTTGTTTTAATTCCTGGGTACAGATTAAACTCAAGAGAAATCCATTTCAGCCAAGAGAACACAGAATGTGAAATGCCTATGTATAACAAGGTTAAGGTAATGACCCCTGACACAGCTTAGGATTAGTCTGTCTTGCATAAAAAAAAAAAACATATTTTATCAAATTAATATACAGTGCACCTAAAAATTAGCTCAGTGGTTAAGGGTGCTTGTTTACAAGCCTAACAACATAAGTTCTATCCCTGGAACCATGGGGTGGAAGGAGGAAACTGACTCCTGAGGACACACAATTAAACAAATGTACTTTTAAATTAACATGTTAATTGTACAAAGAAATGGGCTTATGACATTTCCTCCTATATCTTTTCCTAGATTCCATGAGTAACAGCAAACACACAATATTTTTCTTTGTGGGGATGCTTTATTTAATATGATGACCATCCTTGTCCATTCTTTTCTGTCTTCCCCCCCCCCACCCGCCCCGGACCTGAGGACCGAACCCAGGGCCTTGTGCTTGCTAGGCAAGCACTCTACCACTGAGCTAAATCCCCAACCCCGTCCATTCTTTTCTGTAAATGGCATATTCTTTATGGCTGGATAGACCATATATAATTACATTTTATTCATTTCTCTGTTAATGGCTACATAGGCTGGTTGCACCATAGCTATTGTGAAGAATGAAGTAACAAACATGAGTATGTAGATATGTCTATAGCAAATTGAGGTGGTTTTTGTCAAGCAGACATAAGCTAGAGTCATCTGTAAAGATAAAACTTCAATTGAGAAAATGCCTCCATCAGATAAGCCTGAAGGGGCCCCTTAACAATTATGATTGATGTGGGAGAATCCCTAACACTATGGGCAATACCACCCTGGCAGGAAATCTTAGGTTGTTTCAGAAAGAAGGCTGGGCAATCTAAGGGACTAAGACAGTAAGCAGTGTTCCTCCACATCTGTTTTAGTTTTAGTTCCTGTCCAGACTTCTCTAAGTGATGGACTGCAATCAGGATGTGTAAGCTAAATCTAGCCTTTCTTTCTCAAGTAGTGTTTTATCAGAATGTTCTATCATAGCAGTAGAAAGCAAACTAGAATGCTGATTCTTTGTAGTATAACACAACAGCATAGCAGGGACTTTTAACTTGCTCAGTTAGGATACCTTTCATCAGGAAAAAAAAAAAAAAAACACATGGTGTTAAGGATAAAGAATAAAGAAAATCTCATAAACTGTTTCAGAGAACGTAAAATAGTGTAGCCACCATGGGAGTCAGTAAGGAAGTTCTTCACAGCACTAGAACTACAACTATCATATGCTCTAAATATAATAAACCTCCTCCTTCCTACCATAAAGCTCCAGCGATTAGGGTCATGAGGTGAATCATTTTTGTCATCCCTCCCTATCCAGTGTTAATGCTGAAAGTTTTCTGCTTATACCTCCAATTATTTTACCATAATACATTATATAGATGTGTGTAAAAGTGTCAAAAAATTTAAGTAATATTGGTCTTTCAAGAAGTAAGTTGCAGAGAAATGTATACAATATGCAATTCTAGTAGGCTGTACAGTCATGGAGAACAGACTGAAGAAAAGTTACTGTTGAGCGATCTGTCATCACTCTTGGTGGTTGTGTGAGCCTAGAAGATCGGAGCCTAAAAATGAGGCAGACTAAAAGTCTTATTCAATAGTCAACTTTATTCAGAGCATCAGACAATGTATATCCAAGGGTTAGGCAAGGCCATAAGAGCAAAGTTCACATGAATTCAAGCTGTATACAGTCACAAGGGCAAAGCATGTTCACGTGAGCTTAGGCTGTATACCAGTGGTTCTCAACATTCCAAACGCTGTGAGTTTTTAATACAGTTCCTCATATTATGGTGACCCCCGACCACAAAAAGATATTTTCCTTGTTACTTCATAACTGTAATTTTGCTAGTGTTATGAAGCGTATTGTAAATATCTTTGTTTTCCGATGGTTTTAGGAACCCCGCCCCCACGGGTTGAGAACTGCTACATACAGTTATTAAAAACAACCCATGCTTAGAAACACCATCTCAATAGTAAGGTAATCTGAAGTAAACCCACTCCTATTCACTATACCTGGGAGGGGGAATGAAAGAACATTCCAAGAACAATTTTTGTGCAGGGGGACGGGGGCTGAGGTCACAGACTCTTGCCTGTTCTCTTGGAGTTTCCTTAAACCATTCAGAATTCTGCTTACACAGCTTCACTCGTAGACCGTGTCCTGACATGATCCATGGAGGGTCATGCAGCAGCACCCCTGGGGATGATCCCTTGCATCCCCTAGGGCCGGCCAGAGGGCTCCCACACCCGGCACTACCCATGGCCATCCATATTCTCTTCCCTGCCACTAGCCCCTCCAATTCCCTGGGACAGTAGCAAGCCCTACCTCACACCCTACACTACCATTGGTCGCCCTTGAAACCAATCTCCACCCTCAATCGACCAAGTTCCCTGCTGGCTTTGTGTGCGCCCACCATCTTTCCCCCGGAACTCATCCCTGCTGCAGCCACTACCTGCAAACTATTCGTCTCTCCCACGCCCGCGTTCTCCCACGGTCCCTTCCTCCCGCAGGCCCCCCCCCCCGCCCCGGTCTCCTCGGCTGACCTATCCCAAAGTCCGGCTGTGCACATGGTCAATAAGCAAAGTGGGGAGAACAATCTAGAAGGGACACGCGGGCCAATCTGCCGCCCACTGCCCCGCCCTGAACCGCCCCCCTCCAGGAAGTTTTGGGCGGAAATGAACTGGAAGAGGCCCGCACGGGGCCGGAAGTGGAAGCGCAGAGCGGAATTGAAGGCGGAACTGAAGGCGGAACCGGGCTCGGGTTGCTGGTGAGGGCGGCGCCGCTGGGCGGGGCGTTGTCGGGCGTGCACAGCTCGCGCAGCCCCGGGCCGCCCTGCAGAGCTCGCGCAGCCCCGGGCCGCCCTGCAGAGCTCGCGCAGCTCCGGGCCGCCGTGCACAGCTCCGGTCCAGCTGACACGGAGCACGGACTGCAGCGCTGACTGCGAGCGTCCTCCTGCAGGCCTCGAGCATAAAGCCCGGGCTCTTCCACCTCACAGCTCTGGAGAGAGAGGCGGGGTGGAGGCCCGGGACGCTGTCCTGTCTGCATCCGTCCCGTCTGCATCCATCCTGCCGTGCAGGCAGCAGAGTGGCAATTCTTCAGCTCGGTGAAGAAGCTAGCCCAGCCCTGTCACTTGCAGGCCCTCTAAGCGACGAGGCATGTTGACCATCCCTGGAGTCGCCGGAAGATCGCTCTCCAGTCAAATAAGTTGCACAATTAAACAGACATATCATTTCATCCTCTGCCTGCCCCTTTGAGCTTGTGCCTGCATAGAGATCAGGTAATTCCATTTCCCCAGCCACAGGCTGGGCTGTTATTACATGTTAAATCAGTAAATACATGTTGGGGGGGGGGGGTGATTGGAGTGGTATTTGTTTTGCTTTCAGTCATAACTTTAGTGTTTTCTGTAAAAGGCCTCAGCGTCAATTGTTTTTAAATGCTTTTTGCTTTTCAGACCAAAAAAAAAAAAAAAAAAAAAAAGCATTCAAACTCAGATTTGTGTTGAAACCTCAATATTGTATTGAAACCCCTCGGCGAACGCCTGCCCTCATTAATCTATGAATTTCATGTAACCAGGTGAATATGACGTGATATGTAAAGCAAAACGAGTTCCAGCGGACCCTGCAGTATGGAACTAATATAGGGCTTTTCTTTTGCTTGTAACAGGTTGTAACTCAAAAAATGCAACCATTTAAAAATGTAGGTTATCTCAAGAAGCTGGATTAATGTTTGGATAAGTTGTATTTAAGGAATGGATACTAAGGTGTCTAATAAGTAAATGTAGATAAATGCAAATTTCACAAAGTAGGCATAATTAACCATGAATATGAATAAGCACATAAGTAGGGAATTTTCTTGTGTACTTCAACACCAAAATTTTGAGGGTTTTATTTTAAGTGTGAACATGAGATAATTATATGTATTTTTAGCACTTACAAGCCTTCCCAGTAAATGCTAGAGCTAAGTAGTAGCATTCTTCAAGCTTATTCCATGTGACTTCTATAAACCTGTACATATTCAGGAAGTTTCAGAATAAAGGGGCATGTATGAAAATGTTTTGTGTTTCCTTATATTAGTAACAAAATCTAAAATTGAATAGACTAGCTACTAAATGTTGATAAGATTGAAAACATTTGGAAGACTATTAAAGAATACCTTTCAGATTAAGAACAAAATACAAGGCTGTCCTTCCCATCTTGCCTCCCAATAGGAACTTAACATTTCTGAAACAGCAGTATGACCTTTTATATGTGGAAAATAGTTTTAGCTATATGTTTGATTTCTTTTATCCAGTGCAAGGGAGCAAACACTTGTCTTGGACAAGTTAAGCAAGTGTGCTACCAATGAGCCAAATCCCTACTCCTGCCAAGTTTTATTTTAGTGTTCCTGTAGTAATATTAAGGGAATGTTTGGTTATTATGTGATTGATATGTGTTATTGTACAAGTTAGGATCAAGACCCTCATTTTATTCAAGGCTTCTTAGGACAAAGGATTAGAATAGTCATAGACAATCTAGGACAGTTGGTCACTTTCATGAGCTGGGCCTTTGGCCTGATGCATGAGGCCCAAAAATGACTTTGACCTATCTCCATGGAATGTACTTTCTAACAGAAAAGACAGTAAGGATGAGAATATTGAGAACTGAGTCTAAGGAGACAACAGAGCCATTTGGAAAGGAATAGTAATTGGTTGCAAGCTAATAGTGCCTGGTATCTCAAATTACTATAAACAGTGGCCTCAGATGACTCTTCTGGAGCTGAGTATTTCTAAGTGCCTCAGACAGCTTTCCTTCAAGCTTTTTAAAAAGCCTTTTCTATGTTCAAAACTTTCCACATCCCTTGACTTGTGGTTCTTTCCTCCACCTCCCTTCATGCCCCCTTCCCATAGGGTCTCATTTTATAGTGCCCTGCACGGCCTCCAGCTCATAGATCCTCTTGCCTCCACCTCCTGAGTGCTTTAAGGTATGCACCATATACCTGACAATCTTCCTCCACTTTTAAAACCAACGAGGAGGCAGCCTCTGCTTTCTCTGCCTCTGTGTTTGTCTGCCTTTGGTCCTGTCTGTCCTATCTCGGTTCCCACCTTCCTTACCCTTTCTCACTCCTGTGCTTTCATACCATCAAATCTGAGATTCTGCCTCCTCTCTCCTTCCACCTCATGCAGCCCAATTTGTATCATCCAGGATAATTCCCTAACTCAATGTTTTCACCTTATTTACAGCATCATAATTCTTTCTGCAAACTATAGAGACATACTTATAGGCGCTGTAAAGTAGAACTGAGAGAGAGGAGTTACAAATCTGTCTTTCAAAGAGCATCAAGAGCCAAAGAATCCCTGTAAATCCACTTTATCACATTGTCCAAACTCTTTATGTTGTGTCCTTGCTTTGTGTGCCCTACACTACTTTCCTTGGGATCACCTAAACCTCAAGAAGCTGCTTTTATGGTGCTTGTTTCAGAAAAAGGAGATCTCCCCTTCCTCTAGGGGGGGAAAAATATGTATATACATGGCACTTTCTTGGTACCTAGATTCATTTTTTCCACTTAAATTGAAGATAAATTTTGTCTGTACCTATAGATGTTTTCAAGTTGGATTTTATGTTTCTTCTTGCTACCTACAGTTTTATTTACCCTTTCCCATTAGATGATCATTTGCATTTAATTTTTTTAAATTTTATTACCCTCTTATTTTCATATGTGTCAGAGGTAAGAGAACAACTTGTAAAAGTTGGGTCTCTCCTTGTACTATGTGGGCTGTATTTATTGCATTTATCTATTTTTTGCATGAGTATTATGTGTCATAGTGTGTCGTAAGAGGACACCTTGCTAGTTCTCATCTTCCACCATGTGGGCTCCTGGGATCAAGAGAAGTCTCAAGGCTGGACAGCAAGTGCCTTTGTGTGCTAAGCTATTTCCCCAGACCCATTTGTGGTTATCTTATTTGCTGTTATAAATGCAGTCAGTGACCTTACCCGAGTCTTCTGGTATTTGAATATGATTGAGCTATTTCTTAGAAATGGAATTGAAAGGGTAAATGTTGAACGTTTATTCTCGTTGGCCTAACGTTGACAGCTTGATTTCATAAGAGCCATGCTCAGCTGTGTGTGAGAAAGCTTTTCCTTGTATCCTCAGCAAAGGCTGCAGCCTTCTGTGGTTTGCTCATGGAACAGATGGGAAATAGTGTCAGGTAACAGTAGTTTGTGCCTCTATTACAGTCAACGTCATTGGTTCAGAAATATTGTTTCAGAGGTGGAAGTGGTAGACAGTAGGTGCTTCCATGTGAGGAGAGTGTAGGAAAAGAGGAAGGGAGACATCATGAGAAACATTGGCTGATATAGGAAAACAGACTGGACAGTAACTACAAACAAAACATACTTAAGGATAAGATTATTTCACCAAGATTATTCACCTGGCTTGCGTGGCTTGAGGGAAAAGGTGCATGGGACCACCAAGAGTAAGTATATCACCGAAAACTACCCCAACATCGGTGGTTGCTTACTAGTACTGAAGCCCTGCAACTCAATGCTTGCAGGCAGCGCCATAGGTCAGAGAACATCTCTTCAAGGCAGCTTAGCTGTTCTGATCCTCTTCAGGTAGCTAGGCTGGCCTAGTCTCCTCAGCAGTCTTTACTGCTTATATAACTGAGCGACTGGGCCTTGTGAGTCTGGTCACTTTTATGGATGTTCAGGTTCCCCTGAGTTGTTTACTTCCCATGTCTTAAGGAGCCTCAGTTTAGAATTTGCAGCATCTTAATAAGCCTCCTTAAAACTTTGTGAGTTTTAACAAGATAAGACAGAAATGGCTACACTCCACCAACAAAGTTAAATGTTCCTCAAGTTGTGTGAACCCTTCAAGCAAATTAATTGAACTGGGAGCTCCAGTTTTCAGCCACTGTGTCCAGAACATAGGGACACTCACTAAGTACTGACAACTGGCATCTAAGGGGCACTCAGGGAACTGATCATGCAGCCTGTGAATATTCAAGTCAGATAATATAGTCAAGCAGATTGTTCCAGAAGTGGATTGAATTAGTAGACTTCCAGCTGGAAAGGACTTTAGAATTGCTTTGTTGCTTTAAGTGGGAAGAATCATTGAAGGTGATGTAAAAGCAGAGGGAAAACAGACTCCCTTCCCTGCCCCCAGCCTAACCATGGCAAACAACCTGCCAAGCAGGCCCAGTGTAGGAGACAGAATGTGCATTTTGAAGAAGGCAAAGGTAGACGATTTGAAAAAAAGGCTGGCCCTCAACACCCCTAGGAAAGAGAGTGGCTGTGTAGACATCCTGTCCTCTTTTGATTCCAGACTGCTGCCCTTGGTGTCTGTGGGAGTCTGAAGTATATCTGGCCAGTCTACTCATTGTGTTCAGGAACTCTGGTGTTGGAAGCATGATGGAAGCAAATGTCGTTCCTCAGATCCATGGTAAGTCATTGGGTCCTAGCAACCCTTAGAGTGATATTCAGAGGCCCCCAAGCCTACAGTTCAGAAAGTGGTAAAGGTTGGGTAGCTATTGAATAGGCTCAGGCCTAGCAGGAAAGTCAAGAGTGAAGCTCATTGGTCCTTGGATGTGATAGACAGCTCTTGGGGTAGGATGTAGTTTCTGGGTATTGGATTTGTGATCTTCATGATGACTATGTGGTCTCTTTTGAATTTAATTGTTCCTGGAGTAAATGTTCCTCGTAAGTGGTCAGACCCAGGTGCCCTAAAATCTAGCTAAATTGAGACAAGGTTTTGTCATGCGTATGAAAGCTGTGACTGAGTATCTGCAGGGATAAAAGAATATCTGTCTGTGCTTGTGAATATGCATGCTGTGGATAGTATTATATTGTCAGTCTCAGTTGGATAAGTAAACCTCAGACCATCCTAGGATGTCCTTAGATTCTCATGATTTATTTCTTCTTCAGTTCAGTCTTCTCTATACCCAGCATCTCCTGAGAAAGAGCACACAGGGAAAGAAGGGCTGGACAATGAGTTCTTGACAAACTTGATACAGGTGAGTCAGATATTCTTTTTTTCCAAGTCATCCTTTGCATAAAACTTGTTACTATAAAGACTTACACACTCCAGCCAGGATCACCAAGTATCTGGCAAGGGCTGGGAGACATCTCAGAAAATGTCTCTTGTATTAATATTCACTGTGTTCTCGGAGTTCCTTCCAGAGCCCTTAAGGACGCCATATACTTCCTAAGAGTTTGTAGTGAGGTCAACTAAAAGTTTTGACTCTGTCTTTCTTTCATGCAGTTTATCACAGCATAGGGGAATTATTCATTCATATAACAATTGTTTCTTCTCTTTGTGGATTGTCCCAAGCCTGTGCTCAGATCCGGGAAATGAGATTTCAGGAGCTCAAATCTGAGTAGAAGAAAGGGACTTTGGGAGGTAGGACAGTAGACAGGACAAAAGCCAGGACACCAAACATGGAAAGCAAGGCAGACAGAATTCAATCTGCCAATACATCTTGTATTCTTGGTTCTCACCTGAGTGTCTGCAATCTTCAGCTCTCTTCTCCTGGTCTTTGATGGCATCCTTAACTAAACTGTGATGTGTGAATGATTTAGGAGCTGGTGTCATTCGAAGATGTGACTGTGCAGTTCACAGAGGAGGAGTGGGCTTTGCTGGATCCTTTACAAAGAACCTTGTACAGGAAGGTAATGCTGGAAAACTGGAAGAACCTGGCCTCACTCGGTAAGCCACCATCTGCCTATGCTGCATTTATTTAGTGACTTCAAGCAAGATTTACAGTCCAGTTTGTGTATGGGTATAGAACAAAGCAATGTTCGAACCATATTTAAAATATACAATTGGGTGACTTTTAGTATATTTATCATCCTGTACAGCGATGTAACTTCACAACATTTCATTACTTCTGCCATGGTTTGGTTTAACCTCCAAAGGTTTATGTGCTAGAAATTTAGTCCCCTATGGAAGTCAGTGTTAAAGTAGTGGAAACCTCTGATGGTGGGTATGTTAGACAGTTTTAAGATTAAGAGACCTTCCTCAAAATGGATGTGTGCTGTTTCTTGGTTGACAGTCAGGTCTTGTGGAACCAAGTTAATTCTGTTTTAAGAATGAGTTGTTATAGAGGGAGGCAACTCAATGTTTAGAGTCTTCTTCATACAGTTGATTCCCTTTCTACTTCTCTGCCATATTAACCCTTTAAAACAGAAAGCCATTTGTTTTATTGTATTTAAGTATGTGTTCATGCGTGACATATGTATGAGTGTCTGTGCCCATGGAGGCCAGAGGTGTCACATCCTTCTGGAGCTGGAATTATAGGCAGTTGTAAGTTGCTAAGTGTAAGTGTAGCAAATTGAACCTGAATCCACTGTAAGAGCAGTATACAATCGTAACCACTACACTGCCTCTCTAGCCCTTCTCTGCCATATTGGGACAAAGCCAGGGAGGGGCCTTCTTTAAAATGCAAGTGCCATGCTGTTTCTACTTTCTGAACACCAAAATCTTTAGTCAAAATAAGGCTCTTTTCCTTATCAAGTACTTTGCCACAATATTTTGTTACAGCATTAAAAAGAGACTAAGACAGCTTTGTGTTTGTGTGTGTGTGTATGTGTGTTCTTTGAATGTTTCATACATGTATTTAATGTATATTAATACTGTCCATCACTACCTCCCTACACCTAAATTCCCCCACTTAACTCCCTTTCAACTTTCTCATCTTTTTGATTCTGTCTAATTAGTGTTGGGTCTAATTAGTGTTGCCTGAATCCACACGAGTATGTGGCCACTCACTCCACCTTGGGGACCCTCCTCCAGCTATGCTGTAATTTTGACTGGCTCGATCTTGTATAAGTAACCACATCTGTTATGAGTTGGTGCATGCAATGGCCATGATGTGTCCAAAAGTCAGCATTTCATCCTTGTCCCCTCAATCTGCCAGCTCCTACATTATTTCTCATCCACTTAAGTGATGACCCATCCCTCAGCACTTTAATCAGTTGTGATTCTCTGTATTAACTACTGTCCAAGGCAGAAAAAAGCTTTCTAAACAAAGTTGAGAGAAGAACAGATGTATGGACATAAACATAAGTATTTAACAAGTGCTATTTGACAGCATAATCATTTAGCAAAAGACAAGTGTATTCCTCCCTAGAATCTATGATTTCTCCAGCCATGGACTTTTGACCAGGTTTACAGTACCAGGCATGAAATCTCTCCTGTGAAGCAGGACACATAGCCAGTCAGAAAGCAATTGATTAACCCCATAATCATCATGCCACTCACTGTTGCACAAGTGGGCACATTTTTGTCAGCTAGTTGGTATTATGGCATGCAGGATATAGCACTGGGTAAGACCATTGATGTCTCTTCTCCATCGGGAGCCTAAATAACACGTTCTGGCACTAAACAACTGAGTCATCAGAGAAAGAGGTTCCTGATCATTTTAAGGTTAATTTTTCTATATTTGTGCATCCACTGTAAATGATGTCTTCAGCACTGGGTCTTATTGTCTAGTTATGGTGGACAACTTAACAGTGGCAATAGCTCCAGATCAATAACTTAGTAGGGAGGTATTTCATGTCTGGCACTAAGATTTCTAGAAAGATACTCTTATTCAAACTCTATTTCTTTTTCTATCCATGTTCTTTAAACCAACATGAAGTTTAGGATTTAATTAGAGACAAACTTTTTAAAATTTCTCAGTTAACACTTTTAAACACCAAGGTATTTTAACCCCATCCTCCATCCCCTCACCGCCTCATCTGTGTCCTTTTCCTTCCCCAGATTGAGAAAGTCAATGTTGAAATATCAAAGGCCTTATGGCTGAAGGTCACAACTTCAGAATGTCAAACATCCTCACTCTGTGTTTTAAAATAGAGCAGTGACAGCAGATGGTGTTTGTAACACCATCCTTTGGCAAGTAAAGGCTGCGAAGATTATCCAAGTGCTGCACAGTTTTACCTCTGATAAAAACCTGCCCTGCATAAAACAAATACTGAAGATGAATCGGGTTTTCTAGGAAGCAGTAACCCTGGGGTACAGAATGTTGCCTAGATCTCTGGAAGCTGGCATTTTGTCTCCTTCCTGATATAGTCAGCTATCAAACTCTACTTTTTATGTGTATCCAAAATGCTTGTCTTAGTTGCTGTTCTATCACTATGAAAAGGCATTGTGACTTATAGAAGAAAACATTTAATTATAAATTGCTTACAGTTTCAGAGCATCCACCATCGTGGTGGATGGCATAGTAGCAGGTAGACAAGCAGGCAGGCAGGCATGGCCCTGGAGTAGGAACCATTTATGAGAGAAAAATACAGAGCTTGCTAAGGTGACTCTCAAACCTTATCCGCTGCCCCTGGTTACCATTGATCTGCTTTCAAATACTGTATTTTAAAGGTTTAGCCATGGGGTAACATGTACTAGTGTTTCATTCATTGCAATTAATCACTAGTATTATGGAGATACTACATTTTGCTTATCTGCCAATTTGTTGATAATCATTTGGGTACACTTTTATTTTTGATTATTGTGAATAATACTATTATAAATACTTATACATTAGTTTAATCATTTGCTCTTCTTTATTGTGATACTTGTTTTGTTATAAACTCCCTAAGTCTTCCATGTCTTATGCCCCATTATATAGTCACACTAATTCGTCTACAACATTTTCTTTTGATCATAATCATTCTAATAGGTGTGAAAACTTACTCATTGTTTTGATTTGCATTTTTTTAAATGAGTAATGATGTTGAGCATCTTTGCTTGTACTTGTTAACCAATTAACTGTGAAAAAATAAAATGTCCATTCAAGTCCTTTGTCCGTGGGGTTGTATTTTTGTTATAGTTTGCTAGGTGTTTTGAATACCAGAGACCTTTTCAAATTACAGTTTCCTACTAACTCTTCTGTTACATGTCTTTTCATTTTTTTCATTGTTGCCCTTTGTCTTAATTGTGGGTTTTTATTGCTCTGATAAAACTGGGACCAAAAGCAAGTTGGGGAGGAAAGAGTTGTTTCACCTTATAGCTTATAAAGCCCAACACTAAGTAAGGGAAGCCAGGACAGGAACTCAGGGCAGAAACCTGGAGGCAGGAACAGAAGCCATGGAGGAATGCTGTTTTACTAAGCTCCTCATGGCTTTCTCTGCCTTATAGCACCCTGAATACTAGCCCAGGGGTGGTACCACCCTCAGTGAACTAGGCCCTCCCATATCATTCATCAATCAAGAATATATACCACAGGCCAGTCTGGTGTGGGCATTTTCTCAGATGAAATTCTCCCCTCCAAAGTAACTCTAGCTGATGTCCAGTTGACTTAAAACTCACCAGTACAAGTGACCCCTTGCCAACTTGACACACAAGCACATCACAACTATAACTTTACTTTCTTGTTCATCCTCAAGATCACATTTTTATATTAATATCATAATATAAAAACTTCCAACATTTAAAAGTCTTTAAAAAATTCAAATACTTTTTAAATCCAGTTTCTTTAAAATATCCAAAATCTCAAAGTTCATAGTTTCTCTAAAATATTCAAAATACCTCTAAAATATCCCTAGTCTCTCTAAAACTATAAAGTCACTAACTCTCAACTGTGAGCTCCTACAAAGGAAAAACTGACACACTTTCTTAACTCCATGTGGGAAAAATCAGAGTACAATTACAATCAAAACAAAGCAAAACCAAAGTTCAACAGTATAAAATGCTGGGCATCCTCCGATCACTCACCCTGCTCTGGGCTTCTCCAAAGGGTTTGGAGCTCCACCCTCTACACCACACAGAGCTTATTTCCTAAGCTTAGACAGCTCCACTCCACAGCTTCTGATGTCTTTAGTCATCATGCCATGATACTGGCTTCTCCAGCATCATGTTCCAGTCTCCATTGCAACTGAGCTGTACCTTCAACTAATATCATCCTGGGCCTTTCTTCAGGGACTCCAACCCTGCCACAAGGTTCCAAGCCTTAGCTGTCCTTCCTAATACCTTCATCCTTCAAAAATAGAAATACTTGGGAGAGTCTTAACTGTACTCAGTTTAGCTGTCAGCATGGGGTGCAGGCATATAATACTAAAACTTAAAGCTATGTTTCTAATACTGCCTTGACCTTCTGCTTCATGCAAAGCCAGAGATCACCCAAGAATGTGAGCCCAGTAAGGTCTTTCCTGAGGGTGTGCTATTGCTTTGGTTGTGTCTGTAACAATCTTGTTCTGGAGAACATTATGTTTGCAATACCCTTTTAAGCAAACATCTTTTAGTCTACTTTTCCTCCTGAGCTTTACTTCCTTAGTGCTTGTTTATGTCTACTCTTCTTTTCTTATACACCGGCCTTTAAATGTATTTATCACATGTGTCTCTGAGTTTAGAGTTAAACAAATAAAGCCATTTAAACCAGTCTTGCAGGAAGACCCTGGAGGACAAAAGAAAACATAGACAGAGCTCTGTTCTGTTCCTTCTAGGACAGACAATGCTTGCTGCCTTCTTCGGGTACACACCAGAACAGAGAAAACATGGGTGTGAGTCATTTAAAAATGGACTGAAGCCCTCTTACACAGATTTAGTTGGACATGTGTTATTTGAATTTTATTTCCATATCTAAACAGTCTACTAATAGATTTATTTACTTATTTATTTATGTGAAGTTTGTAGTTCAGAAAAGTAATTCATTCTGTTAAGTTTACCTACTGTTTCTGTTTGGGTTCAGGGAAAGTTTGAATTCACCTTTTCACCATTTCCATAGTCAATTTTATAAGTCTTTCTAAGCACTTTTATCTCCTTAAATGTGAATAGAGATTTCACAAAGCACAGTGTTGAAAATAGATGTGGAACTTTCTGTCTAACTTCTTCCTTGAGGAATTATTTTCTCTCATGCCCTGAGTTTATGTTCTCCATAGTTCAAACATGAAGGCCTTTTAAATGGATGTCTGAACTTAGGCATGTATATCTGGGGTTATTAATAACTCATTACTTTGCAAATTGAGATAGAGATATTTTTGTTTCTTATAAAAGTCACTATGTTCTTTGGAATTTAGACAAAATTCCACTGTACCTAAAGTCATATTTTTTTCACCTTTTAAAGTTTGGCTTCAGGTTTATGGATTTGTGATAGTAGATGTTATTCTGTATGCTGTGAATATATGTTTATCTTATTGGTTGATGAATAAAGCTGTTTTGGCAAATAGGCAGGCAGGATGTAGCCATGCAGGAAGTATATATAGGCGGGGCTACCAAACTAGGAGAAGGCAGGGAGAAGGAACTTGGAGTAACATGCTTGAGCATTACAGGTAAGCCATAGCCTTGTGGTAATACATTGTTTAATAGAAATGGGTTAATAATTAAGAGAGAGCTAACCAATAAGAAGCCTGAGCCATCAGCCAAATAGTTTATAATTAATATAAGTCTCTGTGTTTATTTGGAATTAAGGGGCTATGGAACCAGGTGGGACAGAAACCTCCATCTACAGATTTCCATAGCCCATGAAAAATTTCACTAACGTTACATGTGTTTTCTCCATAAATAGGGTATTGCCTTGATAAACCAAATCTGATTTCCCAGTTGGAGCAGGAAGACAAGGCTATAACAGAGGACAGAGGAAGTATTTCAGGCATTTCTCCAGGTGAGTACAAGTGGATCTGAGCTCTTCTGAGAAGTTCCTTTGGCCTAGGAAGCAAGAGTGAAAAAAAGTATTCTTTTCCTTTGACAAAGGTAGATGTGAACATTTGGCATGAACTACCACTATTTTTACTTTTCTGTCAACTCAGCCTTTGTCATCTCACACTTTGGCCTGTGAAAGAAAAACAAAGATGCAGTTCTTTGTGTTTTAAATTTTAAGCCACAGGCTAGAGAGATGGCTCTAAGGTTAACAGCCCATACTGCTCTTGCAGAGAAACAGAGTTCAGTTATCAGCAACCACATAGGAAGACTCACACCTGCCTATAATTCCCACTTCTGGGGACCCTAACCCCTCTGTTTACCACAGACATCAGTATAGACCAGCACACATGAACACAGTTAAAAAAAATTTTTTAATGTAAATTTTAAGTCACCGTTCCCATTCCTGATAATTTATTTTGTCCATTTCTTCTGAATCTCAGTATATGTCTATTTTCTTTAACTCCTAAAATTTCCAGAACTGACTACCCCTTCTTTGCAGTCTTTACCAAGTATTCTGACCTCTCAGAGTCTCCCTTAAATGATGTATGCACCTCACCATCTTTCTTCTTCTGTTGACTTATTTTTCTTTTTAATTTGTTTCAGATTCGGAGACTGTACTTAAAGCCAAATGGCTAACTCCTGAAAAGCTGATTTCTAGAAAAGAACATGCTAATAATGAAAAAACAGTAAAACTGGAGGTAATGATTTCTAGTTTTTCCATTTTAGAAAAGGTAGAAACCCCAGAGAGTCATATGAACAGTATCATTTAAACTTGAGGAAGGGCATTGTCTGAGGAAATACTGTGAAAGTATGATATTTTGATAGAAAAAAAAATTAAGCCAACCTCAAACATATTTCGTTAGTGAGAGTTCCAAGAAGTTCCCATTTAATTAAGTTTGAATCAGTTGTTGGGTGTTTGAAACATAAGTGGTCCTAAATTTATCAGAAAATATTTTTGGATATAAGGATTGATAGCCAAATGGCTGTGCATTTGAAGGAGCTCAAACTAAGCAGAAATCATGTATAAGTCCTGAAAAGAGCCAACTTATTTTATGTCATAGATTTTCTGGGAAAGGTAATCTTATTTTAGCATGATTTATTATTAACATTATAAATTATGATTTATGTCATAATTAACAGGAAAGAGATCATCATGGAATGAAAGTCAATGAATGCAATCAATGTTTTAAAGTCTTCAGCACGAAATCTAACCTTACTCAGCACAAAAGAATTCATACTGGAGAAAAACCCTACGACTGTAGTCAGTGTGGAAAATCCTTCCGCAGTAAATCTTATCTTACTGTTCACAGAAGAATCCATAATGGGGAGAAACCATTTGAATGCAATCACTGTGGGAAAGCATTTAGTGATCCCTCATCCCTCAGACTTCATGTAAGAATTCACACTGGGGAAAAGCCCTATGAATGTAATCAGTGCTTTCATGTCTTCCGTACCAGTTGTAACCTCAAAAGCCACAAGAGAATTCACACAGGGGGTGAGAATCACCATGAATGTACTCAGTGTGGAAAGGCCTTCAGTACAAGGTCCTCTCTCACTGGACATAATAGTATTCATACTGGAGAAAAACCCTTTGAATGCCAGGATTGTGGGAAAACCTTCAGGAAGAGCTCGTACCTAACCCAGCACTTAAGAACTCACACTGGAGAGAAGCCCTATGAATGTAATGAGTGTGGGAAGTGCTTCAGCAGTAGCTTTTCTCTAACTGTCCACAAGAGAATACACACTGGAGAAAAACCATATGAATGCAGTTACTGTGGAAAAGCTTTTAATAATCTCTCAGCTGTAAAGAAGCACTTAATGACTCATACTGGGCAAAAGCCCTATGGATGTAATGATTGTGGGAAATCTTTCACCAGTAACTCCTACCTCTCTGTGCACAAAAGAGTACATAATAGATGGATATGAATGGTGGTGAGAAATTACTGAAAGAAAGTTTTGTTGATCCTAAGATAATGGGAGAATTTTCATCAGGTACACAAATTATCTATTGCAGTATAATATATACTCATCCCAAATTTTGTGGCTTTAAACAAATACCTCACATTTTATAGGTCAGGAATATGAGGGCACCTTAGTTGGGTAGTTCTTCCTCAGGTCTTCTCATGAGCTTACATTCAAGACATCAAGCAGAGTTTCATCTTCTAAAGTTGTTATTGGAGGAATCACTTGGATGGCTCATCACATGGCTGGGAATTTACTGTTGGTTATTGACAACCTTCACTGACTTAACATGTATATAGGCCTCTCCACATGATTACATTTCTTTATAATATGGCAAAAATCCCCTACCCCAAGTGTTCCAAGAGTAACAAGTTCAAAAAATTAAATATTTATGACCTTGTCTTCAAAAGATATAGTTTCACTTCTTCTCTGTTGTATTCATCAAACACAGACCAGCCTTGATATAACAAGGGAGAAAACTACAGAATATCTGAGGTTCAGGAGACAGCTCTCTGGAACCATCTGAGAAACCTACCATGAAATTAATGAAGTCTAATACGCCTTTATCCTTTCAATCAGTATGAAATAACATTCAGTAAATTGTTAAATCTCTCTGCAGAAACATCTGTGTGATAATGTTTTTTAGTTCACTTATCATAAGGTGCCCCAAAGATGATGTGTTGGGAAAACCTGGTGAGTAGAATAGTGGTCACATGGTGATTGTCTTCAGTGATGTCAGTCATATTAGTCTTTCTTGTGGGAAATCACACAATTAAGGAACAGAGAAATTCAGGAAACTGCAACAAAGTGTTCACATTGCTCACCACAGATAATGAGTCGCTCTGATGTAATAATGGGAAATCGTTAACTGTTTTCCTTTCTTAAAGAGGTATGAGAATGCTTTTTGATAAGCCCCCCTGAGTATCATAGCCATTGGCAAGCCCTCAAGGTTTCCTGTGATGTAGGAAAACAACTGGCAAATTCCTCTTAAGCACATAAATTTGAGGAACACTTAGGAAATGAAGAAATGCGTGCCAGCCACATCAGTTTTCTGCTGAGTAACTGTGTAATAAAGTTTATACTGGAAATGAAATGGAAGAGTGTGGGATTATCTCTAATAGTAGGCAGTATCTGTAGGCTCAGTTACCAAATTCGTAATTTTCAACCTTTGTTTTATAAACGTGTGTCTTTTCCCAAATTCCAATGCACTGCAATATATTTACAGCTTATCTTCCGAAGGGCTGGGTGCAGTGACACACACTAGTAATCCTTGCATTTGGGAGGCTCAAAAGGTGGATTGTGAATTTGATGCAAGCTAGAACTAGCTGACATAGTATTTTTTGTCAGAGTATAGAACTTTTGATCCTTTTTCTTTCTTTCTTCAAAGTATCTAATGTCCATTTTGTCCTGCTTAGGACCAACAAGATGTCTCAATGAGTGACAGTGTTTGCCACCATGCCTGATCACATGAGTTCAGTCCCCAGGACCCAGACAGTGAAAGTAGACAACAGACTCCCACAAGTTGTCCTCTGACATCCACACACATCAGCCCAACAACAAAATAAATATTGTTTTTAAAATCTGTAGGTGTTTTAGAATAAGATGTCAGGGGCCTGGACGGATGGCTCAGCAGTTAAGAGCACCACTGGCTTCTCTTCCAGAGCACCCAAGTTCAATTTCCAGCATCCTCATAACAGCTCTTAACTGTCTGTAACTCCAGGTCCAGGGGATCCAACAACCTCATATAGACATAGATGCCGGCAAAACACCAATGCACATAAAAATAAATCAATCATTAAGAAAAATAGTATGCTATGCCAGGATTTCTTTAAGCTTAAGACTGATAATCATGAAATTTGGAGACTGAAGGGACTGAAGGGAAAGCCTGACTTGTCATTTATTTTCTATTTCTCTGACAAGTGGCCATAAGATCTGGAGTGAGTTTCTTTTTTTTTTTTTTTTTTTTTCTGTTTGTTTGTTTTGATCATTATATAAACAGTGGAACAGTAACAGTGACTTAGTTTCCTCAAAAAACCTCTGAGTATATTAGTTCTAGATTCCTTTTTTTTTCTTTTTTAATCATTCTTTGATTAAAAGTAACACCTTACTAGTTGAAGCCAACATAATTTCCTGATTGTGTATAAGGTGATACTAAGTTCCAGCATAAAGCAGTATCAAACTGATAAACCTATTCATCAAATAATATCCATAGTTCTTTGAGAGTAATATATATTCTTACGTGTTGATATAGGATGCACATTAACACAATCTATTTTAATGGTATGTACAAATGGTTTAAAAATAATTTGTGGTAGAGCCATATTAGTCTTCCACTGTGATTATGGATTAACATATTTATAATTTTGGCATTTTTTCCTATTTATTTTGGAGTTCTGTAACTAGGTGCATACAAGATTGGGTGTCTTTTTGTGAGAAGTGTTTTGTACTGAGATGGCATTTTTCATAACAAAGTACTATAATGCCTTGATAATGGTAAATAGGCTATGTAGTGCTTCTCATAGACAAGAAGGAATGCCTTATGAGTAACTATTGAGTGCTCTGAATAAGCATTGAAGTGTTCTGTTATTATTCCCAATTTACCAATAAAAACATTAATATGGCATGCATCACACTTGCCTGAGTTCTCTGGCTAATATTATAGTACTGATTTGAACATAAGACAGTCTGTTATCTTAATACTAGTCCATGTATTGAGTATGTTCTGGGAATTGTTATATAGGTATTTGCTGAATTGAAATCTTCTCTCCTAGAGTAAACAAAGATACCCTAAATGATACTGGAAGAAGAAGCTAATGAAACAGGAAAACTTGTCAAACCTTCAGGACTCAAAATGCTCAGGGGCCATCCCCCAGGTTACAGAACAGTAAATAATTGCTGCTAAAGAGAAAGCTTGTATATAATGTATGGAACTGCCAATAAATTGGGAAGGAAGCCCCAAAGATGCAGCTTATTTTGTTACCTCCCATGCTGGGATAGGGATTTTGGTGTTACAGCTGCCTCAGGGTCATCCATATTCCTATAAGTACCTTCAGTAATTCATTTGTTTGCCAAGCCAGGCTTGATGGAATAGATCCCTTGATCTGGCTTTGGCACCCTATCTGGGAAGTAGATATTTGTTTACTTTTCCACAGAAAGTCACACACTACAAATAGGGCACCCATACAGGGACAGAAAACCAAAGATCTCTTTGGGGAGATTATAGCTGTTTGAACTCTGTATTGGGATTTAATCTGTACTCCCAAAACTGATCCTTGTGAGGATGGAGTATCTTTGGAGTAGTCCTGATACAGACCTTCCCCAATATGGTAGGAGATGGTGTGCCTTCTTTGCTTTAGTGGTAATTTCATGCTGTCCGATATGAATAAGACATGCAACCAAGGCTGAGCCATCTGAAAGGGGAATATCTTGAAAAATCCAGAGTGACTGAACTTTATTTCTGTTGCTTTTATAAAACACTGACCAAAAGCTTCCTAAGAAAGGGCCGAACATGTTTTATCTTACACTTCCAAATCATGTTATTGAGGGAAGTTAGGGTAAGAACTCTGGCAGAAACCATAGGGGAATGATTCATTGTCTGCCGTGATTATAGGATCATGCTAAACTAGCTTATATAACTAAGGACCACCTGCCTACTCAAAGTACCCTAGGCCCTCCTACACCAATTTGGACATTTCCCAAGGGCCAGTTTGGTTTAGGCAAGTCTTCAATTGAGGCACTCATTTCTGATTCCTTTTGAGTTTGTAAAGTTGACAGTTACAACTAATTAGAGCAAACTGGTAGTAGTGGCAGCACATGCCTTTAACCACAGCACTCAAGAGGCAGACACAGGTGCATCTCTGTGAGTTCGAGACCAGCCTGGTCTACAAGAACTAGTTCCAGGATAGGCTCCAAAGCCACAGAGAAACTGTCTCGAAAAACCAAATAACCAACACCAAACAAACAAAAATACCTAATTAGTACAGTCTTTGCATGGGGTGAGGTGGCACACCTTACTGGAGTTCTCTACAAGAGTGAGGGTATACTAGTAAAAATGCCAATGAACTAGAGAACATACAACAGTTCCCAAAAGTGGTACTATGGGACCAGATGGTAAGCAACTTATGGCAGTTTGCCCTTCTGTGTGAGTGGTGAAAGATGACAAGCTCCACTGCCTGCCCATAACGAACTTGTCCATGTAATGGGAGAACTACAAGAAGAAAAATATGATCCTGTTCTGATTACCAGTACTCTTACTTAGCAGGAGAATGTTGAAACGAAAATGAATGAAATGCAGGTGTGGCTTGCTATTATAGATGTCAGGGTACAAGGGTAAAAAGACTAATAACTAGACCAGTGCCAAAGATGCCTCCCTGAGAACACAAGTTGGAATCCGTGAAAAAGCAAAGTAGCAAAGTAGCAAAAAAGCAAAAGAGAAAGAGCAAAGTAGAAATGATAGAAGGTTACCTTCAAGTCTGACTCTTACTATAGAAAATCTGTATTGGCTTGTAGATAGGTGTGTTGGCTGTCTCGTACAGAAAACTGCATCTGAACTACTTCAATTAGGGAAGACTTAAACATGAAATGAAGGAGCCCCCTGGAAGCTTAGCATGTGAGATTATGATAGAGATGGGATCATCAATCTTAGTGGGAAAGTGGAGAGGCTGAGTTACTATATCTACTTGTTCTTCCTTGAATTGATAGCTATGTAATCTAAGGAAATAAAAGAAAAAAATCGGTTCTACCTAGGCAGATTCAGAAGCACTGGGGACACTTGGGCTTTCACTAGTTAAAGTCCTCTGGAATATCAGGGATCAGGAAATAATGGATGAAGAAAAAGACAGATTTAGCAAGATGGCTTAGTAGGTAAGAGTGCTTGTTATGCAGGCCTGATGACCAGTTTGAGCCCCAGAGCCCACCATAAAAGAGAACCACCCAGAATTGTCCTCTGACCTTTACCTGTACACCCTGCCACACATACACCTATGCTCATATTTCACACACTCTAATAATACAATACTAGCTTTTCAGTCCAGACAGATTCATTTTTCTTTTGCTTGTTAGGAACAGCCATAATGTTTCTAGAGAATTAAAGATGCATAATGACTATTTCTCTGGAGGTGGATCAGTAATTGGAAGGTTTCTAGCTCCCCTAAGGTTTGAGAACCTGACCTTTGTTTCACCTTATGGGTATAATGGGATCTGAAGCTAAAATGGCAGCACTGAAGACAAGATGCTTTTTACCTGTTCCCAACACCACATATGCACTTGGGTATTCTTTCCCCGAATGATGATAAACAAATGTAGCAGTCATTCATGTCCTGAATTTGTTTTGTTTTGATTTCATTTTTTTCATAGAAAGCTGAGACATATTACTTTCAGATGAATTTTAATTTGGAGAGTTACAATAGACAATTGGGCAGGAACTCTGGATTTCTTGCTCTTGGAGGTTTATGGGGTGAGTTTCCACACCACTTAACAGCCTGTGTGATAAGAGTCAGACAGGAAGGGACTAGATAAGACTAATTTTATCCTTTGGTTGACCATTGGAGGACTAGACTTGCCTAAGGAGAAAGGGGAGGAACTACAAGACCACACAACAGATACCTAAGAGAACCAATATGCACTAGGATGAAGTGTAAGAATGGAAAACTACAACCTAACTCTCCAATGACCCCAGGAAGCTAGAAGTTTAAAAATACTAAATACCTTAAATTCCAGACCCTGTCCTCAGCCAGTAAATAGGCGAAAGGTCACACTCCTTGCCACTTATCTGACTTTGTAAACTGTGAAACCCCCACCCCAATGACCTAACCTATCTGCCATTTGTCACCACCCACCTAGGAGCTCATGCAAATGCAGACCTCCAGGGCTATAGAAAACAGATTGGATGGTTTAAACTGATTGGCCCTCATGGCATGGGCTCTGGATGCTATGATTGGGTTTATGATGTGCGGGCTTTGTTGTAACCCTATAAAAGCTGTCTCAATTCTGTACTCAGGGTCCTCAGTCCTCTATCCCTGTGTGGCCTATGACTGTGGACCCCAGTGCACTTGGAATATAAAAGACCTCATGCTTTTACATCAAGACTGCTTCTTGTGAGTGATTTGGGGTGTCGCCTTTCCTGAGTGGGAGTGTGAAGGTCCACGGTCTTTCAGGAGTAAGGTAAGCTAGAACCAGTTACAAGAAGTACAAAGCATAACTATTCCTTCATTCTTGTTCACTATTTGACCCACTGTAACCAGGGTTACTGCAGTCACCATTGCTAACACCTAATTCTAATGGTCTAACATCTTGATATTAGTCAAAAATTCTGGCTCCTTCCAAACTTAATCTGAGTTAGAGTTTACTACTGTGACAAATATATATTTTTAACTGGGTCAAAGGAAGAAAGATTTTTTTTTTTTTTTATTTTTTTTTTTTTTATTTTTGATCACTTTCAGAAATTCCAGTCTATAGTTCTATCTCTTGTTTCTGGGCTGTGGTGTGGCAGAACATCATGGGAACAGTGTATAATTACTGACAGCTATTCCCAACCTATGGTCCAAGGGACCATGTAGGAACATGTAGCTAAGGATAGCTATGAATTCAGACCAACACAAAAATCACAAAACTTATTTAAAAGGTTTTTTGTGCACTGAAAAAAAACCTCAGCATATATTGTGTAGACAATAACACCACAATGCCCAAATGTTGGGCATGCATTGTATGAGTACCAGATATTTACCTAGTAGTGCTTAAGAATCTGGGTTACAATAGGAGCCATTACCAAGATAATGTCTTCAGGCCAACAGGTGGTGGCACATGCCTTTAATCCCAGCACTGAGGAATCAGGTAGGCAGATCTCCAAGTTCCATGGACACTGATCTACAGAGTGAGTTCCAGAACTACATAGAGAAATTCTGTCTCCAAAAACAAACCAGTTTGCCTCTGAAGTGATCAAAGCCTCTGATTTGATCAAACGTGTGCTACTATGCCCAGCAGGATTATATCCTCACATGTAAATGACCTATGTTGTAAGACTCTCAGAATGAGGAGTCTCCCCATTTCGGTCGGTTCCCCCCACCCCAAGAACTCAATGTCCAGTCCAGTTGATGCATCAATCAAGAGGCTTTAATGAATGGGAAACGTTTGTGCAAATGGGCACAAACATTCTCCTGATGCGGGTATTTTTAAAGGCAAAATCCACAAGCTTAGGGAGAGTCCGTGACCCAGGTGACCAGAATCATGGGCTCTAGCATGCTCTTTACCGGTTTAGATGGTCTCACTATGGGTCAGTAGGCCTCAAGGTGTGCTAATCAATCTTGCCTAAGCAAACAGGAGTTACAGCTATCTCTTTGTTTCTCTACGTCCCATCTGGAAATTCTTGGTATCCGGCTATCTTAGGGCCTTGTAAGGGAGAGGTTGCAGGTGGTTAGCGGAACTAAGTCACAGTGGCCTTGGTCAGCTTTCTGGGTCAGACTGCCCTGCATTCCAATTATTTGGGCTCCATTTAATTTCTTTGCTAGTTTTAAGTCTTTCAATGTAACTTTATATAATAAAAAAAAAAGAATTTATTTTTAAAATTAGCTGTAGGATATGGGAGAGTATAGCTCATGATTGAGAGCTAGTATAGAGGGATAGATAAATGATAGATATAACCACATCTTTAATATCTTATGGCATCAAATTACCAGCACATAAAAGAATCACTGAACTTGTATTTAAAATGGAAACCTTTATTGATAGTTTAGGATTACAACAGAGATTTCCACAAAAAAAATAATAAAAATAAAGTCTAAGACAGTAGTATATAAAGTACAGCACAAGGAGCACCTTTTCATTAAGAAGTATTAAGTTAAATAATATAAAATACTAACTAGCTCAGGCTAGATTGTTCCTGTAGACTAAAAAGTGAATAAAAATAAATATAGTTGAATGTGGCATGCATTCATAACATTCATCAGGCTGAGGCAGGAGGATCAAATGCAGGACATATAACGGGAGACTCCAACAGTTACCAAGTTTTTAAAAAAGATAACCTGAAATTGAACAATTGAGTAAAGAGCCCATTTCTTCTCCCATTAAACCTAATATTATAAAGCCATATACTTGTTAGGTCATAGACCTATCACTAGAGATGGGATTAGCCATACCAGCTGAAGCTTTTCTCTCCAGGGCTAAGGTAACCAGAATTCCAGTCTTATATGCTGTCTAGTACCATCACTAAGGAGCTAACCACATAGCAAGTAGAAGTCCCATGGTAGGGAGGGACAAAGAAGTAGCTTCATGCTGGCCAGGCCTGACTAGCCTGAGTTAAGGCTTTGTTATCCACCCAGGAGCTTCACTGAACTAACTGCTCAGGACATAGAGCCACCTCATTGAAATGCTGTAACAGGGAATTCCCTTTGCTCTGTAAGTTGCTGTTGCATCTATTCCAGGGTCCTGTTGTGGACTACAGTTGACCTAAAGGATGTTTTCACATGAAATCTATTTCAGAACATCTCTATCAAAACTGAAAGCTTTATTATTTAAAGCACTGCTGCTTATATTTTTGCTTTTCAAAAAGAGCTTTAAAAGGAGTGATTTGGGTATATCAACAGCAGCAGGGTAGGATTGTTATATAAAGACATACAGGTAATGCTGAGTGGTAGTGATGTGGGCCTTTAAACCCAACACTCTGGAGGCAGAGGAAGGCAAATCTCTTGAGTTCGAGGCCAGCCTGGTCTCCAGAGTTCCAGGACAGCTAGGGCTACCCAGAGAAACTCTACCTTGAAAAACAGACATACAAGTAAAACAAAGTTCCTTCATGGAGAACTTGTAGAGTCCACCACACTCATGTTTTCCGGTTTGTTTTGTTTTGTTTTCATTTAGTTTTCAGAATACTCCTATTTGCTCTATTCTCCCATAGTCTCTGCCTGTCTGGCAAGCCTGTCTGCCTCCAAAGCCTTGGCCAGTCTCTTCCTGGCTGTCTTTACCTTCTGGGCCTGTCTTCTGATGTCTGCAGTAGTTACTACTTGATTAAACAAAGATGATGACAACTGAAGAGCAATTGGCATTCTTACCCCTTGACTGAAGGAAGATGGCGACAGCTGAACACTCTCTTGCACTGTCTTATCCAAACTCTGGGGTGGGACAGAGGTAAAGTGTGGGGAAGTGTGGGGATTATTCCAGCTTTGAACTTTGGCTTCAGCCAAAACATTTGTAATATCCAATGAACATAATAGTTCTTCATTCCTGTCTTCAAGTAGATGTTTCTGCAGTCTGCTAAATACACAAAGCCGCTGGGGTTTCTCCAGCTTCTTTTCGTTCCTCCTGTATTTGGTGATATTCTCAGGGTGGGAAGTTACTCTAGCCACAGGCCTTGAGAAGATACAACTAGTCATCCTCACAGGAGTACCCCTATGAGGCTGTTTGGCCTTGGCCTTCTTCTGGGCAGGCTGGGCCCTCCAGGTCTTTATTTCCTGGGGTATCATACTTCTTATGAGCCTTCCCTTTGAAAACAAAGGAAATGTAAACACAGAGGATTAAATCTACTACTCAGATATGCAGAATCTTCTCTGTTCATGGATCAGATCTTCTACCATCCCTTTTCTCTGAAAAAACAGGTCTCAAATCGGAGCCTGGACCAAAGTCATCTGGGAAGTTTTCTAAATTCAAAATGTTTAGGGTGGGGCCCAGAATTTGAATTTTTGCTAGATCATTCATGTGGCTGCAATAAAGGCTCTAGTTAGGAGGCTTCTTGGACATCTAGCTCATGTGACTATCAAGGATTGGAAGCCAAGGGTCTCTACTAAGCCAGTTACACACAAATTCCCTCTATCTTCCTTTAAGAATGATACTCTTCTTTCTTACGGTCACTGCAGGCTTATGTCCCAAACCTACCCTCAGTGACCCACAGTTCTTACTAGTACAGAAATGTACAATCTAAGATCGTACCAGAATACTCTAGATGTTCATGCAAGGACAAAAATCATCCAGCAATGCATTTCACAGAACAATGTGCCTTGACATTAGGGGCTGATGAAGTACATTTTAAATTTCTTCCAACAAATTTTAACAAGTAATTAGCAGCTTTCCATGGGACATGAGTTTGTATCAAGTACAACTATATATTAAATTAAAAGATTTAAATATAAAGAGAAAGGACAAGAATGAACATTAAATAGTATGAATTAAGTACTCACTATCGAAGGCTGGCTTGGACATGAGTTTCCCGAAGATCCTTGCATGGTTGTAGAGCTTTTCCTGAAAGCTACGCTACAGAGATGCAAACAAGGCCTGAGTTGCTAGAAATAGCAGTGTCTTTCTCTTCTAATGTTGTTCTTATATAGGAAGAGATGGATATTCAAATTATCAGACAGTCCAACCTACAAATAAACCAATGAGTGTTAAAACTGCTAGGAAATAAATCAGTTGGTGGATAATCCAACCACAAATGAACTGGATAAAATGATCAATGAACAATCTATGGGAGAACCTGTCTCATACCCATGGAGTTTGAGGGTATTTAAGTGTTTATTCAAAGGCAAAAATATTGACCCTGTTAATACACAAAAAGCATTTAAATATGAGGTGACAATAGTGTTTCATTATATTGAAACTCTTAAAGATTACATTTTTAAAACCTTATAAACTGGGAAGGGTGTGGCACACACCTTTAATCTCAGCACTTGGGAGGCAGAGGCAGGCTGATCTGTGAGTCCAGCCTGTATACAAAGCCAACTCCATGACAGATGAGACTCTTACGAGAAAGCCTATATGGAAAACACAACACAAGCTGTTTATAAAGAACAATTGAATGTTCTGATCTATGTGTAAGTATGAAGACACCACTAATCTAAATACCATACCAATTGTCTCACCAACTTTTTCATAGCAGCATTTAAAATGTATTCATTTTTTTCTCCATACTTGAATGTTTCCAAATACATTCTATAAAAATGAAAATAGATGTTTCTATGTAAATAAATGTTCACACTTTTTTTTTTTTTTAATGACAGGTTCTCACTGTGGAAATCAGGCTGGCCTGAAACTCAAGATCCTTCGGTCTCTGCCTTCCTCCTGCTTGGTTTAAAGGTGTACTTGGCCACACCTAGTCCAACACCTTTTGTACAGAATAAAATTTGATAGTATTTACTGGTTCATCAGGTCTGAGTGAGGTGGCACACTCCTTTATTCCCAGCACTGAGGTGACAGAGACAAGCAGATCTCTGAATTTCTGGCAGCTTGGTCTACAGAGTGAGTTCCATGACAGCCAAAGTTACAAAGGAGACCCTTTCTCAAAAATAAATAAATAAATAAATATTTTATCAATAAATACCCAAACAGTTAAACTGTGTGCTTTATAGAAATAGCACAGATGTTTCAATACAATACATAGGTCTTGAAACAGAAACTGTTATTTTGTAAATTGAAATTTCATGTCATTTCTGATAAACCATGCTTATATCACATCCTTTCTGAGGCCCTTGGTTTATTTTCTTTTAATCCAATTTAGAACCATATATTTGTTTTTTCAAGGCAGTTTTTCTGTGTAATCCTGGTTATCCTAGAACTCACTCTGTAGATCAGGCTGGCCTCAACTCAAAGAACCAATTGCCTCTGACTCAAAGGTGTTGGGATTAAAGGTGGGTACCACCACTATCTGGCTAGAATTAAGTATTTTTTATTCTACTTTTCTCTATATAAGCTTACTATAATTAACATACAGATCTATGTTCTTAATAACATTCACTTATACCTTGTTTTTCTTTTTCTTTCTTTCTTTTTTTTTTTTTTTAATAGTCACTCTAACTTTAACTGCCCTGGAACATAGATAGCTCCACCTGCCTGCTTCTGCTGAGCTAAGTCCACTACTGAGCCCACCTTCATTTATACTCTATATATTTTATATTATATATGTTCGGCTCTCTTCTTAGTTTGCACTTGAGATTCTGGGTAGCTAGGGAAGTTCTATCATTGGGCTGTACTCCCTGGGCTTTCAACATTAACTTTTGAGAGAGGGCTTTATTAAATTGCTCAGTTAGCCTTGAACTTGAGATTTCCTTGTATCATACTTCTGAGAGAGATCCTTCAGTCTCTGCCTCCCTAGTACTAGGATTAAAGGTGTGCACAAACACACCCAACACAACACTTCGCGCAGGATAGAGAATATTTACATGCTCAGTAGTGCCTGGTGTTAGGAAAGATACCTGGATCTATTTCACTAGAAATTATTTTCACCTAACTTGTGAACTCATTCTACAATTTATTTTTTGTGCTAGGGATCAAACTCCCGGCCTCACACTTGGAAGGAAATTTCTCCAAGGTTTTGGGTTTTTTTGTTGTTGTTGTTTGTTTTCTTTTTTGTTTTGTTTTGTTTTGTTTTTCCCCGTTTGAAAGACCCCAGGTTTGATCCCCAACACTCAAAAATAAATTGTACAGGTTCAGTCAACCAATATCTGATTAAAGACCATAGCTTTATCAAAAGTGACTAATCTCATATCATGGATTCATAATCTTCTGGAGTTTTAGCATATGTAACATCTTGCACTGGAAACAGCATTGCTACCTAATACTTTGTTTTGTTAAGACGGGGGTTTCTCTGAAACTCACCCTGTAGACCAGGACCTCCTCAAACTTAGAGATCCACCTACCTCTGCCTCCTCAGTGTTGGGATTAAAGGCATGTGGCACCATTGCCCAGCTTTTTAGCCAGTTTTCTTTAGCACAAAGCTTACCTCAAACTTGCTGTAATTCCCAGATAGACAAGAACCTTGTGCTTCTGACATCTTGCCTCCACTGGGCAAGTGTTTACATTAATAGCAAAGAGTCTCTCACCCAGCTTGCTTGGAAATTTTGTTTCTGATACTCAGTCTTTGCCATTTGATCACATCTCACACAATTACTAATCACATAGTTCTAAATTTTAAATTGCCCTTCACTCATTACTTTGGAATACTTCCGGTTTCTACTGCTTTCCAAACTTATGTCCAGATTGATCTCTAATTTCTTCTTAATATTATCTTAGAATTTCAGTTCTAAGTAGTCAATAGCTTTAATTTAAAACTTGAAGAATGGAAACTTTACAATCAATGAGGAGAATATAGTTTCTTTGGATACAATAAATTAAAATAGGCAAAATTATAATTTATAACACACTAATTTATGTTAGTTGCTAATATTTGTCAAAGTATATTCAAAAGATGGGGAAAACCCACAGTATGGGCAAAGAGATTTGGGTTATATACATCCAGTAAAGTCCATCAACAAAAATAAGTAGAAACAGTTTGTAAAATGGGTGACAAATTTGGTAATCCCTACACAAAAGAAGTTAAAACAAATGGTTAATAAACATGTAAAGAAATGTTTGATATCATTAATTTATGGTGAATATTGTTTTTAAAGTCACAGTAAAACACTAGTATACCCAGCTAATTTAGGTAAATTGAAAACAGCAGTCACGGGTGATGAGAAGATCATTCAAAGGAGGTTCGTGGAAGTTCAAGTTAGCCCATCTACCCTGAGAACACCTGAGTAATATTTATTGTTTTGTTTTGTTGATAAAGGATTTCTCTGTATTGCTTTGAAGCCTATCCTGGAACTAGCTCTGTAGACCAGGCTGACTGAGAACTCAAAGAGATCCCCGTACCTCTGCCTCCCCATGCTTGGATTAAAGGCTTGTGCCACCATCCTAGGCCTGAGTAACATTTATAAAAGCTGTATGCACAATGTAAGTCAATTGTACTGAGCATGGTTACCCCATCACTCAGGATGGTGTGGTGGTGGTGGTGGGGTGTTGTAAACTCTAGTTTCCCCTAGCCTAAATAATGAAATTCTGAAATTCTGTGTCAAAACACAGACAAAACAAATACTATATTCCCCTGCACATAGCCAACCATCCCCATCAACACTGTACACATTTTACTTTGGTCTTAGAAACTAGACTCAAACTAGCTGTGAACTAGAATAAATTTAAATGAAAATATTCAACAAGACAATGGATTTTTAAAAAAAAAATGCAGAATGTTCAACAGACAGAGCTCCATACAGCATAATTTACATAAATATTAGGAAGCATCTCACATGCAGTGGGGGCAGTTCTAACCATCAGGGGTCCATGTTTCTCTTTTCTGGTCTTGCACACTGGAGTATCTTTCTACACCCTTGACTTCACCTTCTCTCTACTTCTGCCTCATTTACCCTAATGATAATGCACACACAGAGGCTTCACCTGGAAGATGTTAGAGAAAAATTTCCTCTTGTTGTTAAGGGCCCTGAGATAGGAGTGTTGTATTCTGAATTAAACAGTACTAAGAACTAAATCACTGCTTTTGGTTTTGATAAGACTTTACTGTAAAGGCCTCTCTTAATTTAACGTGTCCCTTGTAAAAGCTGAGTTGTTAGATGCTGCCATAATTTGACTCCCTAACTGAGAGTCATTAATTAAACCCTTCCTGCAGCCACAGCTGCCTTGACTAAAGTACTGGCACACAGAGCATCCAACCTGAGGACTCAGAATCCATAAAGAATCCTAAAATACTGTATTAGTCAGGGTTCTCTAGAGTCACAGAACTTACAGAATATATTATATATACATACATATATACATATGAATTTACTGGAATGACTTACAAGTTATAGTCCAGCAATTGCTATCTATCAAAGGAAGATCAAGAACCCAGTAGTACTCACTCTCACAAGGCGGGTTGTCTAAGCTGGTCTTCCGGATATGCTGGAATCCCAAACAAATAGGCCCCAATGCCAGTGAAGGAATGGATATGCTCCCAAGACGAGGGCAAGCAGGCAAAGAATGAACCTTTCTTCTACCATTGTCCTTATATAGGTTTGCAGCACAAGGTGTGGCCCAGATCTGGGTTAAAGGGATGAGTTTTCTCACCTCAAAATCTGGGTCAAAAGCCAGTGTTTTGCCAGGTGGTGGTGGAGCACGCCTTTAATCCATGCAGAGGCAGGCAGATCTCTGTAAATTCAAGGGCATCCTGGTATGCAGAGTGAGGTCCAGGACAGCCAGGGCTGTTAAACAGAGAACCCCTCTCTCAAAAAACAAAAACAAACAAAACGGAAAAAAAAAAAAAAGTGTCGTCCATCCTGGATCACAGGTGTGCCCTCCATTTCTGGATTGTGCTTTCCAAGAATAGCCATCACAGGTACCTTGAGTTCTGCTGTTACAAGCCTGACTGAACTCCAAGTGACCCTATAGCCTATTTCACTCAGTTCTTGTAACAGTCAGT